GTGTCATTTACAATCTGGGGAAGTACAAAGGCCATGAACACCAAAAAAGAACGACACGCACGGTCGACTCATTAATAAGGCATGTATTTGTGACACACCCCGATGACGGTTTGAAAATGGCCCAGAAATAATTGACAGGACAAAGGAGATGGGTCCTTTCAATGCGGCCTGCATCGGCTCACCACTGACGAAAATGTCCACTGTCCGCGACTCGAGGCCAGACGCTGGCGACTCGGTGAAGAACCACGTTCCCGGCGAATCCGGTCAAGTCCGTTGGAAAATGGGGCCTTATGTCTCCATCATCGGCCGACTTCCGCTGCCAATAAGTCCGAGCATTAAAAGCGAAGTCGTCGCGAGGGACGTCCAAGGGGACCTCTCACAAGCCGATGTATTTTCGTGAAAGGCCGTGTGCCAAGGGTTGAGGCAGAGACACCCGGCGTCATAACCACAGACCCTCGGGAGGAATTCACACGACGACTTTTTTTCTTCTTCGGTTTGCAGGCCGCCTCGTGTCGTCTCGGGGGCGGGTCTCTTGTGCCCTCCGTCATCGCATGTCCCAACGCCTTTTTTCAAAACCTAGGGACTTGGGCCTTTTCTGCAAAGGCACAAAGGGTTCGAGGGGACTTCTTGGCGTCCAGGCAATCAACTGTGGCACAGACTGATGACGGTGTCAAGGCGTAGTCCGATGAGGTCCAGTCAGCGAGGCGAACAGCGTGTCTCGCCTTTTTTCGTCGTCTTCATTTAATCAGTCATCGCCTACGGACCCATCGGCGAATGCCGTGCCTCTATGTTCTGGCGCCGGGGCGAGCGACGTTGAGGAAGGCCGCTTACAACATTCCTTGAATTCGGTCCCTGACAGCATTTGACAGACGCCCGGCGACAGACAGCCTGCCACTGAATGACACTAACTCCAGGGGACCTCACGTTGCTCCGGCGCAACAGTCGCTGAAAAGGGCCTCGCCTGGGTAAGGTAGAGTGAGGCGGGCGGGCGGACCCCAACCCAGCCGACTCGGTGCCAAGAACTCAATGCCCCCCAAAGCGAAGCGTCAAGCCTCAGCCCGCCCCCTCTCAACACCTTTTCCTGCTACCTATGACGCAAATGTTTCTGCTAAAAGGTGGACGACACGTGAAACCCTAAAAAAGGGCAGACCTGGAAGGCTGGAGTTAGCCTACATGGTCCCTTGTGGGGAAATACTATCCCCTGTGCCGAGTAGGATGTAGGATGCAACTCTGCCGACTGTTGGGATATTTCGGGGTGGCAGTGCAGCGCAGCGCCGTGCTGGTGTCTTGCAATGCCGTTGGCTGGTTTGTCGCGGGGCATAATGCAGGTTCCCACGGCCATCCTGGATGACGGAAGACCCCCCGCGGTGGCAATCATGAATGAGACATTGGGTCGGAAGAGGCAACTTTTGGGGGCTTGTCATCCTAACTGATGTAACTTGGTTAGTTAGCTGCACAGATGAGTTCAATTGCAAGTTGGTCACGCGCAAACCTTGGGTAAACTCTGTGCCGGCCAGGAGCACGCTTTGACTATTTGGACAACGTTGATGCCCAAGTTGCAAGACATGCGAGTTTGTGCCAATCCATCATTGCTAATGAATATAGAGATATTGCAACAGTTGAAGGACGGTTGACTTGGAAGTAAAATGGCCAATCCCAATGAGCGAGGCGCTGGTCAACAGCATCATTCAATGTTTCTGTCGTCCGAAACTTGATTAAGAGACTAGCCAGAGATACCATGTCCACGATCTTGCCTGCAACATTTGGCTTTTCCAAGTTGATTAATGTGATTACGTGACGTGCTGCGTCGATCACCATCATAGGATGTCATTCACGGGAACAAACAAGCTGACGCAGATTCAATGATGCCATGATACGAACAATTGAGCAGCGGGGACTACGATTGAAATCTGGGGGGAACGTAGAGTGTCATGGCGCAACTAAGCTGCATGCCGGGTTGAGAGACTCGGTTACCTGACCCTAAGAAGCCATACTTTCAGCTATCTGTTCTACCGGCAAACGGGAAGACACCGTGTTAAAAGCGCAAAGCACTCACATGGACAACACCATGATACACCAGCGGTCCTGGGATGCCCAGCGAAACGAAATACCCAAGTGCTTGAGTGGCAGCCTCAACGACGTCTGCTCCTCAATTGACCATGGCTGGGAGATTGTGTCCGGCTCATCAGTTTCACCATATGACGGGACGTCCCTGCAGAATTTCTCAGGAATGTTTTAACTACTCGCCCATCCTAAACAGTTTGAAAAGACATAAACGTCGAGGTACTGGAAACAGGAAGTTCTTCTTTAGATACCAGAAAATCCTCTGAATTGGATATCTTCTTTCTTAATGAACTTAAGGTTGAAACTGGGAGCTGCAAGGTATCGTGAGGCTTGAAGCTCAAACAGCTACTGATTGAACAGCAACAAGTACAAAGTTTTTCTTCTTCCCAGAAAGGAGGGACAATGAATCTGATCAAGTCTCAACTAGAGACTTGACGACAATGCAAGGGGGTTAATCGGTTCAACGAATTGTAGGAAAAACAAAGCCAAGAATGACTCTGAAGAGTGAAGGTTATAACTGAGAGAGACCTCACAAGTCTTTTACTTATTCTCTTTAGCATTCAAGTCTCTATTGATATTTTAACAAAGCCACAGAGAAAACGTACTCTGAAATCTAAGGTTTGATGTATTCCTCAGATTTAGTATTTATGAACAGATCCTAAGATGATATTCGTCTTGGGGTAAGAATCATAAGGCAGGAGCTAACATCGCTTCCTCCTTCCCTTTTTCAAATCTCAGCTGTATGTTCTGGATCACAAGTTAATGTCCTTGATAGGAACCATTTATAAAGAGTCCTCAGTCCATTTATGAAGAAAAAAAAAAGCATTTTCACAACTTCACCTCATTCTTCACAGGATCTTTTTCTTTCACAGCTTCTGAAGAGCGACTAGCACTCATACCCAACACGCGCACATTTCAGTTCACCTTTTCATTCCAAACAAGGCAGGGCGCTCCAGCTTCCACACCATCCCGCTCTTGCCTTATGTGAGGCAGGTGCTCACTGAAAAATTCTCGCTCTTTCCTCTTTTGCTATATTTGCGATACCTCAGCTTTCACCTTTTCACCTCAAACGCTGGATTCTTCCCCACGCACAAAACTTCTCCAGTTCACACAAAAACAATCACGAACCCAGCTGCCAACTGCGCTCGCTCTGTGTCGCCTCAGCCCAACCACCGCGCAGTCGAGAACAACCTGGAAACGATCGAAATTACTCAGCTTCACCAGACGAACCTCACGATCACAAAAGCATCTGCGTAATACTATGGCGACCCTCTCCAAGCTTCCCCCGGAGTTGATCCGTGAGATCTGCCTGCACATCCACGAGCACGATCTTGACCAGCCCGACAACCTGCAAGACTGGGATATTCCTCAGAAAGCCCTAGCCTCGCTGTGCAAGGTCTCAAAAGCTTTCTGCAATACGGCGCAGCCCATCCTGTTCCGAAGAGTTCACATCACAGTCAGACAGCAATATTTTATCCCCCACAACACCAAGCTTATCGCTCTGCTGAGGGTTCTGATCAAGCGACCCTACTTGGGGGAGCAAATTCGCCTGCTGAAGCTGTCTGTCTACAAAGCCGGTAACACCTGGACAAACCGCTTCAACGCCATTAAGCCCGTCGAATTCATACCACTGGCAGAGGATGATTTCCAACTATTCACGAATGCTGTGAAGAGAGAAAGCTGGATGGGGGATCTCAGCGCCCTTTGGGACAACAGCTTTATTTCAGAAGAGCAAGTACTTTTGCAGCTTTCACTAGCAAAAATGCCCAGCTTGAACGAGATGCAGCTGGCGATTTCCTATGAGACCATCAGCATGTCTATGTTCTCTCATGGCTTCCGCCAGGCCGTGGCGGAAAACAAGATCTTGAAACAACTCAGGGCAGTGCACATGCACGGTTTCCCTAATCCCAGACACCCTGAAATGAGGTATACCGTTATGCGCGAACTTCAGCCCTTACTCTTCCTCCTCCAACCGCAGGTCACAAAACTCCATATTGAGAATTGTATCGGTCACTGGGAACCGATAGCCTGGCCTGAATTTGCCCAACTCGCTCACGTCAAGCATCTCACCTTGCATAATTGCGAGCTGACACAATGGGACTTCGACATTTTCATCACAGCATGCCGCAGCCTCGAGAGTGTTATCTACACAGCGCACCCAATTGGAAGCCCCACCCGGGATCAAGAGTCACCGGAGACCTATGTGGGGGGCCTGCAACAGCACTCGCGCACAGTCAAAGGTCTGCACTTGGTAGTGAACCCCAAGAAGCAGAATGAGATGTGGAAGGCTGGATACAGCTCCTTTGAGTCCTTTGAGAGCCTCGAGTCACTCACAATCTCCCCCAGCGACTTTGGAGAGACCTTCATTGTTCCCGGCACTCTTGGACCAAAGGCACTCTCACAGACACTGCCAAAAAACCTGAAGCATCTCACGGTAAAGCGATGGTGCTGGCCAATGAGAATCGACATTGACTGGCTGGCCCAAGCTGCCTGCCGTGGAGAGCTGGAGAACCTCGAGACGCTTGACATCGAGTACTGCTTGAGCGCAACTAAAGACCCGATTTCTATGGCAAACAACCTCAGAGCTGAGCTGGAGAGAAGCACGGGTGGCGCTATCACGTTCTTCATTTGCCTACGAAAGCTAGGGAATTCACACAAGGATGCGCTTTGGTGAGGGGTGACGCCGAAGACGGCTGGCAATGGGGGACAACGACGATGGGGGACGACGATGGGGGACGACGATGGGGGACGACGATGGGGGAAGACGATAGTGGTAGAGGACGGCGGGCAATATTGATAGAGAGGGACGACGACGCGGAAAGAAGACGGCGATGGTGGTATTGACGGCGGATTAATACATAGTTGGGGAGGAACTTTACTGCGAGCACCAAGAGAATGACAAAGAAACACGATTATTATTATTATTCTCAGAATGCCTAGATCAGAATCGAAACAGCGGTATTACTAGGGTCCATGACCATGTAAGGGATGCTGCCCCTGTCCATCTGCCTGCTCGTGACAGAAAACTCCACCTCGAGGTCCTTGAGGTCGTAGAAGAACTCCTCGGTCACCTCCCGGATGTTGGCGCTGTTCCTGCCCGCGCGGCAGTGCGTCCTCCACTGCGAGTGCGCAAACGAGATCAGGCTGCGCTCGCCGGCGACCTTGAAGCTGAGGAGCCACGGCACCTGCGCCGCGAGCAGCCACTCGCGCTGGCGGCCGATGGGCAGCGCCTTGGTCATCTCCACCTCAGAATAGTCCAGGAGCTCGTCCAGGGTGCGCGGTGGCGGGCGGCAGAGCATGGGGGGCTTGGCGAGGACGAAGGCCTGGTAGAAGTTCTGTAGGTAGTTGACCGTGGTGTGGAAGGGGGCCGCGATGTGGATGCTCATGGTGACGGCATCGACGAGCTGGTCGAGCGATTGGATGTCGGGGAAGTTCTTGATGCGCCCGCCGGTCTGCGCCTCCTTGCACCAGTCCTGGATGAAGTTGTCGTTGCGGATCTTTTCGTCCGCGGTCTCCTCGTCGTAGTGCGTGAGCAGCATGCCCTTGACGTATTTGCGGATCGTGTTCCACATGGAGAGGATGTTCTTCGCGTAGGCGTAGTTGTTGTACTTTTTGTCGTCAAGGCCTTCCTTAGTGTTGGGGAAGCCGCGGTGCTCGAGGTCGTTAGGCACGTAGTTCTGCTGGTAGTCGAAGTTCTCGTACTCGTACGCCATGTACTTGAAGCACTGCTCGGGGCTCATGCCGACAAGGTCCTTGATAACCTGCGGTACAAGCGTATCGCGAGCTCCAGCGTTGAGGGAGAGGGTCTTGTACCAGTGAGGCTGGAGCAGCTTGTAGACGATGTGCTCCATGGGGATCGTGCGGTGCGTCGCTACGATGACGGCCTCCTCGATGAAGTGGGCGCGGGTCAAGTGGACGCCGACCTCGTGGCGGAACCAGTCCGACACCTGGGCACAGGTCTTTGCGTAGCGCCAGGGCCAGTCGGTCTTCTCGAAGATGGAGGGGTCGGAAGGCCTGTGGCGGCGGTTGTAGATGGTGACGGAGGTAGCCATGCTCTCCTTGTAGTCGCAGACGATGGCGACGGGGTGCAGCTTGCCGTCGCCGAAGAGCTGGAAGAGCGTCACGGCGGCGCAGCTCCAGTTGTTGTCGGACTTGGGCTCCTTCCAGGTGAAGTTCTCCTCGGCGTTGAGACCACAGGCCTTGCGGAAGTAGCGGCAGTCCTGGACGAAGAGGTTGGCCGGGTTGAGTGTGGCGAGCGTCTTGGCCCAGTAGTCGTAACCGGTGCGCTTCGCCGTCTCGATGAACTCCTGGAGCAGGTCCTCAGGGACCTTCTCGATGGTGGTAGGGTTCGTGCCGGTGAAGGACTGCTCGGCAAAGCGGCGGTCGGAGTACCAGTCAGGGAGGAGGCCGATGTTGGCGCCGCGCTCGACGTCGGTACCGGTCTTGCGGAAGAAGAGGTTGTAGCGCTCGCAGTCGGCAATGGTGGGACCCGCCTGGGGCATGCCGCCGACCAAGCTGCTGGCGACGCCGGAGACAAACTTGACGGCTGGGTCGTTGGCAAACTTGTCGGGGATGATCTGATTGAGCATTACTGCAGTCTGAGCTACTCCTGCGGCGTTGAAGATGGCGATGTTGGGGGTTTTGTCGGTCAGGGGAATGTGGTCAAGGTGAGGGGGATAGGCGAGACCACCCTCGGCTTTGTAGGGGTACGAGGAGTAGCGGTAGATTTGACGCTTGAACTCAAGGTCAATGAACCGTGGGATCGTTGGCTCGATTTGGAGGACGTCGAAGACGGACTCATAGCTGCGTGGTAAAGGCCGTGGTCAGTGGATGTGATACGTCGATGTCTGGCACATGATGAATAGACTTACGTTTTCTCAATCATCTTATACGCTTGTGTGAGAGCGGCTTGGGTGCCATCATAGGTGCCAATGATGATGTTGCCCTTGGCGATGGCGAGCCTGTTCGCGGGGGTGTCCTGGTCAACTCGAGCCACAATCTGTTGGCTCAGAAGCTCGACGTCGAAGACACCAGGGTCGAAATCGGTAAGCGCAAGCTCCTCAATACGAGCGTGCAGCTTTTTCCTGCGCTCCTCGAGACTGGGCTGCCTGAGCACATCTTCGAGGTTCATGAAGGGGACGTGCTTTGTGCGCACGAGATCGAGAAGGCCAGCCATGATGTTGGGGAATTGTGGATCGAACGACTTGAGGAACGAAAGACTGTGAGTGATGTGATGAACTGAGAGCCAAGGAAGCTGGCAGTGCATCACCCTCTTATACACAATGACAGACTCATCTCTCGACCATGTTCCCCGTGCCTGCAGCGTATAATTGTTAGAACGCCCATGAATATTATCGACGTTTTCCGCAAGCAACTCTGTTTCGTTGCTTTCGTCCCGGAGAGACCCCCTTTTTGGAACTTTTAGAAGCTGTGGCTAAGCTGGAGAGAAATGCCGACTGCGGAGGGTATTCTAGAGAAATCCGAGACATGGGCATGCGACCACTCTGCTCTTCAACACCCACCGCATCGCATTGCTCTTGCGAAGCTGGGCTCCCACAGAGACCTGCATTAAGCACACGCGCTTTATGGTATTTGTGGCAGACTCATCTCAATTGAAATACATCTTTTCGCACGGAAACTCATCGTCAAAAGACCTGTGTTGCCCCCTGTAGCAGTTGCCATTGAAGCTCCAAATATGCGCTGGAAAATTATAAGACCTCATGTCTCAAGCTGGGGAAGCTATCGAGAAAAGAGTTCGCAGTAGCTGATACCAACAGTGAGACATCCTTGATAAGGAAGTCGAATGGCCGGATTGATACAAGCCGATAATTCCAGCCCAGCCGTTGTCGGGCGAACTTTGGGTGCCGTCTTCCCTCAGCGGGCCGCGTCCACGTTTGCGGAGAGCGTCGGCTAATTTCACGTGGCCAAGTCCCCCCATTCTTGTGCCTTCTGATCGAATTCGGAAATCGAATTCCTCAAATACTGATTCACATGTGGGAAGAAGCATCTGACAGGCTTGAAGTATTGGGGCCTGAATTTTGGGGGCTGAAGCTAAGTTCTAAACACAGTTCCTCCGTTTCCAGGTTTAGTTCTCCTGCTGCATGATTGGTACTGATATTCAAGCGCGTTCAAGCAACGGACTATGAACCAATAAGGCTTCTTCAGGTTTTTCTCACTGTCCTAGAGCTGTTCCCCTGTCCAGTCTTCGTCTTTGTGCGTGCAGGCTGATTATTGCATTCTTTCTCGATGTTGACTTGGAGTAGACGATCCTGCAGTGACGAAGTGTCGTATATGAAAATATTCAACATTGCCCCATTTTCGGCATTACTACAAGGTCCTTTCTGTGAGTAAAAGATTTATTAACGCCATGACAGAAATCGTGTTTGTACCTTTCGCCGCTGATCTTGAACAGCGACTCAGATTCAACGGGCAATGGCATAGCGGGAAGCTCGATGAATGACAAAGACGGGCTCTGAAGTCTTATAGTTCTGGGCCAAATTCAAATACAACGCTCTTTGATATTGGTGTAGGACAGGGCGGAAGCACAATTCAGGGCTCGTAAGAAGGTCTCCCGGGAGTCCTTCATAAACACTCGAGCCTGGAAAACGAAAGAATAATAAATGACTTTGTACTCCTGTCATAGGGAATTGGGGATGGAAGCTGGCCTGAAGTCGCAGAAACATATATTCATTATTCACCTTATTTCGCACGGCGATATTGTACTCACAGACGCTCATAATAATGTACTTTTTCTTTCGGTTTTCATTATTGTCATTTCGCAACAACGCAAATGCTTCGCTTCCCCTAAAGTCAGCCTCGTGCTAATACTTGAGAGTTTGAGTGTTGGCTTTCTGGTTTTCTGGTTCTCAGATTCTTCAGCATCAACCAATCGAATAGTCCGCAGCCTGTCTGCGCTGAGACGGAGCAACAGTCAGTTCACAGGGGGAGAAACAACTTGTGCGTACTGGACCTCGAGCAACTCAGCTTTGAGACCGTGGAGTATAAACCAATCATATTTGGTGATGGTGCAAGGGGCTGCATAAGGCGGGGCGTCAAGCGACAATGGGCCGCAAGACGCCTTGCGAACCGAATTCAGCTGCTGACGTCACGAGGAGACGTTATTGGGTGCCGGTTCTTCCCGTATGTCAGATTCTCCCAGGGTAAAATCAGGCAGATTCGGTCTGTTCAAACTTTCTTCATTGCTGCATTGAATCCCGACAAGTCTTCTAGGTGTCCTCACCATGCCTATCGAGTTGGGATTTTACGGCGGGTCCTCGCCGAGGTAAAGCGGCAATGTTCAAGAACAGCAGATACAAGGAAGAGCCAGCGGCGTTCGAGAGACTTGTCTTCTGGAATTTGAGGACGACTCGTAAGTTTGAACGTTTGAGTATCAGCTCAATCTCATATCTGATGAAGGATTTTGACAACTTAGCAAGACCTGAACACCTGAACGAGTCTCAGTCGAATTTCGATCCACTTAAACGAGGGATCAGTAACTACATGGAAGGCTTCTGTGCATTGAGTGAGCACACGCAACATGCGGCTCTGAATAATCAAGGCACAAGTTTGGTCGGCGAGCCTGAATTGGCCTGGGCCCGATCGTCTTGCCCAGCGGCAGATTCCACTGCGATACTGGCCGCAGAGCGACCGATCCAAAACTTCCTTTTTGAGTCCAGTGCAACCGCTCGAACATCGATTGTCGACATATTCCGGGATGACATATCGGCCATACGCGGGTCTATGGATTGGACAAATGATGCCAAAACAGGCTTAGTATTTGAGAAGTTGCCAGAGGTTTCTTTCAAGCATGGCCATGAAGCACAGCATGCAGACATGGAGCTTATCCTACCATCAACATTCCTCAACCTCGATCTACATTGCCAACCAGATCATGGTAATCTCTTCGAATCCACAAAGAATCTTGGAAATCCATGCGAGTCAGTCGAATTCTTGGAGTCGTCCGAGAACTACTGGGTCACTCCTTCAGGTCTGCCTCGAAATGCTACGGACATTGTCACTTCAGGGGTTAGCAATCGAAGCGAGGCTCAAAGGCATGATTGCTTTGGAAACACTGCGATGCATCTTCTTGCTGCACGAGCAGAACCATTTGTTCTGGCTCGAACATTACACACCACTGGGTACATAAGCGCAGTCAACGCTGGCGGCCAGACGTTTCTGCATACCCTTAAGAGAGATTGGTACTCCAGCGCTTTGCCTCTTCTTATCGATGTAGTTCAATCACTGTCGATCAACAAATATGATCCCCAGGCGCAAGACAACTATGGACAGACCTTCGCCCATATTGCGTGTCGGAATATCAAGGACGATGCAGCATTGAGGCACATTCTCCAGCTTCTTGGACCAGGCACCTCATCCAAGAGAGATGCGTTTGGGTTCAAGCCCAAGGATTTGTTGCTTGCTGATCGCAGTTTAGACCAAGACCCGCTGGTCATCAAAGAAAGTACTGTTGGAGAACCGACTGGGTCGGCCGCAGTTCAGTCGCTTTGGTGTTCTGACCACGCAGTGCCACTCGGTGTAGGACTCTCTCCGGATATTGTGGACCACAAAGCAAGTCTCGTAGCAACGTCCCAAAAGTCGATGCAGGATGTAGACACGGAAGATTCGGGAGGGAGGAATGGACTCCACTGTCTCGCCGCCCGCACTTTTGTAGATCTCGAACCCATCTTACGGAGTGTTCGGTATCAATCCCCTAGCATTGGTCCACGGACGACTTCGAGACTCAAAAAGATTCTCGATTACTCGCAGAGATGTGCGACAGAATTACTCATGGAAGGCGTCGATGTTAACGCATACAGCTCGTTTGGGAACACAGCCTTGATGGACTTCGTGGCATATCTTCCAGAAAACTTTGACAATGCAAGGACTGGTGCAATTCTTCAGCTGCTTGTTAAATCAGGTGCTAGATTGGAAGCCCGAAACAAACGTGGAGAAACGGCCTTACTGATGGCTGCAAAATACTGCCGTCTCACTGCGCTGAAAACACTCCTTCGCGCAGGTGCCAGTCCCAAGGCAAGAGATGCACAAGGGCGCGACGCATTCCGTATTGTTGAGCAATGTCTATCAAATATTGGACGAGCCCACGTCGACTACGGCAACTTTCAAGGGTGTCTCGATGAACTGCAAACATATCAGGGATGCAACACTTCAAATACCACAGCAATCAGCGAATGGACTTGGCAACGGCGAGAACAACTTCGTCTGGGCACTAAAAGCTTTGCTGAAGCTACAGATCTGTTTCAATCGCCAACTTCTCCGGACCTTTTCACGAATACCACGCTGCCAGGAGAGGAAAATGGTAGGACTGATTGCAATGAGACTACCAAGACAGGTTCGCAAGACACAACGCATGAGTATGTGTTTTCTCTGTCATAAAGAATTTCAGTCCGAATCTCCGACGTTTCTGACGTATCTATTATAGCCAATGGGATCATTTGAGCTTTTGGGCCGAGCCCAAAGTCCTATTATCTGAGAAGAAACTCGCGTCCCCCAATTCCGTATCAGAGAATGCGGCTTTCTTGCCGACCCTTTTGGAAGGCCCCCCGAACGCCCTTATTATGGATTCTCTGGCGAATTCTGCTCTAGATCAGAGCTCGGTTCAAGCCGATCTGGATGCTTCCGTTGACGATATATGCAGCCTGATTTTGGAGAAGGTTTTCGGCATATCGACCCGGGCCCTGTATCGACCTCAAGACGCTAGAGCTAGCGTGAAGAGATGTTTAATCGAGCTTCAAAATCTTCAGGTCAAAGTCGGGCACGGCATGTTCGTCCCTGCCATCATGTCCAGAACAGGAGAAAATGTCAGGGATCGCAAACCGATGCGGAAAGACCTTTCAAGCAGCTTGCCAGAGTCGAGCCTGCCGACAAAACGCTCGTTTGATGACATTGAGCCAGAACAAAGTTTTTGCGAGAAAGACGACTCCGCTCCAGCCATCTCATGGAAGAAGAATGCCACAGACTGGGATGGAGAAGTAATACACGAAGCCAAACGACAAGGATGAAGTAGTCGACTCAGCTGCCCGTTCCGAAAACGCAATCCATTGCGGTTTAACGTGCGGGATCATCTCAATTGCGCCACTCAATTATTCCAGTCAATTACCCTGGTGAAGTAAGAATGTCATTGTCCTTGGTCCATTCTTTGTCAACAAACTGACAAGATGCAGACGCCATATTGCAAACTTCCACAAACAAGAACAAGACGTATCTCAAACGTCTTACGAATATATCTGCAGTCGGTGCCAAAAACGGTTCGCCACTTTGCAAGATAGAGATGCCCACCTGCGGGTTCCTCCAGAACAGATTTGTCAACTCCAAGACACAGTGAAAGACAACGGCGCCGCCCAAGATCCGGAAGATGGTATTAGTCCTCAAGTGCTCGAAAAGCTCCGTGATCGGAGGGCAAAAGTTAGCGTCACGGATTGGGACACTTTATGGATAACGTTGTTCCCGAATGATAAGCATCCCAAAACAGAAGGTCAGTAGTCATTTGTTGGGCATTCCCTTCTGTGAGTATGTGCTGACAGATTTGTGTCCACTTAGCTTTTGAGCCCGTCATTGAGGTATGCGAATTCCAGAATGCCTTCGAAAATAACAAGGAGATATTTGTTTCAGAGCTACGAGTCGATCATGGTGGTAGCTTGCATACCAAAAGAATGGCACATCAGAGGCTGATTGACAAATTCATCGGGCTCTGTCGATCGCTCGTCCATCATAGCTTGATTCCATCTGGAGATCTGTTGGTGGGTTCTCCGGCACCTCTTCCAAAAACACACGCAGTCTCATCAATGAGGGCACCAAAAAAGAGGAAAACAGCAGGAGACACCATACGTGCTACTGAACTTAAAGCGCTCGGTTCAAGATCTGTGTTTTCACAGACCGCGAGCAAATCAGTTGTCCCCCGAAACATGGAAATCCCTGATCGATTGCAACTTCCTAAACTCACGCAAAACAAGTCACTTTCGACGCAAGAGATATCTCCGTTTAGTCAGCGTCGTCAAGGAAAGCACTCCCCTAATGGCCTCGCATCGACAATGACGATCGCAAGCCAAAGTCTTCCCGGTGATGGAAACTCACCGCGTCTTGACGGAGACTGTACTCACATCTCCGAGATATGCTCAAGATGCCAACTGCAACAACCTTGTATCTGTTCAAATGACTGGCTTGGTAGCGGCGAGTTGCGTTTGCCAGGGGACAGGCTTATTAGCCCCGCGGCAGATACAGAGATGAATCTTGGTTAGCAACACCTCAATTCTCAACGAAGACTATCTGGACTTCTTCGAAATTACCAAGACTAGATTTCGTTTCTCAGAACAGAAACAACAGAAAAGACGAATCGACAGTCAGACAACTTAGACAGAAACCACCACCTTCGTCGCAGACACCCCTTTCATTACCACATCAAATCCATCCTGCACAAGTCCCAAACCCTGTCCGATAATCCGAGGCTTAGGGGCAGGGACATATCTACCCTGCTCCAAAGCCTCTGGTAAAAAGTCACGATAGACAGCCTCACCGACCTCGCTTTCTATCACGTCGCTACCCCAGATGAACTTGTTCCCAACCCCATTCAGCTTGCTCTTGACAAACACAATTACAGACTCACAAGTGACCGCCCAAATAGTCGAAAACAAGTCCTTGGCGCCAGATGGAGGTTTTCCTGGCCCCGCAACGCTGGCTTGGGCAACGAATTTCCGCCCTTTGACAACCGACACAACGTCCACGCAGTGGACCATGGAGCCGGCTCCGATGGCGAGGGCGCCAGCACATTTCCGGTTCTTGTATGTGCTGATAATGTCTTGAACGACAGTCGGGCTTCGGTAGTCAAAGACCTCCTTGGAACCTAGGCTCTTAAGGTATTCGAAGTTCTTGGGCGATGCCGTTGCAATGACTTCGTAACCTGCTCCAACAGCGAGCTGTATGGCGTTGCAACCGACGCTGGTAGATCCACCCCAGACCAATAGAGTTTCTCCATTGGGTTTCGAGTTGACGTAAGGGTACTGCAGACCCAAGAAATCTTTCATAAAGAGTCCGCAGGCAGCTGTCGATGCCCCGAGAGGGATGACACACGCCTCTTCAAAGGTCATGGATTCCGGGATCGGGGTCGTGAGCTTGGTTCTCAAGACAACATACTCCTGGAAACCACCCTCAGAAGCCTTGTTGCTGCGCTTGTCCAAGCCGACGGCATGTCCGAGAACGCGGTCGCCGATCTTGAAGCGCTTGGCACCGGCGCCGGGGCCGATCTCGACAACTTCACCGGCGACATCATTGCCTAAAATGCACGGGTACTTAACCCAGCCATATAAGATGTCTCCAGATTCTTGCTTGAAGCAATCAACCGGGTTGATGGCCACGGCGCGATTGCGGATGACGATTTCATCTTGGCCTGGGGGCGTGTAAGGGGCTGGGGCGACTGAGAGAGGCTTGACCTTCTTGGCCATGAGCCAAGCTGCTCTGTTCTCGGGCATCATTTGAGATGGAAGAAATTTGAAGCGTATAGTTTGATTTGAGGATGCGTTGACAGAAGACAAATTGGCTTCTTGGGATGTTGCTTGAGATGTCTTTTGACTTGGGGGAATTAGCACCAATTAAGTACTTCTGTGAGAGAGAGTATATTATCTGCATGGTGGAGGATGCCTCCTAAAATTGGAATCGAATGCATCATTAACATCATGTGAACACGATTACGGGCTCGGTAAGATTGAGAAGGTTGCCTTGATCATGAAAAGCTAGTCACGATTTGAGGCTTCAGCGTCCGATGCGATGAACCTCTCGCGCAGAATGGTTCCCACACAGTCTTAGCGGCTGCTCCACGCGTGCAAGGGACTTTCAAGGCCCCGAAGCGCTAACCCTTGATCGTATTCCAGCTGGCCAACGATTGGTTTCGCACTCTTCCTGATGTCAGATTTGGGCATTCAAAACGGGGCACGATTTTGTCCCGGCGCAGGAGGAGACGATGGCTGAATCGAAGGCTCTCAAATTCTGTGAAGCGGGCAGATTGCGGTCGTAAAGTAGCTTGCCAGCCATCGACTTAGTGCGATGCCTATCGAGTCAAACTTTCCATACAAAGGCACCATGCTTGAATACAATTAACATGCAGGCGAGGCAGCACAAGCGGTTTGAATATCGAAATATCCGTACTCTGTCCAAATTGCCGAATGACTGTCAGGCTGGTAAGGTTGTCTACTTCAGTCTTTCATTTTCCTCCGTAAACTTTCAGGTTAGAAACAGCTTTCTGAGCGGATGATCACCCAGTATTCGGCGCCCCCAGAGGCTAATGTACACCCCTGGAGAAAAGCTGTTCCCGTCCCAACGCGTGCATTGGCTGCCAATTTCCAGACGCGAACTTTCAGGAGACTTAATTAGTCGCGTCTTCGCGTTTTCACACATCATCAACCCCGATCACCAACATCCGTCCCTAACATCCAATGCCGTTGAATCCATCTTATCACAAACCCAACGCTCGCAACTGAATTTTCACCATGCCTCCCAAAGCAGCTACAATGACAGCGAGCAGGCCTCGAAAGCCTCGCAAGCCCTTGAGAATACCGACGCTTCCGCCCGACGTACACAGGCAGATCTTGTCTTTCGCGTCCCAATCTACCCTGCTCTCTGCGCGGCTGGTCAACAAGAACTTCAGCTCCATCGCCACACCCTTGGCCTTTAGTTATCTCTATCTTGGATCAAAATGGGACTGCGACCGCCTCGTGTGCGTATCCAAAAGCCCCAAGCTCAGTGGCTTTGTGGAAGAGATTGATCTTGTCGGCTGGATCGAAGAAGCTGAGTGGTGGAAGCACCACTACCCCTGGAGGATGCTCGCGATCCTGCCATACATCAGGAGCTTCCGGAACTTGAAGTCTTTCTATCTTGAGATAGCAGGTTTTAATTTCAACTGGCAGGTCGCTTCCCTCTTTGGAGGTCCATTCGCGGCAAAGGAGCTGAGGAGCGCCCTGCTCGACACACTTTTTGCCTGCATCGCTAGGGAGTGGACCCAGGAAGAGCATGCCGGCTTGTTGGCCTTCATAATCGCCCAGAAGAAACCTGAAGACGACAAAATGTACGTTCAATGGATCCCTCCGGACGCGGAACCTGCGCGACCGGACGTAATCGACTTTGATGAGGATATGTGTGCAATCATGTTAGAGGAAGAGTTCGGCAAGAAAAAGAAGAAGCCCAAGCCGCGGAATCGTCCACCTGACGCGAAGCTACTGCAAGATCCCCTTTGGCAGTCCTGGGAGAATCTTCTTAGTCCTGCTCTTCCTCTAGAGACGCTGAGCATCGGAGGTCTCGCCCGCAGCGACGACTTGGATGTCTTCAGGAGTTCAGCTTTCAAGAAGATTGCCTCATTGAAGTCGTTGACAGCATTGAAGTTCTCGGTCTCTCACAAGACGGATTCCTATGCCAAGTCTGTCACGCAAATGTACCGGTCAGACTCGCCAATGCTTCACTCCCTGCCAAAAACCCTCCTTTGTCCCGCGATTGCAGATAACTTGAGAGTGCTATCACTCTATAGGCCCGATAACTTCGGCTGGCATCCGTCTCTGGACTTCCGCCGGATCAACTGTAAGGGCAAGTCTCCGCTCATGGCGGGCTTGCCCAGCCTCCGCGTGCTTGCGTTGGGCGGGTTTGCTTTCACACAGACTTGGCAAGCTGATTGGGTTGCTTCACTCGGCAGGGGCTACGGAGGCAGTGGTTTGAAGGAGCTGTATCTCGATAATTGTCATGTCCTCACTGAGGCTCGCAAGTTTCGCCTCCAGTCTAGCCAGACAACCATCGGACGAGACTCATCAGGTCAAGCAATTCAAGTCGACAACTCTAATTTCCCGGACGCCGAATCTATCGTGAACGGCATTGGGTCGGATCGGATGCGCTTTGACCTGCGATGGCATCACATTCTCAACTCATGGCGTCAGAGCATGACGGCACTTCAGGTCTTCGTCATGGGTTGCGGAGATCATGGCGACGACTGCCTCCGATCAGTCGTCGAGGCCAACTATCCTGATCAACTACCCATCATGAGCGACCATGACCGCGATCCGCGCTTCTTCCGGCACGGAGAAAAGGCTTTCCTCAACTACAAAGCACCGCCCCCTCCCTTTGATCACGAGGAACCCCTTGGCGATCGTTACTATAAGAAGAGAAATCGACCCGAAGCGCCGCAATACAAACACGGGGTCAGAATGACAGTGAATTGGGACTCAGAATGTTCATGGCGAAACAACGGCCCAATCTTGCGTTATACCAAGTTCGACGGCGGCATGGATTATTACCCCTGGACTGAATCTTATGACGACGAGAGACCAGACTTCAGACATCAAGGCATGAAGACTGATGAGCCAGATACGGTGAAAGAGGATATGAAGGCTTATGAGTTGCTCATTGCAACTGTGAAGACCAGAGCGGCATCCTGAGGCTAGTGGACGTCTTCGCCAAGGCCCAATTATTAGTTCTGTATTTGTAAGATACATAGTTCGATGCAGGCTTAGTTGTCAAAAGTATGCCGGACTACTCAAAAAAAACCGGTTTAGCAGCATTGCAATTTTTGCCAGCATCTCGCCTGGTGGCATTTTCAGTATTCGTCCGCGCATGATGGCCAGCAACGAGAAGCTGAGAGAACCTGGTGTTTCGAGACTTGGCTAATTTCTTCTCATCGTCACAGAAGGTTGGTATGCATACGTGGGAACAACTTCAGCGGCCGTCCCAAGCGTTGATGACCAAGTCACACTATCATCACGTGAGACGAGAGAATTGCTTCTTTTCTCGGCGACCTGCATGCTCGCTCGCGTGGAACGCGGCTTTACTTTTGCCCCTCGGCGTCTTACAAATACATCCCCCCTTTAATCAGCTGCAGTCAACAGCTCATGTCGCGTTACGTTGCAAAACATCAACGCGTCCAACCACAACTCCTAGCGTTGCGCGTGTAGACCGCAAGCATGGAGCAAGCTCGCCCCCAGCTCTCGACGATTCCGCCAGAGCTCATTTACCGCATCATCTCACATGCACCAAAGTCGACTCAGCTCATAGCACGATTGCTGAGCAAAACCTTCTACGCTCCAGCTACTTCCGAAGCTTTCAAACACGTGCGACTCAGCGAGACAAACGCAAGACAATTCCAGAGGATCGCGTCGACACCGGGACTCAGATGCCATGTTCGACAAATCACATGCGATGCACGAGACGGCATTGTTTTGAATAATGGTCCGCCTGACGTGTATCGACCTGGAGGTTTTCTTGCAGCTCTGCCGTCGATCAGACTCTTCACGAATCTGAGAGTCTTGAACCTGGTATTCAGGCGTTATTTGGACGCTTTTACGCCAAACGGACGCAAATACATAACAGAGGAATCTGATACCATGTATTTCTTCAGGAAATGGGTCCTGTTTGCCGCATTTCACTGCATTGTAGGCAGACAGGTTGTGCCTTCGGAATGTTTCTTGATCACTCTCCCACCTCCTCTCATAAAGACATTGTTGTATCTCGGGATTCAAGATCCTGAACACTGGGATTTCCTGAAGGAATGCCGGTCTTCCATTCCATTGGAAGAGCTTTCAATAACGAATCTTTGCGAGATGGGTACAACCCAGGGTGAGCGGAGCGATGCAGCAGCTGAGGAACACTGGTGGGCCTTCCGAGAGGTCGCAAGTCTTCCAAGTTTCAAGAAGCTCAAATTGATGATTACACCCAACAGGATTGAGCCCCGAGAAGACGACGAGTGGCAGGAGCCTGCAGTCTACTCCACAAGAGATCGATTCGCTTTGGTCTCGAAGGTCCTGCCTGAGTGGTTCACCCCGTCTGCCGCCCGCAACCTCACTGTTCTGTCTCTTCACCATGACGAGTTGTGGGGCTATGCTCCCAAGTTCGACTTTCGCACCATTGGTGCTGCACCGGATCCGGGTCTTCCACAGCTACGAACTCTTTCTTTGTCGAGGTTCTGCTTCAGTCATGAGTGGCAGATCGACTGGATTGCATCTCTTGGGAAGGGAGGTCTCAAGGAGCTCTACCTGGACGATTGTGTGCTGCTGTCTGTGGCGTACTGTTCGATCGCTTCAGGAGAGGCAACGACAGAGCCCACCTGCGTTGAGGATATTGACGGCAACAAGATTCAACTATCCAATCATGGCTACTTGCCGGACTCGTGGCAAGGAGGCAACAGCTGGGATCAGTGGTCAGTGTACTACCGCTCCAACCTCCAGTGGCACCAGTTCTTCAACCACTGGCGCAAGTCGATGTCTTCTTTGATGGTCTTCAGGATGGGCTCCTCGGAGGCCCATAAAACATGGTCCCACGTCAACTTATCTGACTATTGGCTGGATCCCCTACCTCGAACCACGATCCCATTGGGTGCCCACTGCATCTTCCTGAAGGAAAACGCCCACAACATGTTCCACGACGATGCCTGGCGCGGGAACGCTAGGATTGCTGAACTTAGAGTTCCATTCTACGTCAAATACATGCCGGAGCCCCTTGATAGCGATAACAGGGATCTTCGGCCATGGACGTTTCTGCCGCCCATGAAGCACGAGGCAAAAGGAAGCAAGCAAGCGGATGAAGAGGATAAGAAGCAGGAGGACGACGATGTGATGGCACTGTCAATGCTGAGGCACGAGGTGCAAAGTCGCTCAATGGGGTGGACATCGTGACTGCACTCTTGCATCTTGCGACGTTGGGGTGTGGAGGAATGCCCGCACTCGGTTCGCCTTGCACTGCACAACTCGGGTCATCTCTTCGACTTGAAGTTCTTGCTAGTTGTCAGTCGCGGTTCTGATTTTCTTGTACTCTAATATCTTTGAATTGACATAACCTCGTTCTACAAATACAGAATTTTTAAAGCACGTCGCGTCTTTTCAATAGCCTGAACGTTGTCTTCATGCATGCGCTTCGTCGGCATTGAAACCCCGGGCCTTGGATCATGTGAGGCGATAACACTGTGGACTCGGGGGGGAGGTTGAAGGTTGCATTAGCTGCATAATCAAGAGCACCAACAGAGACAAAGACAGGCTGGGCTTGCATCCCCGTGGTAGGGACTATTGTTTCAACTCGGTGAATAGTCCATTTCTGGCCTGACAGCCGACGTTGGCTGGTTGGTTGCTTCAGCGAGGGTTCTCTTTCTGCCGCTTCAAGTTCAGAGACGTTGGTTGACTGGCTAGCTTGTTGGCGGCAGTTGCAATTCAACCGGGGATCAAGTGCAGCCACCAGACTGCCCACCACTTCAACAATGCATAAGCTGAGAACTGACAGAAAGTCTACAGGGAAGTTCTGGAGACCACGTCTTAATGCATTGCTAAACGTTAATCCATTTGTCAAAGTCATGAAGTTCGAAGTGATAGCTTTCATCCACCAAACGTGTTGGTCTTAGATTGGCTGGTCTTGACCTGACGAAGTAATGATAGGTATTCCTCGCAGAACTCATGTTCGTCTTCGTGATGTGCATAAGTTAGATCCACGCAAGTAATGAGGGAGACGTTTGTCCGAATATAGTCAAGGATCTGCGTATCGGGGAGGCCAAGACCCCGTGCCCGACCGTCCCCAGCATTCGCCACTCAACGTGTCAGAAGTTGTTTTGCTGCCGATGCATGTGAATGGTCAGAGTTGTGTCATCGACTCAGGTCAGGATGAGTTGAAAAATGATTTAGAGACGGAAAAGAGGAGCGTCACTTGGGATGCGAGTCGTTCAGTTCTAGAAACAGAATCGAACGCGGCCATTTCATGCGCGTTCTGCGGTGCGACAAGCGGGACTATCCGCAAACGAAACGTGGCCGACGAATTGCACATGGCGATTAGAGCAAGGATCTGAGACGAAAGTGATACATCATTGGCCGTTGCAGGGAAACAAGAAAAGTGGTGGAGTTTTGTCGCTGAATGTTCATCATACGATGGAGAACGGATATGTACGAAACGACGATTGAGGGAAAGTCGCAAACAGGACGTAATTTACCTGACTGGTGCTACGACGCCGAGACCTCCCAAGTTTGAGCGGAAGTGGAGATGTTCTGCTCACCGAGCCTGCAATCGTCCGGTCCCGGTCGAGGATATCAAGTTTCGGGGTGAAAGTGGCGGTCAGACAACACTTGTCCGGGATTCTTCACTCGCTTCGTCAGCAAAGCACGAATTCAGAAATGTGACAAAATTTTGTCTTCGAACCGACAGAGTGGTACGTCCGTAGACGTGGGCTGTTGCTAGCTCTGCAAGACAACGGACGATTAAGCTCGGAACTGGCACGGGTGTGGCAACCAACCACTGGACCAAAGCATTAAATAGTCTCAAGCCCAGCGGACGAGAAGTCCGGAAACACCGGGGCATGACGCCGTTTGCTTTGTCTCAGTCACGACTCTGGCCGCGCCGTGGCGCCGCGTAGCGGCAGTCTTTGTCTCTCCGTCTCATAGAATCCAAGACACAGCAACGCCGGGCCCAGATCGAATGCCACCGACCCGCTCGTACCGATAGAATGGCTCATATGATGCTACGCTGATGGATTCGCGCTCAAGTACCGTGATTGCGCAGGTCCCACATCACGTTCCCGAAGACTGAAAAACGACATCCTCGGCCAATCTAAGACAATCGATAAATAACCCAAAAGGCCGATCCCTTGCCGCGGAGCGGTCCCCGCTGGAGATATTGCCTACCCCGCTTGCGACCCGAGGGTCTCATGACGAGAACAAGGAACGCCCTCGTTGCGACGTCGCGCTACTGCACACTTGGCAAGGTCAACCCACCGCAGCCGAACCTCACAATTGGGTTCGCCCAGGGGGGTTGGAGGGTCCGTCCAGCGGGCTGGGTTCGCGAGTACTACGCAGTACGCACGTATGGGACCCGATCCATTAGCTCGGTGTTAGGCCCGGTCTTATTCCTCTTCCTCGTCCTCGTCTGGACTGGGCTGGGCTGAGTAGGGGTTTCTCCTGAAGTCCCTCAGTCCCTGACGGGCCACGCCGCGGCGACAGGGAAGAACATCCAGAGACCAGACCAGACTAGACCAGACCCTACCTGGCACCCTCCTGCTCGCGCCTTTTTCGCTCTTGGTGGGCAATCCAAAGCGCCGCCATCCCGTAGCTCATCGTCTGTGCGAGCTAAGAAAGAGCCTATGGCAGCCATAAGACTCCGCCGTTTTCCCCCGTCATCCCATCAGCGGAATTTTCCCCCTTCCCCCAAACTGCCCGTTCCCATCTGCGCCCTTTTCGTTGCTTCGTTCGTGCCTCGTGGCGGTTAAAGGGTTTGCGCCCCGATTGATGTTTCATAACATCGAAGGACCCTGCTAGACGGCCGCGTTCAGAGTCACGAACCACATACGCGCTAAGAATGCCGCTCAGAGTCGCTGTCATCGGTGCCGGACCTGCGGGTCTAGCGACGACGCGGTACCTCAAGTGGGCGCATCAATTCTTCGCCATTGAGCCCATTGAGGTTCGCGTATTCGAGAAAGAGGATGATATCGGAGGGACCTTCAAGTATCGCGTGTATGAAGCTGCCGAGGTAAGCCCAACGATTCGAGGCTGAAAGTCTATTTGACGTCGTGTCCTGAGGAGAGTTGATGACGCTAACACGATCAATGATAGCTTGTGTCGTCCAAATATCTGACCGCCTTCTCTGATCATCGCTTACCACCAGACGCCCCTGACTATCTTACTCCGGAGCGCTATGTAGAGTATCTGAACGAGTACTGCGACCGTTTCCAACTCAGACAGCACATCGAGCTCTCATCTCCGGTAACCCGCGTTCGTCGAAGGAAAGCCGGAGGGCACGTTGTCACAGTATCCTGTCCGGATGGCACCACGTTCGAATACGAGTGCGACGCCGTCGCTGTCTGCTCCGGCCTCAACGTCGAACCCCGGATTCCGCCTGTCAAAGGACTCGAAAGAGTCCCAAAAGTTCTCCACTCTTCGGAATTCAAGACTCGGGACCAACTCCGAGCTATCAAGAGCGAGAAGCCCACTGTAGTGATCGTCGGTACTGGAGAAACGGCCCAGGATCTTGGGGAGATCACTGTGACGACTGAAAATATTAAGCATGTTGTCATGTGCCATCGCGATGGCTTTATCGTTGCCCCTAAGGTATGCGATCAGTGTCGGTGGGAGAAAATGTTGACGAATGCTGACTTTCACATAGACTGCCCCTGCACCGGTCATGTTTGGTTTCTGGGGCAAGGGCCAGAAGATCAAGGAGAAGCCAGTCGACTGCTCTATTGCCAGTTTATTCGACACAGCATACGTCCCTCCTCGGCTGCAAGCGAGCCAATTTCTTTGGGACTTTTACAACCAACAGATCGACGTTACATTTTCTTTGATTGGCGGCACGTTGGAAGGATGGGACCAGTTGGTTGGCGGTATGCGCCGCGAAAGAATGCACATCGACCATTGTAGGTTGACCAACATCAAAAGAGGCTGATTCCCTGAGCTAACATGTTACACAGTCTTCCCTGCCAAGTCTGCCCGAGCCATTCCGTACATCTCAGCTCCTTGGCGCAAGCCACTTTCCCTCCGAGAACGCCTTCGCAGATTCTTCTTCTACATCAAGGAGTTTGACATCGATCCCAAGGGTCGCTACATCGACGTAGCCCCCTGGCCCGACTATGTCGACGACGATGGCGTGATGCACTTCATGGACAATGGACGGCCGGAAGCTGAGAGGATGAAGGGAATTACTGTTAAGCCGGACTTGGTCATCTTCGCAACGGGATACACGCGACGCTTCCCCTTCCTTGACGAGAGCTACGGAACGCCTGACTCGGCGGATGTACGAGCTGTTTATCACAGCCATGATGTTACGACGGGATTCATCGGGTTTGTTCGACCCAATCTCGGTAAGTCTGTATCAAAACGATACTTCTAGCATGCATTACTAACATTGCTTAGGCGCCATACCTACCCTCGCCGAAATGCAAACTCAGTTCTGGATCCTTCGTCTCCTACAGTCAAGATACCCCACCGTCCCCGGCCTCAACCCATCACCGAACGGCCTACCTCTGGACCCCAACGCGCTACCCGGCTACGATATCGATTGGAAGCTACATCCCCGCTGCGGCCGCGACCCATGGGCCGAGAAGCGCGGCGTCGACCATGAGAGCTACGTCTACCAGTTGGCGCTCGACATCGGCTCGGCACCGCGCTTCAGCTACATCCTGCCCCAGGGCTTCCGCGCCGCTTACACTTGGGCCATGGGCAGCAACTTCAACGCCAAGTTCCGTCTTGTCGGTCCCTGGAAGAACGAAGACGAGTCGTTGCGCATCATGCGCGGAGAACTGTTTGGCATTGTCAGCCAGTCCGGTGGATTGTTGTACTTTTTCGCTAATACGTTGATACCCATGTTCATGTTCGGAACGATGAGCGTTGCTATTCACACTTGGGACTGGGCAAAGAGCCTGGTTACGCCGTGGAGACGCAAGGAGGGCCGCATCCGTCTTTCTCATTGTTAGCCATGCAAGCGTTGCTTTTAGTTGAATCACACTAATGGTTCCTGTCAAAAATCAAAGCGTTTCTTATGTTCTATCAAGGCTAATGCAATCTTCCTGGACCAAACTTAAGCGAGTGTATGTGCACCCAAAACATGTGCACCGTTATATGCATGTGGTGTGTCTGAAGTCCACCGAAAATTTAGTTTCTCTCGGCAGAACCCCATCTGACACACTGGATACGGCGGTTGTCACCATCTCTGCCGTCCAAGTTCACACACGGGTGGTCGTTGTCGTTGTTCCATCTTCCCAGCAGGTTGCCGGTGCAGCCACCGCCGTTGCCGGTCTTGCCATCGAAGAAGTACCACGGGCCGGAGGCGAAGTAGACGGAGTGGCTAGTGTCGTCCATCGTGACGTCGACGTTGAAGTTGCTCTCATGCTCATAAGAAGCGGTTCCTTGGGCACTATTGAGCGGGTTAGTATGTGTAAAGTTATCATGGCGCAGCTTGCATTACCAGGTGCCGCTGGAGAACTCGTTGGCCTTGCGGTTGGCGCGAGGAGCAACTGCTGCGGCAGAGGCTCCTGCGGCAGCGCCGAGGGTGAGGACGATGTTGAGAACGTTGGTGAAATGCATGATGTTGGAGGGAGGGATTATTTGAAGATTTGAATGATTGAGAGAACTTGTGTTTGTGAGGGTGGTGGTTGATATTCTGCTGAGTTGATGAGACTGTTGTGGTTGATGCTGGATGAAAGAGGCTCTCTTCTTAGAACTTGAAGGCCTTTACATACTCTTTTCTCCGGCATCATGAGTGTTGAGCAAAGCGAATCGGTCACGGAAATAGTACCACCAAGCAACGTCCCCTAGAATGCGGCTGGACAGTTACACGAAAGGATCTCAGCTGCAGGACTGTCGGTTTTCGCCAAATCCATCGACCCCAAAACTCTTAATTGGCTGGCAGAGCTTCGCAGCCCTGATCGGCACCCCGCACCCGCCCTGTTGCAGGCAGCCACGATCAATTGGGCAGTGCTACTGCAACTCTGAGAAGGCAGATCTTGGGCGCTTAGCCAAGCTGAAAAAAAAGCTTCTTATTTCGAAGAAAATCTGCGCCCTCGGGGCCCGGCACGGCACAGGGCGGAAAGAATCCTTCCGACGATCAGCCTCATCTCGTTGGTCGGATCGGATTCACATCCAACAGCGGCTCCGTTGTGTGCAACTCTGTGAACCGGAACCCTGCAAAGCAACACCGCATTTGCGGAATGCCGGTGCCTGAACTTAGATGTTCGCCCTGTGCTCAGCCACTACACCTATTTTCAGCCCGCAGCACCGCAGCTGCAGCCTTGATGACGTCTGTTTAATCACGATGTGCCTGATCAGGGGGCCAAAATTGAAGAATAGGAACGTCTAAGGATAGACAAAACTTTCACATTTGGAAATGAAATACAGTGAGAAATTAGAACCGTTTCTGTCACAGTAGATCGTGAGTATGACTTGTTGAGCACCTGGAAGTGAGACAAGCTCCTGCGTGTCATGATGAGATGATTCTCGATTAGCCATCCGACCTGTGCTTAAACGTGGCCCAGTCAGACTCAATGATCTGCTTTTATTCTCTTTCTCATTGCCTAAAAGCTGGTCTGGTGAAAGTTTGGTGAATATTATTAGAAATTACTGCAGGAACGAGAGTCCTCGGCTCTATCATATGCGCGCCCCAAACGCCTATATCGTACACTCCCTCTAACATGCCAAAAATAAGAGGAAGACATGCCATATTACGATCGTCTCAGCACCCATCCATCATAAGTCGAGGAAGGATACCGGGGATCCACCTTGCCTTCGTTGGCAGGATTCAGTGTGCTACCAGGCAGCTTCGCCAGTTTCTGAATGATCCTGCCATCCAGATCAGGGTCAGGAGAACGGTAGTTGTACACTGAAGAGTTCGTCTCGGGGATCTGCCTCGGCCTGCATGCAAAGAGCAACTGGTACACCTGACTTTGCTGCCACTTGCCAAAGACCGTGGACAAGGCTAGGTCGACGTAACGTCCGAAGGGGGCAAATTGGACGATCCGCTCGTAGACGTCGCCGTCGCCAGTCTTCTTGGTCGTGAAGATGTCATGCTTGAGTCTATCTAGCTCCCCGTACAGGTGCTGCTTGGGGATAACGAAGCCTGACGGGTCGTGCTCGCCGACACACTCCAACATCCACTTCAGCACGAGATCTGCGAGTACTTCGTTCGGCTTGATCGTTTGACTTGTCCACGCCCAGGCAGGGAGAAGAGCTTGCAGCCGCTGAGGCAGGACATCCCTGACAAGCTTGAACTGCTGGCGAGTGACGTCGTAGTGCGTGCCGGGGAACCAGCGCTCGGTGATGCCGTATGACGGACCGTATTCCGTGTCTCGGGAGATCAGGCACGGCTGGAAGGCGTAGAGTCGGTCATGGAGGGACACTGCGTGATAGACGTCGGAAACGACACTCGAGACGTGCTGGTCGTAAAACTTGGGCCAGTCGGCGCTCACGCCCTCGGCGAACTCGGGGATGCCACGCTCGCCAACTGTGTCGAAGATGCCCATGAACCGAATCGGTGCGTCGATGACCCCACCGTCTCCAATGAGGGGCCAGCTGTACTTCCACCTGAACTGTATCGACTGCTCGGACTTTGGCGCAGTCGCGTCGGACGGATCGCGATAGATGCGGTAGACTTCCTGGCAGAGCTGATGTGTCTTTTCCTCGTCGACATCGCCATTCGCTTGGTATAGCGGCTTCACGATGCCGCAGTTGTTGATCATGCCCGCCACGGAGCGGACGATGTATGCACCGCGGGATGCGCCGAACATCCAGATCTCGGTCTCAAGAGGGGTGAAGCCCCGAACGAGGTATTCATATGTGTCGACACATTGCTGCTCGATATCTTGAACGTTCAAACCGTGGAATACATGACTAGCGCGATGAAGAGGTCAGTAAACATGCATCTCTTCATGGGCTTTTTTCTTGGAAATACTCACTCCATGAACGTGCTACCAGGCGGAACGCTGTTGGTGTAGTGGATCTTTCCCGAGGAGTGAAGATGTGCCCGGTCATCATCTTTTGGCAGCCCACGCCCTCCCCATATCAGGTTCGCGAGGAGGTAGAGATTGGATTCTGACCCGACATCTCGGCCGCTCCATGAACCGTCGGCGAGGACAATCAGTGGGTTCTTCTGCGGGCCGCGGTAGGACATCGTGGGTCTACAGGCTGTTGGAGTGATTGAGTCTGGTCACGCGAGAGCATCCATAACAGAAAGAAGGGTCAACGCAGCTGATGTATGTGACGGTCAAAATGTTTAGATTTTCGAACGAGCTTCATTGGAATGATACACAGTCTGATATTGTGGAGGAAAACAACTCCGAGACAGTTGGGCACAGTCCGCAACCGCTTACATTCCACGCATCCAATTGTTGTTTTCGAAAGCTAACTTTGCGGAAGCATTACGACGATAACATACTACAGAACAAATGTAGATACGGCATTCGTCAATCAAGGTGTGATAAATCAGCGACGCTTTCTGCCTCATGCACCTTCACCTGTTCTCCGTGTCGGATTCAATGGTGCTGAGGTCGTGATGGAAGTCGTCGTGCTAAAGTCCAGACCAACACAGATGGGATTTCGTCGCATCCAAGAATGCCATGTTTCAATTTCCGTGCTTCCGGCATTCAGACTGCATAGATGCAATCTGACAGGATGGGGGCGATGACCCGGAAATAAAGGGTTCTTGGCCACGACCCCCTGAGGGATGGACTGGGACCTCATCACAGAGCCCTGTAAATATGACTCGCCGCTAAGCAAGGGCCCTTCATTTCCCTGGCCGATCCTCTTCGCTCTCGGTTCGACGTTTGTTTTTGCGCGCCTCCCAGTTGAAGAAGCTCAGTGTCCCAGAGAAACGTCGAAAGTCAGCACGTATCTCACCTTTCCACTCCATCGACAACAACTTGTGGAAGTTGTGCCTGCCTTCTCTCAGCCACGCGGTAGGTTTTAGCACTGTTGCCATACATTTTAGTCATCAGCAAACGGGCGCTTGGTCTAGGGGTATGATTTTCGCTTCGCACCTTCCGGCTGACGCTGAGTTCACGATGTGTTCCAGTGTTGATTGAGTTGCGCCTTTGTGAAAGGTCGTGGGTTCAATTCCCACAGTGTCCAAATGTTTTACTTCCTTCGTGGTTAAAATTGCATTTTTGTTTGTGATGATGAGCTCTTTTCCTACTATCTTTCAATTATTTACTGAACAAGGATATGCGGGTGCTCACGTGTAGGTGTTTTCTGATCTTTGCCTGCAATAATCCTATCTAGTACCAGTCGAACGGTGTTGGCTAACTGATTACCAGATGAGTGAATGGCATTCTCTGTGGGGGAGAACACGCCAGACGACACATGATGAATATCAATACACGACGGTCCTTGCATTTCAATCATGAAAGAGTTCGCGGCTCATGGCCCGACATGGCTTTTACATGTGGTCTTCGGGCTCTCAAAAAGTTGCCCAAGGCCACGCATAGGCCAAGGGTTCGTCTAAAGCCTCGAGACTTCGGACTGTCGTGTGTGGGGGCAAACCGAGCAAGCGGTGAAGAAAGACATCATCAGATGACATTGGCTGGTTCACTAAGTGACAAAGCACACCAGCCCCTCCTGCTCAATGTTCAACACTCTCAAACGGAATACAAAATCTGGCGTCAATTGACGTTCTCCCGGCCTTGAAAATCAATATTGAATGCTCAGACGGTGCCGGCTCTTCGTCCGGCAACTGAATGTGGGGGTGGGACAAACAGAGATCGTCGTATGCAGCAGGGATCTCACCCACATCGGCAATCGCTTCGGCTTGCGCAGCTGCAGCTCGCACGCCGAAGAAGGCCAAGCTGTTGGGCCGCCGTTACACGAAAGGCAGGTACGGACGAACCGGACTAACCAAGGAGTTCGGATTGAATAAGCGAAGTGGGGAATTGGACGGCTACTGCAGCATTCGGAGATTGCAGACGTGGAAAAGAGTGCGTTTTGGCAGCTGCAGAGCAGGTTTGTTTACGTAGACATGCCTTGGCTTTGGGGGCTTCTTTCTCGTACTTGGTCCGAGGACGTCGGAGCTGCCCCGATGAGTGAAAAGGGGGCTTTATAAGTCAGGGATCGCAGCTGGTGAGTCTGGTGAGAATTGTCTGTTGTGGTGTTGTCGGCGCCCAGTCTCTCGAAGTCAGCCAGCCTCAGCAAATGACCATGGCAGCCTGTTCGGCACGCACTCTCTCGGTCCTCGGTGCGGCGACAGCCGTCGCCGCTGCAGCGAACTCCAGCGCCTGCACTTCTGCAACCTTCGCCTCACTGACACTGAGCAACATTGAGATCATCTCTCTCAATGTTTCCGCTCTGCGCAACGTGTCTCTGGCCTCCGGCCAAGACGCGGGAACCGGCGTTGGTGTGGGCATCATCTCGGCTCCGACGGGAGAGACGGCCTCCGGCGTGGATCTCTGCCAGATCGCTATCCAGTACACGCACCCCGGCCAGAACGACAACGTCAACACTTACATCGGACTTCCTCTTGAGGCGGCGAACTGGAACTCCCGGTTCATGATGGGCGGAGGTGGCGGTTGGGTTGCTGGCGGATCGGGCGTCATCATCGGCCCCGTGGCATCTGGCTACTCGAGCTCGTCAACCGATGGAGGGCACAACTCTACGACTACGACAGCAGAATGGGGTCTTGTCAGTGAGGGTAACACCAACTGGCCGGCGCTGAACGACTTTGCGTCTGTGGCTCTCGATGAAGCTGCGAAGTTGGGCAAGGCTGCCACGCAGATGTACTACGGCAAAGATCCGACCTACTCCTACTGGAATGGGTGTTCGACCGGAGGACGACAGGGGCACATGATGGCGCAGAGGTTCCCCGAGCACTTTGACGGCATCTTGGCCTCGGCTTCGGCGTTCAACTGGCAAAAGTTCCAGACTGCTTCCATGTACCCGGCCTTCTTGTCGGAGTTGCTGGGTAAGCTTTGCGTCACCAATTGGAAGAGGAAGAGTTGGCTGACATGAGTCCAGATGTGATCCCCCCATCCTGCGTCCTTAACGCCTTCACGGACGCTGCTATCGAGGCATGCGACGAACTCGACGGCGTCAAGGACAGCATCATTTCTCTGCCTGGGTCCTGCAACTTCAACGCTTCTTCTCTCGTCGGCCAGACCGTCGCATGCACCAACCCCAACGCGACGATCACCATCGACGAGAAGACTGCGCAGTTCGTGCACGGCTTCTGGGAGGGACCCCGCAGCGCTGAGGGCGTCTTCCAATGGTACGGTTATACTCAGGATGCTCCCCTGACGGCCGTCTTCAGCCCAACCTGCACATCGGTCGACAACTGCACTTACACGCCCTTCTCCGCCACGAACGACTGGTTCGGCGTCTTCCTCGAGAGGAACTCCACCTGGAGCATCGAGAGCTCCGGCATCACCCAAGAGCGGTTCGACAGACTGCACCGCATCTCCGTGGACGAGTACACCTCCTCCATCGGCACCGACAACGTCGACCTGACGGACTTCAAGAAGCGCGGAACGAAGATGATCACCTGGCATGGCATGCAGGATCCTCTCATTCCGTACAACGGCACGGTGGACTACTACGAGCGCGTCAAGGCCTGGGATGCGAATGTCGAGGATTACTATCGGTTCTTCCCTGCTCCGGGTGTCTCTCACTGTGGCGGCGGCGCTGGGTTTGACCCGAGCGACTACGTCTTCGACGCGTTGCGCGCGTGGGTTGAGAATGGCACGGCGCCAGAGACTTTGACTGGCCAGGGAACTGCGGTCGGCAACTCCAGCGAGACTCGTACGGTGAACTTGTGCATGTATCCCAAGGTCCTGACCTTTACTGGAACCGATCCTGATGATGCTGCTTCATATGAGTGCATCTAGGTAGTCTGCAGCTTCAATCCATGATCATTACAGTCCAGCGATTTTTGCAGCACGTCTGTTAACATAATACACACCTATAGCAACTCATTCCTATGATCAAGGCCTTTTGATGTTGGCCCGACTGCGTTTCGAAGTGGCCCCGCGAATGCCCCAGTCCGCAGCGGGCCTGTTAGGCAAGATCCCGCAGCAAACCCACATCGTCAACTCCGATATGGTGTAGTGGCCAACATGATGCCCTCTCATGAACTTGAGAGGTTAGGCATAGCCTCGAGTTCGATTCTCGGTTTCGGAACATTTTGCTAGTTTTCTTTTTTGTTTGGCTGTTAGATATGGACGATCGGAAGCCAGAGACGCTGTTACTGACTGAGTTCATGCAATGTGTTTGTTGTGCTGGTGGTGAATCGGCAGCTTACTTCCGAACTAAGTCCAGGACGTAAGACGTGGTTTGTAATCCTCAACTCCAACATCTTACGATGATGAAGTTTTAAATCAACAGTAGCTTCAAATCGTGTATCCTCATCGTCCGCTTTGACGTGTGGGGGTGACCCGGTCCAACCACTTAACTCTATGCGCGGATCCAACGCCAAAAGATCCCCGCTGCGAATGCCGTGCAGAACCGCCTCGAAGTCTAACAGTTCAGCGCAAGATTTGTAAGCGTTTCATCGGCGAACGCAATTATTCAGACAACACTTCAACGTCACTCCCCACTTCAAACCTTTATCCGGATAAAAGTCGTGATCCAGACGAGCGTAACTCGACACACTTGTTTGACCAGCAACTACAATACACACTCACTTAATAAACTCATTCACACAGCCCAACTAACACCATGTCGGGAACAATGAAGGCTCTCGTCACCACCGGCGAAAAGACCGCCAAGATCGCAGAGGTGAGTACCATCTCATGACGGGCACACTTTCAACCCCGCATTCACTGACATCCCACTCAGATCCCCATCCCACAACCCGGCGCAGGCGAGATCCTCGTCAAAGTCCACTACGTAGCTCAGAACCCGACAGACTGGAAGTCCACCGCCTCAGCCAAAGACGCCGGCCGCACCATCGGCTGCGACTTCGCCGGCAGCGTCGTCAACCCCAACGGCTCGCAGTTCAAGGAGGGCCAGCGCGTCGCCGGCTGGGTCTTCGGCTGCAGCCCGGACCCCCCGCGCGGTGCCTTCGCCGAGTACCTCATCACCGAGAGCAGCCTGGTCTTCCCCGTCCCTGAGGGCATCACCGATCCCCAGGCCGCCGTCGTCTCGCTGGCCGTCGCCACCGTCGTGCAGGCCCTCTTCCAGCGCTTGGCGCTGCCGTCGCCGTCCAGCCCGGCCACGCAGCCGTTCCCGATCCTGATCAACGGCGGCACGAGCAGCGTCGGGCTCTACGCGGTCCAGCTCGCCAAGAAGGCGGGCCTGAAGGTCATCGCCACCGGCAGCAAGAGGAACCACGAGCTGCTGAAGAGCCTCGGCGCGGACGTGACGGTCGACTACCGCGACGCGGACTGGATCGAGCAGGTGAAGAAGGCGGCGGGCGACAAGCTGCAGTATGCGTTTGACTGCATCAGCGAGGTCGACACCACCAAGGCCGTTGTGCAGACGATCTCGTCCGAGGGCGGACACGTCATGTGTATTCTGCCCCGCAAGGCCGACGAGGTTGAGGCGCCGTCGTACGTCAAGGTCGAGAGCACATTGGCGTACACCGTCTTTGGAAAGCCGCTTGAGTACGGCGCTTTCGATAATCTGAAGGGCGACAGGAGCGGCGACAAGCAGTTTTGGGAGAAGTACCTCCAGGTGATTCCCAAGTGGCTGGAGGACGGGTATCTCAAGCCGAACCCGCCAAAGGAGTTTGGCGGCCTGGAAGATATCCCGAAGGGCTTCAAGTTGCAGGAGGAGGGTGGTGTAAGTGCTGAGAAGCTTGTGTACAAGATTGCCTGAACCAGACAGGGCGTATGAGTGAGTATTCCGTAGTAGATAATGTGGAAAATGGCTGCAAACAAAGCAAAAGCTTGCTTATTAAATGGTTTTAGCATGGGAGCATACTCACGAATGACTGCTACTTCATGACTTACGCGTGTCGTCTTTCTGTACGCATCGACGTCTCTTGACTGTGTTGCGCGTTCTCGACCGAGCTTTGTCTTGTTGAGCCGTCATTCTCACGCCGTGTGTAGACACCCGACGTGCCACAAGGTTGTCATTTGTTTCTATATCCGTCATGGTGATCTAGGCGTTGGTGAGAGATCAAACCCGGCTGCCTAATAAGTAGATGTGAAAAGAGACATTACTTAGGACGCCTTACTAAGGTAGGCAGGAGTCTCCCGCAAATAAGAGGTTTTACAGATCACTAACATGTAGGCTTCATGACAGATCTTCTCTATAATCCTGATAGACTCTATTTGGTATTATGCTTTCACATTACGCTCATGGTATCCTAAAAAACACTCTCGCCTTCAAAAGTCCAAAGTATCGACTCGCTCGCTCTTTAGCAGATGTAGGTGTACTGCGCGCGGATGCCGCCGTTGTCCTTGCAGCCCTGCTGGTAGGCGCCGAACTTGCTGTCATCAACGCAGCACTGCGATTGTCAATTAGCAAATGCGCTCCTGCTCCAAGGCGAGACTTGTCACGACTTACCGCCGCAGGGTAGCTCTTCTCCGGGGTTCCGCCGACTGCGGTGCAGATGTTGGTGCTGGGGTTCGGGTTGCCGCTGTTGGTGACGCAGAGGTAGCCAGCGAAAGCCGGGCTGGCGCGGCAGGTCTATTAGCGACGGAAACCCAAAATGATTAAGGTTAATGACGTGCGCTGGCGGGTGGACTTACGCGGCGTGCGCCAAGGCGAGGGCGAGTACGGCGGTAACCTTCATGGTGATGATGTGAATTTCGATGTGGTTTGGTGGGAAGCAGGTTGCGTGAATTCGATGGTTTAGAGATACTGTAGCTTCGCAAGAATTGTAGGCGCTTTCATGTTGCTTGGAGGGAGGAGTGAGCGAGATATAACGGTGCCGATTTCCTTGCGGTGCGAGTTTTGGCAGCGCGAACGACTCATTGACGACATGGATAGCCATGGAGGTCTGGGGGAGCGACGGGGGATGACCCCTGGCATAATATATTTTTGACGGGACATCAAACGGTGTGCCTCTGCTGTTCAATATGGCTTAAGTGGCTGTGGTCACCTGTTTCTCATGCCGTCTGCTAATGTCTTTGCCGCTGTTCAGATGATAACGTCGGCAATCGTGTTCATGAGGAGACAAGACTGGACTCGGTTCTATCCGAATAGATCGCCTTATAACACCCGACGAAGACAAACGCAAAGAATGATAAGCGGCAAACCCCTTCCGTTTACATACCACCTGCCATTGACGACAGCGTTGTAGATAATTCGATGATTCTCCATTTAAAGAAGGGGTCTAGACTCTGACCTTTCGCAAGGGTTCACTTCCAGTACCCATTTAACAACATGCGCTTGGATATTTCCAACACCGAAACCGAAGCAGAAGTCTCTTGACCCTTCAACTTTCTGGAAAACTTCCAATTCTCGCTCAAATGCATAGCGGCATCTTCCGCCAGAACACGGGGCCGAGATCCCGTTGAGATTGCGAGCGGCACTGAAGCGTGGGCCTGGGGAAATGCCACAAAAGCCCCCACGAGTCAGTGATCGCCGCGGTGTTGGCTGTGCGCGCGCCCTGCCCTGCGGCGGGCCTCTGCTTCATGAAGTTCAACGGTCCCTTGAGTTGGGAGCGCCGGTCGGACGAGACTCTGAAGGATCTCTTATGTTGACAACTTTGGGGAAGCATGGCCTGCTTTGGGGCCTTGCGACGCGCTGCAGCGTCTGGGATCTATTGCTAACGAACAGGTGCTTCGTCTGAACGTCGAATGCCTCCGGCGACCAAACCCCAGCCCGTTACATCCAACATATCTTTACAAGCCGCCGCGGCTCCCGTGGACATCTTATGGTCAAGCGATTAGCCAACAGCCACTTGAAAATTCTGCTCTGGTGATCGTCCTTGGCACTCTGTCCCGGGCAGCAATTAACCCCCTGACGACCGACACTTTTGGTGTTTCTCCTTCTCTCGTCGCTTACCACGTGGTGATGTGGCCCCCGGTGGGATACTTTGTGAATGCCCCCAGTCGGGAAGATGGGCAGTGACCAACAACAAAACCAACATCCGTCGAAACAGTTTGGTGGGCGTGAACTTCTTCCTCTGTATAGCATTTACTCAGAGTAATTGGCATTTTGAGACTTTGATGCAGCAGAAAGACCACAATGCTTGTCCATTCTAGCCACAGCAAACTGCGTCGCCCTCCTTTTTGCTCGCACCGACGACCTCTAGCTCACTCATGGTAACAATTTCACAGGATCCCTTGCACTCCATGAAAACTAGATACCATGCTTCTGGATGCCGCACATCGTGATTCGCGGACCTTTTGTCTGCTCTGCATTCCATCTATCTCATTCAAAATAAGCTCGCCAGTCGGCACGTCAGCCGAATGCTTATCGTCCCCAAACCGTAACAGGTAAACAGCTGTGCCTGGCTGCAGCTTCGAGCTAACGTATCACGTCACACCATCACGGACCACCGCTGCCATCTTTCGCTGCAGACTTTCCCGGGAAAGGGCAGCTCGCTCAAGGTTTGGGTCGAAATGAGGGGATCTTGCTCCAAATCTATGTACTACGCGTCGCGCCAGAATCAAGCTTTCGGAGCATTCTAGAGGACGGGAAAATGTGAGATGGTTCTCCGCGCGGGAGAAATAGGCGACGATGAGGGGGAATTTGGGTTTTGAGGCGACGATAAGTAGGCTAACTCGTCCGTTGTGGTGCGCGTATAAGATGGGAGCGGTCCTGTTGAGTAGTTCCTGTACGGGATCCAAGGTACTGTTATTCTGATCGCAAGGTTTCCGATTCGGGGTCGAGATGCACTATATCAGCCTCCTCGCCAGCCTGGCGTCCCTCTGGGGCGCGGCAGATGCGGCCTTTGGTCTAGCAGCCGGCAACAGCACGACATACAAAGTCGACACCAACGGCGGGCTCGTTTTTGAAGTTAATAAGTAGGACCTTTCATGAAGATTACCCCATCGATCAGCTGGCTAAGATGCAGAGCAAATGGCGACATCACAAGCCTTCTCTACAACGGCGTCGAGTACCAGGGCACCTCCAAGATGTCGCAGATCAACTCCGGCCTGGGCGCCTCCACGGTCACGGCGGAGACGGTGGGCGGCGTGGTCAAGATCACCGTCAAGGCCGGTGCGCAGCCGCTGACGCACTACTACGTCGCAAAGCCGGATGACCCGACCATCTACATGGTGACGCACATCACGGGCGAGATCGCGCCCGGAGAGCTGCGGTGGCTTGCGCGGCTGAGGCGAGCGGCGGTGCCAACGGGCTGGCATGGTGATGTTGCTGATCTTGACGGGTGTACGGCGTTTGAGGGGAAGGATACATTTCGGTGTGCGGACGACACTACTCGTTGCAAAATGTGAGTGTGGTTCTCACCCTTCAGGGACTAGAGTAAGTTGACACCGATGAAATAGGTACACCTCGGATCGATTCGTCGACGACAAAGTCCACGGAGTCACTGGAAACGTAAGTCTTCACGAACAAGAGAGGAGGGCGCAGCTAATCCCATGCCGCAGAACGTCGGCGTCTGGATGATCATGCCAGGCAACGCGTACGAGCACTCGGCCGGCGGTCCCTTCATGAGGGACATCAACTCGCAGAGCACCGGCGACCAGGAGCTGTACTGGTACATGAACAGCGGGCACGTCAGAACGGAGCCGTGGCGGTTCGGTCTCCTCGGTCCCTACGCGATGCGCTTCACGTAAGATACCGAACTCCCCCTTTCTCGGGACTCACGCTGAACCGAGACCAGAACTGGTGCGCAGCCCTCGGCCGACCTGGACACCAGCTTCTTCGACGCCCTCAAGATCGACGGCTACGTCCCCGACAGCGGGCGCGGAAGCGTCTCGGGCACAGCCACGGGTGTGACGGGCAACTTCGAAACGGTGGTGCACTGGTTCAACAGCGACGCGCAGTACTGGACCAAAGCGACCAACGGAAAGTTCACCTCGCCGCTCATGAAGCCCGGGACGTACACGATGAAGCTGTACCGCGACGAGTTCCCGATCGCGGAGGATAACGTGACGGTCACCGCCGGCGGCAAGGTAACCAAGGATATCGCCTCCACGGAGTCGAAGCCGTCGGTCATCTGGCGCATCGGCGAGTTCGACGGCAAGCCGACGGAGCTGAAGAACGGCGACAAGATCGAGCGGATGCATCCCTCCGACGCGCGTATGGAGAGCTGGGGAGGGACGTACACGGTGGGCAAGTCGCAGGCCAAGGACTTTCCGATGGCGCTGTTTGCGAAGGCGGGCGGCGTGGCGACTGTCGACTTCAACCTCGAGGGAGACCAGCTGGACGGGGTGGTTCTCCGGGTGGGCACGACGCTGTCGTTCAAGGGCGGACGGCCGTCGGCGAAGATTAACGACTGGCAGGCGAGTGACCCGGGTGCTCCGGTAAGTTTCTTGAGGCATATCGATGAAGCTGCGAGTGTGCTGACGACTCTGCATAGACGTTGATCGATTCTAGAGGGGTGACTCGGGGCGCGTATCGTGGGTTTGGCGATGTTTACACGTGGGATGTGCCGGCCAACGCGCTGAGGCAAGGAGCGAACACCCTCACTCTCGGTGTACTCGGGACAGGGGACATGGCGTTTCTGAGTGCGAATTATGTTGTTGATGCGATTGAGCTCCAGGGCAAGGCGGGTGCTGACAGCCCCAGGTAGACTCGGGATATTCGACGTGTCGATTTGATGTAAATATTTGGAAGAAAAGCCTACTCATAGGGTAGCGGATCATATCGTTCGTTTATGCTGTGTAAGACATCGACTAGACATCGACTGGTGGCTTGAGCCGATGTAGTGAGAAGTCGAATAGGTTAGAGGCCGAGTATGTCAAACAGTGAAATAGATCAAAATGCCGAGGACGTCCAAGCTGATAAAAGTAGAGGTCAGGGAGACCAAAAAAGAAAAGAAAAAGACACGAAAAAAGGGATTCGAACCCAAAGGCTCCAGCGCCGGATAATCATGATCTCTGTGTTCAGCTGGCATACTAGTTCTACCATACTGGGCATATTCACGGCCATTTATTCCGGGCGCTGTTGCTGAGGCTGGAACGCAACCTCCTCAAATACCTACTTCTCACCATCGCTCCTGCCTTCACCTTTGACGAAGGTGAAGGTGAAGGTGAAGCCCAGCGGATTCGAGAGGCAGGTGCAGCGTCATTGGTGGGTCCGTCGCGTAAACCGCGGGAGCGCAAGCAAGGGCGCCTGGGGGTCCGTGCTCGGCTTAGTCATGCTAGCTCCACCGTAACTTTTGGACAGCTTCGCGACTCCTTTTCACATCTGCCACTCTAATCGTGAACCCGGCAGAATCCAGGATCGCGACGAACCTCAGTTCCCAGTCATTCCTTTGCCACCGCCAACTTCATTTCGACGCAGCCAAATTTTCGACAAACGATCACTTTTAGTTGAGACAGTCGCAACCATGACCCGCGCCCAGCAGACCATCTCCCTCGCGCTCCTCGTGAGCTCGGTACGACCCCTCCCTGGTATCCCACCTCGAACCCGCGAAGCAGTCACTGATCGATGAACCACGCAGCTCTACCTCGCCCTCTACCTCCAGCTCATTCCTGCCCCTGCCAAGGTTCAGGAGCAAATCATCCCCGTCGTACGTTTTCTCCCCCCCTCAAAGTGTCGACTCGCAGCTTGCGGGCGGCACCAACCCCTGCGGCCACATTGTGGAAGGCCACCTGGCTAACAATCATCACGCAGCTGCCCTTCTGGGCCCTCGTTTCCTTCGGCGCATACCTTCTCGCCAGACTCGGCTACAACGTCATGACCTTCAACGATGTCCCCGAGGCGCACAAGGAGCTGATGGCGGAGATTGACGAGGCCAAGGCCGACCTGCGGAAGCTGGGTGTCGACGTCGACTAAGGAGCTACGAGGGGAATGGATACCAAAAAACCAAATGTACGGTTGCGATCGATGCGATTTGCTACAACAGGAATGGAGTCTCGGCGGTAGATATGGGGAATCAACTCAATTGATGGTATTTGCTGTCGCATGACCAAGAACTACAGGCCTGTGCTACGATATTCAGTGCATACACGAGCGAGTCGCCAATGCTCTCGAGCAAGCATTGCGTGTATCCTGCAGGATGGATGGGCTATATTGGTTGAGAAAGGCCAGGAAATGCATTCAATTCAGCCACCGTTGGCCATCTACCTGATCTAGTCGAGGCAGCCCGTGGTCTGCAGCCCAGAAATCTCCAGGCAATCATTCTGGAAGTCGTTCTCCCTCGTCTCGTCGGCGACAATAATGCACTGTCAAATTGTGAGTACACGTCACGTTTTTGGTGAGCACATGCACGCAAACTTACCGCATTCCCTCCTGCGTGTTTGTTAGCCGTCTGATCTGCGCCCATGGAGGTGACCACCAAGACTTACTCATGAATCCTTGATCCGCACACGCCTGTGTCGTCCAGCCCACGTCGACCCGCTCCTCCATCGGAGGCGCACCCTCCGAAAGATCTTGCTTGGAGCAGAAGCATCTCCTCTCGCGCTGCGCTACCGCGGTCGCGGCCAGCAATGTGCTGCTCTTCAATTCAGCCCGGCACTCAGTCGGTATTATCGACACATCCTTACATGGAAGAGAGGATCTTGGCTGCGGACACCATCTTGACGTGTGACACTGCGTGCGATGCGGAGAGCTGGACAGATAACTGTTGGAAGGAATCGTGGTGATTAGTGATTTAATCCTACGATTTGAGAGACCACCGTTGTCTTTTAATATTCCATTCACGATCAATTAACTTCACAGACACGGCCACTTTGCGACGTCGTCGACAGACGGTTTCCATGTCGCCAAGTCGCAGTAATATCACAGACATTTCGCATACTTCAACGCCCTACATTGCGGTAGCGAAAACGAAATCACCAGCCACCGGGGGCCTATTTACAGAGCGTCCCAGTGACTCGGATCGATCGCCCGCGTGGCGGTTCAGACGATGCCAAGGCCGGTCCAGCGCTGCGTGTCAAACCTTATTCCGACTTTGACGCTTCACGATGCCCTTGCTTTGAGTCAGGAACGAGCTGGCAGGCTTGGCGAGTTTGAAGTCGGGATGAACCAGCCTCATTTTGGAGCATCGTCTGCCCTGTCTTTGCAACTGGGTGACGATCAGCTCTGTCTATGCTTGGCCTTGGAGAACCGGATCGGCATCTGAGTCGACCTGGCGGGCAACGCTCTTCAAGCGAGAAATTACACGTTTGGCGTGGCTGTGCCTCTGCTCCTGCAAATCGTTGCAGAGTCCTTGGCCGTGTCCTCGCCGTCGGCTTGCCCGAGGGATCGACGCAATATGCCGCCGGCAAGCATTGCCTGTTCCTACGTCTTGGGCTGCTGTAAACTGGAACACCCACCTTTTAAACCACAAGAAGCGAGGTAGACCTGGCGAGTCTGAGTGTCCCAGTTCAGAACCTCGGTAGTTTATTTCATCGCATGGTAGGTTGCTGCGCTGTCAAGTGGACACATGCTTAGAGTGAGAGGCCCACGATGAAGACAGCAGGCCTGAATTATTCATCCTTGAGCAGGAAACTCCTTTCCTTCTGCCAATTGCTGCAAATTCTGGGCTGGTCGTCGAATGGCTTTTTCAGAAAAGCCCGTACGTAACACAAATTCTCTCAATTGCTCCCCCGCGTTCACGCACATGAGAAGCGACCTTGGGAACCATTGAATGTCCGAACATATCGTATCGACAAGCACTGAATGCGGGGTTAGCTGTGTGATTGAACCTAATCCTTGCAATGATGCAACCACGCATACCGTATCTTTTCTAGTACCCTCCCTCTCCTCCCAGATAACGCTTCAACTGTCGAGGGGCCCTTCACTGATAATTACGTGGGGGCGAGAGTTCACCTCCGATTGGGGGTCATTGTTGTGCTCGGGCAACGTTATCGGCCAACTGGGGCATCCGTTTACCGGAGGCCTGGATCATCGGCTGCCGTGCCCGTCTGCAGCCGGAAACATCACCACATCTTCGTCATATAGAAGCAAAAAAGGGATGTGATTCTGCGAGATACACACCCTCAAGCTCAACTAAGCAACCCAATCGGTACCCCCTGCCTCTTCCCATACCTCGACTTCCATCGGACCCCATCATGCCTGAGCCGCCGTATCCCCTGCACCCGTCGGTCCTCGACCGCATCAACCCCGAGTACAAAGACTTTTACAACAAATTCGTCTTTGACAAGCAGGTCGTGCATCACCAGCCCATTTCGGCGTCCAGGGCCAGCGGCACTCTCATCCCCGGCGCCGGACCAAAGCTCGAGTTCGCGAGCTCCCAGGACTTTCACATCCCACGGAAAGAAACGACCGGGCCCGATATCCTGGTTCGTGCGTTCACGCCTTTGGGGGAGAAGCCTGAGAAGGGATGGCCGCTGTGCATCTGGTTCCACGGAGGCGGCTGGGTGTTGGGAAACATTGACACCGAGAATGTCATCGCTACGAATTTGACCAACCGCGCGAAGTGCGTTACGATCTGCGTGGACTACCGGTAAGCCCCCCCAAGCCTTTCAAAGTGAGTTGTAACTAAGAACATCCCCAGACTGGCCCCAGAAGACCCCTTCCCCGCCGCAGTCGACGACTGCTGGGAATCCCTCCTCTGGGCCATCTCCGCCGGCGCCTCCAAACTCAGCCTCGACACCTCCCGCATCGCCCTCAGCGGCTCCTCCGCCGGCGGCAACCTCACCACCGTCCTGTGCCAGCGCGCCGCCACGCGCAGCGACATCCCCAAGATCGCAGTTCAGCTGCTTTCCGTGCCAGTCGCCGACAACACCGCCGCCGTCGAGTCCGCCGCGCCGGAGCACGCCTCCTGGCGCGAGAACGAGTTCACGCCCGCGCTGCCGGCCGAGAAGATGCTGTGGTACCGCTACCACTACCTGCCGCGGCGCGATGACTGGGCGCACCCGGAGGCGAGCCCGTTGCTGTGGCAGGGGGATTGGTCGAAGTTGCCGCCGGCGAGCATTGTGGTGGGCGAGCTTGATGTGTTGCGGAGCGAGGGCGAGGCGCTGGGGAAGAAGCTGGCGGACGCGGGGGTGGCGGTAGATTTGCATGTTATGAAGGGGCAGCCGCATCCGTTCATTGCGATGGACGAGGCGTTGGAAGATGGGAGGAGGGCGGTTACGTTGTTTGTGGAGAAGTTGGTTGAGTTGCTATAAACTTGAGGGAATTGAGATATACCGCTCTGGAGTACCCATGATAATACAGCTCAATCAAAGATTCCAATGTTCACTTGCTCCCGGAATACTCTGATCAGAACGTCGGGAGACGTTCATAAAGCCTTTTGATGGATTCACCGAGCGCATCTCTAGCGTAATGGGTTGTTGAAACCATAGTCGGCTGTGGAAGTCTTCACTAAAAGACCCACCGGCAATTTGTGAGAACGACATTTCTGAACTTTTACTTTTATTACTAGATCTGCTTTTCAGCTCGCCAACTAGCTTACAACACAGCGATGCACTCAATCTCAACATCAACGTTGAGAGGCAGAGTCTTGACCGCGACGCAACTACACATAACTCATCAGCAAACCAAGTCTCAAGCAGAAATAAACCAGCAAGTGACTCACGTTCTAGAAGGCTTGATGTCGCCCCAGTATGTGCAGTAGACCTCATTCATGGCCGCAAAGTCGTCCATGTTGGCCAGGAAGACGTTCACCTTGACAACCTTGTCAATGGTGGTACCGGCACCCTCCAGGATCGCTGTAAGGTTCTTGATGCATTGGTGCTGCAACCACAGATTAGCTACCGCCGAACGTTCCCATCGGGAACCAACAACTGGGGGGGGGGGGGTTAATGCACGTACGGTGTGAGCTTGGATGTCACCGTCGATGATCTTCATAGACACAGGTTCCATGGGCACGGCGCCGGAGCAGAAGACCATGCCATTGGCGATGATGGCCTGGCTGTAGATGCCCGGCAGGGGCTTGGGGGCCTTATCGGTGAGGACGGGGGTCTTGGTAGAGGACATTGTTCTGGTTGTTGGTGGGAGGATGGTGTGCTAGGTCAGGCAAGGGTTGTTGATGCAGGTGATAGTTACTTGGGAGATTGGTAAGATGTTGGTTGCTCGGGCATAGTAGTTAAAGATGTCTCTTCGGAAACTCTGATTTCTACATCAGACGCATGCTCCGCGCCAAACTGGCCCAGAAACAAGTCCGTTGTCGGAATCGGAGCACTGCCCGCGGAGAGTTGAGGTATGATCGTCCTATCAACCCAATTCCCCGCACGGGACTTGCATGACAGATGATTCCCCCCCTTATCTCTCCTCGATATCTGTTGGCTGTGGATCTTCCCGTATGGATGACACGAACCCATAACCAACCTCCAAAAGTAACGTTAAATGAAGGATTGACTGCTACCGACAAGAACGGTTTCTGGGCCCATAAGCTTGTCATTCGCGACCCCCACGGAACGGCCCCTCTTTAGTCGGTCCTCATCGGTTCCTAATGCCGGTCTGATAAAGCTTCACTAGACTCCACCCGCACCGATACGACCGTTGCAGGTCAAGCTTGAAGTCACGAGGCGATTGGGGTAATTGCGGGGTGGTAGCGGACCTCGAGAATACATGTAGACTGCTCTCCCATCGCTGCATGAAGGGCTTCGCCAAAATCCTGGAAACGGCTTCCATCCGTTTGGCCGTCCTGTACGTGGTCAGCATTCGCCCAGGTATGCGACCGTCACGGGGCGTCAAACCCAGCCAAGTATGCAACAGCCGGGACCGTAGCTTAAGACCAAGAAGAGAGCTTACTCTGCCGATCGACCTGGGGTTAAACCGAGCCTATCCCATCAGGAACTAGATATCCCTGAAATGTTCCTTGGAGAAGGCCCACAGCTAGTATCACCCTTATCTTTAGCTGCCTCTACATACCCCAACACCACGCGCGAAAAGCAGCCGAGGAGATCCTGCCCTGCGTATTAGCCGACCAGCGTGATAAGACATGCTCTGACGCTGAATTTGGGGAAGCGATAAGCACCCCAATTGAGTGTGACCCCAAATGTGACTTTATCTACGCAGGTATCCTATCCTGTTTCGTCCGAACATGCTCCCTCCTTCATCGCACGACGCCCAAAGCGCGCGACACACCGCCACCTTTGCCTCCTGAGCAATCCGTTACGAGACGACTCCGATTCTCACCATGGGCGACGAGGCGGACAGCAAGATCACGCGGGCGGCCGACCGTGAAGGCTCGATCCGGGAGGGCTCGACAGACGGGAACGAGGTTGGGAATGATGGCAAGATCGATGCCTACGGCGACGAGGTGCACGTGGTCGACCACGAGGCGGAGCGACGCTTGTGTCGCAAGCTGGACTTCCGGCTCATGCCTGTGCTTGCCATCATGTGTAAGACGGGCACCCAGCGACCAGCACTTTGCCTGCGATCACTGACTTCATCCACGCAGACCTGTTCAACGCCCTCGACAAGGGTAACATCGGAAACGCCGAGACCGATGGCATGAGCACCAACCTCGGCTTCAAAGACGGACAGTACAACCTCATCGTCAGCATCTTCTTCGTGCCGTATGTCGTCGCGGCCCCGTTCGTCGCCTTCGTCGGCAAGAGGTTCGGCCCGGCGGTCATCCTCCCGATTCTCATGTTCACCTTCGGAAGCATGACGCTGCTCATGGCGGCTGTGCAGAACTTTGGTGGCGTCCTGGCACTGCGATGGATCTTGGGCATGAGCGAGAGCGGCTTCTTCCCCTTGGTCATCTACTATCTGACGACGTTCTACCGCCGCGGTGAGCTGGCGAGACGACTGGCTATCTTCTATGCTGCGTCGAACATTGTAAGAGACTTGCTCTCCCCGAAACCTCCCCAGGATAGCGACTGACAAAGTTTAGGCGAATGCCTTCTCGGGACTCCTCGCCTTCGGTGTCTTTCGCATTAAGAGCACGAGCCTCTACCCCTGGCGCTGGCTGTTCATCGTGGAGGGAACCGCAAGTGTTCTCTTCTCAATCTTCGCTTTCTGGTATCTTCCGCGAAGCGCTGCAGAGGCTAAATTTCTCAACGCTGAAGAGAAGCAACTCGCTTTTCACCGCATCCGAGTCGATAGCTCTTCAGTCGTTGGCGAGAAGATGAGCATCAAGGAGAGTGCCAAGGTCTTTAAGCACCCTACTACAGTAAGACTTCCCCGTATCATTTACATAAAATCAGTTTTGTGTTTTTTTTGCTAACTACTTGATAAAAGTTTGGCTTCTTGCTCATCGAAATCTGCCTCGGAGTTCCTCTCCAGAGTGTCAACCTCTTCATGCCCCAGATCATCCAGCGTCTGGGCTACAGCACCGTAAAAACCAACCTGTACACCGTTGCCCCGAATGTCACCGGAGCTTGCATGCTTCTCATCCTGGCTTTCCTCTCCGATTGGCGCCGCCTTCGCTTCCCATTCATCGCATTGGGTTTCTCTCTAACCTTCATCGGCTTCATCATCTATGCCGCGATCGACGATGTTGAGAGGCAGATCAAGTTGGCATACTATGCGTGCTTCATGATGACGTGGGGAACTTCAGCCCCTAGTGTCCTACTGTCAACGTGGTACAACAACAACGTTGTGAACGAGAACCAGCGTACGTCATCTATCAGCTACATTTACTCACCAAAAGCTGACTTGAAAATACCAGGTGTATTCTTGACCTCGATTGGTGTTCCGCTGGCAAACCTCATGGGTCTCGTCAGCAGCAACATCTTCCGCAAGCCCGACGCGCCAAAATACGCACCTGCACTGATCACGACAGCCTCGTTTGGTGGCACTGGCATTCTTTGTGCCTTGTCGCTGGGTTGCTTCATGATTTGGGATAATAAGAGGAGGAACAGGGCGCAGGGTGTCAACCTAACTGCTAGTGACGTGCCGACGTCCAAGCTGAACGATGGGCCTAAGAGCCCCGACTTCAGGTGGTTCCTATAAGATTCAAGGATATAGTATAGGAGATGCTGGACTAGTATTAAAGAAAACAATTGGAAATGGCTTCCTGTACCATGGATATCTGATCGACTCATTGACACGATTGACACTGACAAAGATGCTCGCCTGCCTACTAAAATGGACCAGAAAGCGAGCTTGTGTAGATTAACATGATCAGGTTGAGATCTTAGTTGCGTGCCCTTTGCAAAATTTGGTACATCTGATTTCCATCTGTCTTGTCGTCCTAGTTGATCCGACCTGTTCCAGTCACCGCTCTGGCGTGTCACACGGTATCTGATTAGCGAGTAACAAACATTAAGGAACCATCTAAATGTTAACGAATCTCAACTGCAGGCTAAGAGGCCCCATGTGTCCCATTTTTTCCTAGGTATTGTGTCCTCATGCCTTCTTCATTCAAATCACCTTTCTAAGAACCAACGGCCTATCCGATCAGTCGATCTTCATCACATCAATACTATTTCACGAACATTCTCTTTGCCGCCCCAAAGACTTCTTAACTTGGCTCGATATGCCTCCTTCGCAGATTTCATGCTGTCCTTCTCAGTAGATCCTGGCGCTAATGGTTCCGTTCGGGTATGTTGTGAGTCCCACCAGCCAACACGAGACCATCTGTTGTTCTCTTCCTCCGCTACTATAATTCCTTCTAGAATTGACCAACCGGTTTGGACAACAATGAGTGCGCTCAGTTTTGAACGAGAGTTCTGTTGCAATCTGGGGTCGTCGGGATAGTCAATAACTGCCGGCATCTCCATCCCCTCAACAATGATGACTGGTATCCCATTTTCTGCACTTGTGGTTGGAAGTGGGATCCCTATCATCAAGCCACGCACACGAAGCTCGCCCTTCTTGACCTCACCAAATGGCGCATCCGCAGACACGAGCTGAATATCATGACTCAAGATTTCGAAGTCTGGATCCTTCTGTTTTTCGAGATGCGTGTTTATCCATGTGACATCGTCATCGTAAGCCGACCAGCTCCATGTCGGTTTGGGCCTTTCGACAGGGCCAGGGCGTCGGACTGGGTTCTTGTTGTCACTTTGAGCGAATTGTGAAGACCACAAAAGCCCCGATGGTAGATCTGATTTCCAAATACCACAGATGTACTTGTCTTTCAAAGCCACCGCAAACTCTTGCGCTATGGCGGATATTGCCGGCAAGCGGTCGCTCTGATATGTTACTTTTCGGGTGCAATACATATCCACAAGCTCACACCAGTATTCGAGAAGCTCACTGGATTTGAACTGGGCATCACCAGGGTTCTTGAGTATTTCCATCACATCCGAGAAGGTTTCTTGCTCCGCAATGCCATAGCCAGGGTGTGTGTGTGCCTTTCCGATAATCCAACCATCGCAATGCTGGACAACCTGTTCTCCACAATAGCAACTCCATGTTGTTCGATTGTTCAGATACTGAAGGCGACGTCTTGAGAACAAGAGTTCCTGGAAGGTCCAAGCTCTAGTATACCACGGCTCGGGGTAGTCGAAGTGGTACGGCGTGAGAAGAATTGGGACTTGGACATAGTGCTTCCCACGCTTTCCGTATGCCTTGATTTTGAATATGGGCTGAGGCGCCGTCATATCTCTTGCCGGTCCAATAGTCGCATGCCGATCCCTTAAAAATCCTTGCTTCACGTCTTTGGCTGCCGAGGCAATGATTGTGAACGTAGCACACTGGTAAATGTTTCCCATTTTCCCCAGCTCTTTAGCTTTGAAGTCGTAATCGTCTTGTATGATGCAGAGGGCATCAATCCACAAAAACTGGAAGTTGAGTTCCCTGGTAACTTTCATAGCGTCCTGGATCGTAGGGTCGAAGTGATGTAGCTCTAGTCCAGACATGAGATCGTTCTTGTTGCCGATTTTCAGCATCGTCTTCTGTATACCGACTCCCCAGCAGTACGACAGCGCAATGTATCGCTCCCTCATGTCTTGGGTGACTGAAACCAGCTTGACCTTTTGTTTGCAGGAAACATCCAGGAGAAACGATGGCATAGAGGAGGGTCGATCCTTGATACCACAGTTGTGGTCAATCTCGCATTTCCTCAGCCAACTCTGGATCAGAGACATCGATGCCAAGCTGTCCGGTGTTGTGTTCGATGGAGAGCCGACGTAAGTCTGTCTGGCATCTCCGAAGTCTCCTAATATCGTTCTTTGGTAAGCAGTTGGTTACTCATGCATGATGAGCAGCTTACTTGCCTGGAAGTCCCAAGGCAAAGAATGACACCCAAAATGAAATCCATCGCACACTCTTGAATCGTTCTCCGGCTGGGTTAGGCCGCATAATGATGTTAACATCCACTTTTGCTGACTGGTCGTCATAGTCTCCCGGGTTGTCATCGTCGATATTTGTGTAAGCCACCAGGATTCTTACGAAGTCTTCTGCTACATCTGCGGCAACTGCCCCGACCGATTCGTCGTCGCGTGATGCGGACCGCCAGGGTAGGTTCCTCATGACTTGACATAGTCGTTGATACTCCTTCACCTGCTCTTCTCCCATAGAGGCTGCGAGGGCTTCGTAGTGCACGTTTGACCAACGCCCGTCATGCTTTTGAAGGTTGTACTCAACTTTGCTGCATTGCTGCTCCAGCACCACCTTAAACGCTTCGAACTCCAGGCGCTCTTGGATCATGGTCCAGAAAGCGCACCCGGATGCTGCCATCTTTTGGACCTTACTGGTAGTCACGTCGAGCCGGAAATAGTCTTTCGACTTCGTAAAAGCGCGCTGGAAAGGCTCTGGAAGTGGCTTGACCAATATACCGATGCATTTGTCGCAAGAATGTTCCCCTGCATTGGGCGCCACAATAGCTCGCTTCAAATGAAGAATCTCGTAGTCGGTCTCGGAGGGAGGCCCCTGGTTACCTCTCTTCTTGGTCCTCATTGTACTAGAATCTTGAGGATCTCAAGATACTTGTGACAGCCTGTCGTAGACCTCGATTTCAGCCCGGCGATTGATCTGGTGCATTTTAGACATGTCAGATCGAGGATAGAGGAATCAGGCTATCTCCCCTGCACTCGCTGAGCACATGGTGTATGATCGCAGCCAGGCTGGCCAATGGTTGAGTATGCGGGGCGCTTCTGCCTAGATCAACCTTGCTACATGATGTCGTCAAATGCTCGCCAATGATTGTCGACCCACACGTAAGACAACAGGAAAAGACAAGGAGCGAATTTGCCGAGTGCATGGGAGAGTCAGAGGTCAAATTGCAGCGGTAAAGATCCAATATTTCCTAAAGCCAACGGCAATCTCATCATTGTCAATGTAGCTCTACACACCCGTAGTCTGCGTAGGATTTTCATGTCCACTGCTCTCCTGCTTCTTCGCCTCCCGTGTGAGAAGATAGACCCAGTATCCACAGCCCCCGTATTTGGTATCGTCCTGATAAGCTTTGTGAACTTCTTTCAGCCCCTGCTTTTTGTAGATATTCACAGCAGCCTCGAATGATAAGATGAAGACGTCAGCTCCCATTTCCTCGGCAAGTCGTACACCATGCTGAACCAGAGCAGTAGCAACGCCCTTGCCCGTGTTATCGGGATGAACAGCCAGATAGTCAAGACCTGTAGCGCGATTAGACTCATCACAGGATGAAGAGTTGCGAAATTCAGTTCACTGATGGATCCTTACTGATGTACCTGTCCTCAGCCAAGATGCGGTGCTTCTCGGGACCGCAGTCATTGATGCCGTCCATGCTGTACGGCTTCCACCATGCGCCGTCGCTTCGTTCCTTGATGGCCTTCCTCTTCTCCTCGCTTACATCGGGAATCTGCGCATCTGCCCATTCCGGTGCATCCGCGTATTTGGCTGGCAACTCCCAGCGTGCGTAGCCCATGAGAGCACCCGTCTCGGGATCAAGTGCCTTGAAATGACGCAGCGTCTCGCGATTCTTCAGGAGGTTGTTCGGCATGCGCTTGATAACTTCGCCAACGAGAAAATCGAGTTCGATGTTTTGAATCGTCCAGCCGAGTTTCCAGTTTTTATCTGTCGCCCAGAAGGCGTTCATGTTGTTTCGTGCCAAAGCCGGGGCATCGGCGAGCGTGCAGGGCACAATCTTCCAGGAGACCATGATTCTTGCGTTGATTGATAGCTACCCCAACGGGCTGCAGGGTTGATTCGTTGTAGGGGCTCTACCCAAAATCAACCTTTTGATAAAGTTTCGATGGAGCGCGATGGGACGGATCACTATGAATGCTCTTTATTGCGCCTTTTTATTGTTTCTTAGATACGGTCAAACACGCTGCGCTCTACGTGGCTCATTTGAAGCCTTGCCGGTTATCCGGACTGGGATGACGCTGTGGAATATGACACGTTTACGGCCAGTCTCCTTTTGGTAGGCAGGAGGCCTCCCGTTCCATGAGAACACATCTCCTCACAAAGATCTCGGAACAGACAGCTTCTCAAGATGGCGTATGACGAAGACTGCTTCGGTCCAATGTTAGATTCCTCTGGCATAACTTATTGTTTTAGTTGGATTGCTGTTTTCCCCGAGAAGCCGTCAGCACACAAGCGGACCATCAGTGAATTCTCAAACTTACATGACACCCGGTTTGGGACTTTGGTATTGCGACCCCACAGCCAAGCTGGAAGATCAACCTCATTCCCACGCGTAAGCACTCAAATGAGCTTTGGAAGTTTGGCTACCCCGAGAGCTTGCGGAGGATGTAGGTTCATATTTGGAAGATCACGCCCGGAGATCGGCATCGGCAAGCGGGATACAACACCAATGGCGGTGGGGCCGGCCCGGCTTCTTACTCGGGAATATGCACGAACTTTTCAAATATTGTCATCGCTTGAATAAAAGCTATCGCATTGGAGATTTCAATTGAGGATGACACATATAAATAAGAAATGGTCTAAGTTGAGTGTCTGAAGAAGTCGGCTATAGTGCCCAACTGAGCCGAAGGAAATGAGACCAGCCGCCAGCGCCCGAGCCTGAGCTCATTGTATCTAAATTCATTCTGAATTCCCTTTACATTTATCAGGGACAACAGGAGTCTTCAAATCGCGCGGTTGTAACCCGAACGACCATCTGTCTCCGCAGCTTTGTTGTACCCAGACCGACCATCCTCCTCGCGGCGGTTGTAGCCAGATCGACCGTCAGTGGAGACAGCGGCATCTTCACCATCGCGTCTGTTATAACCGGAGCGTCCGTTGGTGTCGATAACAGTGTCGGTCTCTGTACGCCGGTTGTACCCAGATCGGACATCAGTGGTCATTTCTGATTCCGCCTCCTCATCACGTCTGTTGTATCCAGACCGTCCGTCAGTAGTGACAGAATCAGCGCCCTCTTCCCTGCGGTTGTACCCGGAGCGACCATCAGTCGTGACAACACCGTCTGCCTCGACATCCCGACGATTGTAACCGGAGCGGCCGTCGGTCGTAACAGTGCCCTCTTCAATACTGTTGTATCCAGATCTTCCATCTGTCTTTTCCCGCTTATTATATCCAGAACGGCCGTCTGTGGAGGCAAGAGCTTCGACATCGTCGGTGCGAATATGAAGACCCGAATTTTCTTCGTTGACAGCGAGCATCGCTTGTGGGATCTCATGGTTTCCAATGACGATCAAGTTGTTGTTAATCTATCACAGAGTCAGCATGATGAGTCTTACATGTTTACTCCGTTGCTTAAAACGGGAAAAGAAAACAAGGTTACCGATGACAAAAGACTGTCAATTCTGAAGAATTCAACAACCAAGGCACACAAAACCAAGGAGATGATGACTGCGCCAAAGGCTGAGCGACGAACATCGCAACGGTTGTTTGAGCTCGGGGCCGACACATGGGTCGGGAGAATAGGGCCCTTTTCCATAGTTGACTGATAGATTATGGTGTTGATACGATGTGTTTGTATGGATGACAGAAACGGGCTGTCGATGGAATCAAATGGGACGTGGCTGAGTTAATGAGATGAGAGGATGTTATGTTTGATTATTCCTACAAGACCATTAAAGCGTGGAAGATGATTCATTATAAATATTCTTTCAAACAACAGGCTATCGCCAGTTACCACAACGAGGCAATCTCATACAAAGTCAACGTATGGGGGCACTTAGTGAGGCACAGCTGAAGACCCCATCGCTGTTGCGCCCGAGTAGCCAAATGACACAGCCTCCAACAGTAGCCCCCATGCAGGCTGGCTCCAAATCGTGGTCTACGATGACATTTTTCGGCCATGCCGTAAGGCAGCAACATTTGTTTAGTATTGAACCGACCGATGAGCATGCAGATACTGTGAGACGCCCCCAACCCAAGCGCCCGGTGAGGTAAATGTAAGATTCGCCAAGCTGTGAGGTCCAATACGCCACTGTTTCCCACCAAAATCCTGGGCCCTGGTACCAACAGCACCAACAGCGCAAGTTATAGCCTTCTTCGGCGGACAACCCCGTTGAAGAAAGCGCCAATCCCAGTTCCTTGTCGACCAGGATTTGCGCCTCTTGACAGGCTACCGGATCGGGATCTGATTGGGTGTGTCGGATCTTGCTCACCGGGGGCCAGGCCCGGCTCTGAACAAGGCATTGTAGTGCGAGTGTGCCAGCTTCCAATAAACCAACAGTGAGGTTCCAGCAGTGTTCAGAGTACCTTTCTATCGACCCCCAAAATGCCTCCCAAATCCTGTGGGGGTTCTTACTGGTGACCCGAGTGATATTACTGTTTTCCGATTTATGATGCGTGATACGACGACACCGAAGGCGGCAACGTCGCATCGATGGGGGTGTTGGGCGCCAAGACGCAAGTGCGAGTTTACCCACGTGCTGCGCCTGGTAGACATGTGCGTGATAAGCCCATCGTCATGCAGGACGACCTTCAGCCGGCGCGGGCTAGACTTATTGGGGAAATGCGCGTAGTTGCCAATAAGATTTGTGGTGGTAATCCGGGCGAACTGCAACATTTCTCGATCCTGCGCCCTTCAGCCCTATGGCGATCGAGACTTGGTGTTACCGGAAACTGCAATTGCTCTCTGCAGGCTTCGGTGGATGTGGGAAGGAGTTCCGGTGTGACATGTCTTATAATGGTGATTGGCAGGGTTTGGGTGCGTCGCCGCCAAGGGTTGGCAGGCAGACAGTGTGATGAAAAAGATGGGCGAGCAGTCACTTGCCTGGGCTTCGTGAGGCTGTGTGCAAAGAGGTTCCCCTTTTGGGGATCAGGCATGGTCCTGTGAACGAGGAAAAATTTGGAATTACTATTGAATTAACATCTGATGGTATCTTGCCCGAAAGTGATTAAATCCGTTCAATATCGTACATAACATCCTCCCTCGCTGCATGTCCATATGACTACACGTGTGGGGGCTTCGACGGCGTCTGGGGGAACGATATGTCATCCGCATCCAGATTGTCCAAGTCATCGAACTCGCTCAGATTGTGCGATAATGTAGACCTCTTACTCTTGGGTGTCATGTTCGAATTGGCGCCTCCTGAAATGGCCGAGCTGAGACGCTTCTTCTTTTCTGACTGCCCGAGAATGAATCTGACGAAGAACTGGCGCAAGTTGGGTATGCAGGCTGTGAATATGCCCACGTATAGCTCAATATTGGTCCAGATAACACTTGGCATCATTGCCACTGCATGTGTCAGTTTAACGAAAAGGCATACTTGAATTTAACACGTACCAGTAGGGTTCAAGGGATACTTCTTGAACTCCAAAATCTGGGTGATACGATAGCAGCTCACCACAGTAAGGCTTGTCTCTGTCAGTGAAGCTGGTCATCTTGAGCGGGGAAACTGAGGGCAAGTACTCACAATAGGCCGAGCCCGAACATGAACATGATGGCAAACTTCTTCTTCGTGGCCAAATTCATGCTCCAGATTTGCGTCGCGGGTATGATGAGCATCCAGACGTCCAGAGCAATATTGATGCCCGCATGTGCGAGGGCGAGCTGCACAATATCAATGCACTTCCCCATTGCCTCTCCCGTCCAGAAAGTCCAAGCCAGGCTTATGGGCTGGCATTGGAAGAGGCCGACAAAGATGAAGATGAGTCCATTCAGGATATTGAGAATCAACGTGGCCCAGAGAACGATGCGCACCTTTTCGCCGGGCAGGTGGAAGATTCGGAGGTACATGAAAAGGATGGAGGCTTTGATCAGGTCGATGCAGGAGTGGTAGAGGACTTGGAGAGCATAGAAAGCCTGGAGGTTGTCAGTCTGGACTCTGGTGGTTGAGCCGGAATCACATGGGCGACGTACCTTGAAGAAATTCATGATCTGCTGATCGTTCAAGGTCCAGAGGTCTTTTCCAGCTCCATTGTCTTCGACTAGAAAGGCCATCAGCGCAATCTACAGCGGATGGGAAGCAGTTTGCGACTTACGGTAAAAGTGTAGCGAGACGTATCCGAGTAGAATGACCTTTTGTCATTTTAGTTAAGTTTCTGATGAATCTTCGTTTTCCAGCTTCGACTTACGTATGACACAAGGATGGTGTAGTCATCCCAGCCCCACGGCGAAAGTCTTGCAAACTTCGTGACGACTCGGAGGATTACGGATAGCGTAGGCAGAATAGCGAACAAGACAATGCGCACAATCTTGGTAGCCTGTACTTCGTCGTTTAAGGGAAAGTCGCAGGCACTCCAGGTGATGTTTTGCGTTTCTGGGAAATGTTAACAAGAGCAACGGAAATTGAAGATGCACTTCTTTAGAAATCCATACGTAGGGCGCCTTTTAGCGGGCAGCTTACGAGGGAACACCCCTCTACGTATTTGATGTAATCTTCATCCTGGCAAAGACAGTTTTGGTCTCCGGGAGAACAGTTTGTCTGATTTAGTCCGTTCAGCAGACATGGAATCTTCGATCAAAGTCAGCGAATAAGTCTTGGGCGGCGCAGAACATATGCTCACAGCGCATGGTGGGTTATCGTCGAGAGATAGACCAGGAATATCGGGAAGGTTAGTTGGTGCGGGGGGCCGTTGAGCGAGGATCGTCGTCGCAGAAAGAGCGAGCAGAGCGGGGAAGAGACTCGTGTGCATTTCGATGAAACGGTAGGTCGATGTAGCTCCGACCGAGCGATGCTGTCAAGATGTCGTAATAGTTCGATATCGTCTTCGAGCTCGACTCTGATAAGCGACTGGTTTACGGACGTTCGTGAAGCGCCAAGAGCGTCAATATAGTTGCATCAAGATGACGTTCCTATAGGTATCGCGAGGGAAAAGCACTTGTGGTAGAGATGAATGTCCTTCACGACATGGGCTCTTTTTGTTAAAGGACCTGCCTCTGCCCGTTCGTCCTGCATGGCTTGCAAGACATTAATGAATCCAGCCATGCTCAGATAACCGATTGCAGCGGCCTGAGATATGGTTCCGGGCCCCGTGTCTTGGAGCGGCATTCTCCATCGCTCAGGAACTGGGCGTAGGGTGGCACCGGATGGAGTCTCCATTGATGGCCCGAGAATGAATTGGGTTTGGCGCGGTGAGGCGAGACCCTTTATTCGGGTGATCTGTTGTGACGTTTGCGGATATTCCTGGGGTGAGATGGCTTACATACTCTCGGCGGCTCGCCGTAGTCACGCGAAGATATCCGACTGACGACGATTGCCCCTCAAGCCACATGTTGACCGCATCGTGGCGAAGGCGCGGAGGCTGATTGGAGGTCAATGGCAAGGGAGACTAGAGAAGCTGTTTGGCTTCATTCTCATTCGATTCATTCCACAACTTCAGCCTTAAGCACGTCTCCCAGAACTGGCCTTCGGGAAACCTTTGAGCATTCCCGATGGGTATAAATGCCTGACGATCTGTCGGCAAATCGTCAATCATCCAGACCAGCAATACCACCGATCATTAACACCAGCATGGAAAGCCATGCAGATAAGCACTGATGGAAATTGGAAACAAGTCTATGAGTTCGCTGATGGGAATCTATGACCATGAAACTCCGGCTGGTCAATGAGACGAAGGAGAAATTGAAAAAGAGGTGGTAGGCCAAGTACTGTAACTCCTCAGCCGCCCACCGTTCCCTCTTTCTCATGCTGTACTTTCAGCTTCTTCTCGGTCTTCATAAACTCGCGAATGCCAACCGGAATATCCCCATACAGCTTCTCGTCCCACATGTCTTTGGCGATCTTGGGGTCTTTCGGCACCCAATTTGTTTCTGAACCGCCGCCGTCGTCATCCATGCTCATCGTATCCGCGACAGCTTCTCCCTTCTCTTCTTGCTGTTCCCTCAACTTCAACTGCGCCTCCGCGCTCGCTGCCGACCATTCTTCCATCTCCTCCCTGAACCGGTCCCAAACGCAATTCACACAGCCGCTCATACAGCAATTATCAGGCTCCTCGGGTTTTGGGGGTATTACGACCCCTGCGACCGTCGTACTCCTGGCGCGCATCTCTTCGAGGCGCTTCTTGCGCTCGGCAGGCCCGGCGAGGGCGGAGCCGAAGACGATGGCGGCCTTCTCAGCCGCGGTTTGCGGGGGCGGCGTCGGCACCGGCTGTGCGGAAAGAGCTTCAGCAGAGGGTTCCGGGTGGGACGGGGAGAGAGGCGAGGTCTTACGGCCTTGCTGCTCCTCCTGCTTGGCGGCGGAGGACGAGGGGGGCTCCTCGGGCTTCACGTCGGGGATCGGCTGGGGGCTCGTGAGGATGGACTCGTAGTAGGCGCCCAGTGGGTGTGCTTGGGGCTTGGAGGGCTCGATCGGATCGGGGCCCGTCTGGGCTTGGATGGTAATGAAGGCATTGCGGGGAGGGCGCGCAATGCGAGGCACCAAAGGCCTGAGGCGGGGGAGGAGTCTGCCGGGCGTCGACATTGTTGCTGGTGTTTTGTATCGAAGGTCCTTATTCCAATTCTAAGGTTGGAATTGGAGAGTTGGACCTTTGGGTGGCTGCTGAGTGACGAAGGACGCCGACCTGGTTCGCTGCAGAGCCGAAAAGGAAGCGGAAGCGGGCGACTGGAATGCGGTCATAGCCGCGGACGTCATCGGTCTTGGATTTCTGCTTATGTAATGATTGGAGCACCCGATCACGTGCTGACATGGACCGATCCGGCCATTCAAGTTGAAGTTATTTCAAAGAATACCAGAATCAAGAGCAAATCAGAAATATTGAATAAGAGATTTTTTTTCCATTCTTTTTGAGATATTATGACAATCTGGTAATTCATCCGAAAGTTGAAGGCGCTGGAGAAAGGTTCTCGATTCGCTCGACATCAGACGCACCCCGGGCATGGATAGGCTGGCTGGCTGGGTAACTAAGAACGAGGGGGAAGTTTACCACAAGTAGACATACCATATTTAAATCTTATAAAATTGACATATGATATTATTAGCCTATTCTTTTTTACCACAAACATCTCAGCTTGCAGAGTGTATCTAAGGTACCCACTGTATAGATGAAAGTCCTGTAAGAAGGAACAGAAGCGAAGGTTCTCAGTAGAGATGACCTGAATCAAGCTTATTGATGAAAACCAGAGGCTTCATAAGTATTGCAAAAATGTGACTGATTTTCGTGATTGCTAGCGAAGCATTCTCGTCAAAGAACATGAGTGATTCCATCCCAATAATTCCGGGCTGGGATACCAGTTTTTAGGCACCTAGCCAACCCAATATTGGACTACATGCTGCTTGAAATTGAGCGAACAAATAGAAATTCTTTCTCATACTACATAATTATTCCTTCCCCCGCCCCAGTTCATACCTGAGGGCGACCGATAAGACGTTTCGCTACGGTCTGCTTTCGTCCTTTCCCTTGTGTCCTCTTTGCTTTCATTGATTTGACCATGACAGTTTGCATAGAATCGTTGTTCATTAACATTCTGAGCCATTCGACCTCGTACAGGAGTAAAATAACTTTCATCTTTGGGCCCTTGGTAGACGCGTCGTTCAGCATCCTGCAGAGCTCATCAATCACATTGAAGCCGTCTGCTTCATCAAGCGATGAGAGGACCGTCGCTAGGTCTACGACAATGTAGACCTGTGTACCCAAGCTCCTGACTGCTTGCTCCAAGAGTTTCAGCCAATCTTTTGGCTTCTGCGCACTATGAAACTGCAAGTATCGAGACGACAACTCTTTTTCCGTCTTTAGGGAACCGCTCCACCGCAACGCCTGGTACGTGAGGTACTTGATCAGGTCTACTGCCGTTGACATAGAAGCATGCTTCGATTTCTCTAAGCTGGGTAAAGCCCATAGAGTCGGCACCTCAGCTGATGCCAAAGTCTGGATGACGTCAATGCCGAAGTCTACCATGGCAGACCGCATGCTAAAGGGGCCCCTGATGATAATCAAGGAAGATTGATGGCTTGACGACCATTTCGTGAGTCTGGGGGATAACCAAAACTGGTTCGTTGAGATGTTTGCGCCCCTGCCAGAGACTCTGCGGTTTCGGCACATGAGATGATACTTGTAGCATTTTTCCGGATTCTCGAAAGTCGGCGAAAGAGTGGTCAACACTTGTGACAGATGGATATCTGAGAGTCGTTGATTCGTATCTAGCTGGGCGCTTGTTTGAATAGACTGAAAAGCTATATGCTGTCTGTTAGCACCTACAATAGCTATGAGCAGCTAGGGATCGCCCACTTTCTACTTTGTTGATGAGGTCATTCATCGTCAGACCCGATGCTTCCAAGAGAGATACGATGAGATCAAGCTTCTTTTCGTGCTTTTCATTTGAAACGTTTAGTCTATAAACAACTTGTGTCAGGCCTTCAAGTTGTTGTTTGTAAGACTTTTCTGCATCCTCCATAGCTGATAGAATTCCTTCCAGCTTGCCTGAATGAGTTGTGTGCATAACCCGGAGCTCAGCTTGCGATCCTACAGCTGCTAGTTGAGTAATGTTATCAGAAGCCACAACAATTCTTTGTAGCAAATCGTCGTATTGGAGTTGGTGTGGCCGCGTGAAACTGTGGATGAAATGGCGGAGTTTTGACTCTTTGCACCACGAGTGGGCAATCAGGAGAAACTCCAAAATGCAAGAATACAGATTCTCAATGGCAAGTCGCATGTTCGTCGTTGGGTATATTGTGGAAACAATTTTGACTCGCGAAAGTCGCATGCCAACCTGGCAGGTGGACTTGGCCACGAGTTTCAGGGTTTCTGCGTGGTTGACCATGCTCTTCCCCCGCCGCATTAGCCTTTTCTTGGGTCTACATCAGATTCGTTGACTCACGCCAAATATCAGCTTCATGGCACCCCATGCCAGCGACACATACTCTGGATGATGTTGAACGAAGACGTCGAGAATAGTTCCGTAGTGACAGATGATCTCAGACGTCTTTTGCAGCCACCCTCTAGTTTTGCTCGACGCCTTCGCTGCTTCGTAGCTTTCGAGAGTTCCGGCCACCAAGGCTTGAATATCTTCCATGGAATGACTCTCAGTTACTAGAATCTTTTCTCCGCGTGTCAAAGTATCGCTTTGTAGGAAGTATTTCTGGACAGCCCTCAAAGCATCCTCCGCGACACATTCTCCATCTGTTTGAATGCGTTAAGGCACCTTAATATCTTCACTGGTCATTCAAAACTTACCTTGGGTCCCCCCCTTATACCGTGATGATATAGCTGTATTAGGTTCCATTTGTACTGTATCATGTAGCTTTCGCACTATAAAGTCTCAGTTTCAGTTTTCGTTGCGTACCGGGCTTGGGTTCCTGAATACGGAAAATGACGCGCGAGGTGCTGGTCACGACCCATACAGCCAAGCCAAGGCTCGTGAAGGCGGCAAGTAGGCAGCCGTTTGGCGCCCTGAAGAATGACACTGTCGTGTGGAGCTCTACTCGAGCTGTCATCTAGCGTTTGCTTGGTGCCTGACGCCGCGTTTGGAGCATGGATGGATCAGGCTCGAATGATGTTTCAGGAGGATATTACGAACATATCCACCTGGCGCTGACCACTTAGGTGATGATCCTCAAATCATCACGTAGGCCTATCAGGATGCCAGGCTCCAGCCAATCACATTTGTTTCTGGCAATTAAGAATCCAGACGTGATGTTGTGTAACGCTGACTGCGCCTCACCAAAAGCAGCATTCCCCTCTTTCCATCCATTTCACGCCTTGTTCATTTTTCCCAATTCCATCTTACCGCTTCACAGCGCCTTTCCGCGGAGTTTCCGCTAGTGATAACTTACGGTAGAGATTTCTATCAGCTTGAGGTCCCGTCGCAGGTACATTTTGATCACGCATCGTAATGTACGGTGCATCGGGCTCAGCGCCGCCAATATCTCAACCCAACTCAGCCTACATACATACACTTCAAAGCGTTATTTACGAGCATCAAGAGGCGTCATTTCAAGTGGGTCCAAGTACTCGTACGTTTGCCAACATGGCAACGGACAATGTCCATCATCGAATGGCAGCAAATCCACAACCTCGAAAGTCTGGTTCGTACCAAAGAGTCAACCAGCAACGCCAAGGACAGAATGCCAAACACCAGCCCGCGATGGGTATTGCATCTTCGGGAGGCTCAAATCATGCGCTGCAGGATTATCAGATGCAACTGATGTTGTTGGAGCAACAAAACAAAAAGCGGCTAGCGATGGCTCGACAAGAACAGGATGCATGCAGCCGGAGGTGACTATGATGGTGATACTTCGGAGGGAGCTACCGTTCCAGTTACCCAAGTCGACGATCCAGCATCTCGGGAGACAACTCAAACACATTACACAATATCGGAAGATGAGATAGGCAAAGGATTAAAGAACAAATTCGCCGCTTTGGCACACAAAACGGGTGCTCCTCAAAACACCGAGCCCTCCAGCCGTTTAGGTGCCGCGCAGACCGTTATGACAAAGCTGCCTGATAGAGAACGAGAGCCCGCAAATTTACGCCACCCTAAAGCAACGGTCTCTGGGGGCTCCGGTCAACTCAGGTCTGTGGAGTCATCTCTACCGACATTCCCCTCAGCATCCGCCTCTCATGCAGTATCACAACGGAATTTACACGGCCACAGCCCATCATCTACAGCTCAAAGACGGAAGCAGCCCGATGAGACTCATTGGAACTTTGAACTGAATCAAGAGACGCAAAAGATGAACCAGAACTATGGTCATCTGTACAGTTCAGCAGATGTGCCTGAGGCCCTATTCGACACCGGTGAAGTTTTTACAGCACAAAGCTTCTCCTCGGGACATGACGCGGGGGCTGCTACTCCCAATAGCTCAGAAAACATTCAGATGGCTATTGCTGAGACAGATCAGGTTCCCGACGAAGCATTTTCGGACCTTCTAAGCGCCGAACAGACATCTTTGATGTGTTTCGATGTCCTTCAAAAGATGAAGCAACGAATTCAGCAGTTAGAAGCAGCGAATGAAGAGCTTAGCCGGATTGAACCACCACCGGTGGCTGTCAGAGTGCGAATCTTTCACTGTCTTGAAAACGAAGACATGGAGGAAAATACATACCTCGCGGAACCAGAATGGATGGTCAACAAAGACGACATTCGTCTCATTGCCCGATCTCTATTGATGGACCCTGAAAGATATATCGAAAAAGAGAAAGACATCTCATTTGTCGTCTACAAGTGTTACTCGGAAGACCACCAGAGAGCCGCAGTAGAAGAAGCAAGGAAGTTTTCCGGGCCACTACCAAACCCGGTACCTGCCTACCAGGACATATTGCTGACTTCGAAGGAGATGGTGGAGGCTGTGAAGGCATTCTTCGCGCTACTACCTGCGTCACGTCAGGAGTTCCCTAAGGTCAACACCGATGGAAGGTTGTCAGCGCCCTTCATATGGTGCTATCACCATCGCAAGTCAAGCAAAATCGGATGCCTGCCGCGCCGTCAAGCTGAATTGGTCAATGCACTTGTCAGTCACATCGAACAGGCTTATGCGCCGTTGTACGACAATATAGACGAACAACTCAGCAGAGGTTTTGTCTCGAATGGTTCCATGGAATACCTCTTTCGACCGGGTCAAGTTCTGATCTCGTTCACGGATGGTGTCCCACAAGGTCACATTGCAACATCTCGCCCTTTTACCTACGCCGATGAACCTGACGACTACGCTATTGTTCCAATGTCAAAGAGGCGTCGAGATCCCTCAGAAAAGTACTTGTCGCAATGGAACATATCATCGCGTTCAATCTTGTACCGTGGAAACTTTGTTCGGGTGGAAGAAAAGCTCAAGATCGAATTCGAGACGGAGACTGAGAATGGAGAAATTGATATCTCGACCTTACCTGTCGTCCCGCTTGAGTACACCTCAGAGGCAGTTCAAAACCGACTAGTACGTCGTGGCCACACATTCTGGAAATTTCGAGAGAAACGACTCATCTCCTACCAAGGCAAAGGGAAAACTCACGCTGTATGTCGGGTGTTCTTGGACGGGCTGACAATTCCAACGCCTCCCTTTACTGACCCTTTTACTCAACAGGGAGAAAGATTCGTGATTGACTACGACACTTATACTAGCCTCCATCCGATTAATTCGTATTCGATGAAGGTCACTGACGTAGTAGCTGAACCGGGCTTGCCCGCAGATGGCAGTGAACCCCACGCTCCTCAGATCTATCTCTTTCCAAACATTGTCCCTGGCTTTGATCTGAGACGTAAGAAATGGGGTAAGATTTTACGTGGTCTTTCACGTCAAAAATTTGCACTAATCATTTAAATAGTTGATGTTGAGGTCGACCAAATTCAGGACGTTGTCTGGAATGAACATGCCTTCAAGAGTCTGGTGGCTAACGAAGACATGAAGACACTCATTCTTGCGCTTGTCACGAACCAAATCGATTCCAAAAGAGGCACGGATGTGATCGATAACAAAGGGAACGGTCTCATCATGTTGCTTCATGGCTCTCCAGGTACTGGAAAAACGTTTACCGCTGAATCCGTCGCCGAAATAGCCAAGAAACCTATGTACTCGGTGACCTGCGGCGATATCGGGACGAATCCTGCTGATGTCGAGAAATATCTCGAGTCAGTCTTCCACCTCGGCAAGATCTGGGACTGCGTCGTGCTCCTCGATGAAGCCGAAGTCTTCCTCGAGCAACGCACCCTACAGGACCTCCAACGGAACGCACTTGTCTCCGTATTCTTGCGCGCCCTAGAATACTACGATGGGATCTTGATTCTTACGACAAATCGCGTCGGGACCTTCGACGAGGCCTTCAAGTCTCGAATTCAACTCGCGCTCCGGTACGAGAAGTTGGAGGCCTACCAACGCAAGCAAATCTGGAAGAACTTCTTCGAGAGGCTCAAGAGCATTGGAGAAGAGGGCAGCATTGACTTCAATGATATTTCGCTGCACATAGACGAACTGACCAGGCACCCGATGAACGGACGACAGATCCGGAATACGATCACCACCGCACGGCAGCTCGCCAAGTTCATGGGAAAGAAGATGGTGTTTTCGCATCTGCAGCGAACCATTGCAATCACGAACAAGTTTGATCAGTACTTGGCTGACGTTCGGGAAGCTGATGTGGAGGAACATGGTGGAAGAGGCTTGGATGGCAGGTACTCAGACGAGTATTTCGCTCGATCTGATCAAATACGATAGTTCGACTAGCTATTGGAGAACAACGTGGCGATTGAACATTTTCATTTTGCGGATACACAGGGCCCGAAAATCACACATACCGACGTAAATCGCCGCAGCTATCTACTCAGATGAACTCATTTTGCAACCCATCAAATAGAGCTATGTTTTCTCAACTTGACTAAAGAACTGACTTTCCCTACAGTGAAAACGCATTTTGAGCTACCACTCATAAACACCATCCAAGATTTGACTCTCCGTTCGAATCTGGTGCAGTGAAACAGATCGAATAACGGAGCTTGACAGCTTCAAATGATGGATCGCGTCACCGTGACACCTGACATCGCCAACATTCAGAAGCTCCTTGAAGACAACGCAGTCATTCCAGTGATGTTCTCCCTGATGCTCAATACCGACTGCCTTCCAAGCTTGGATGACGGACGGCTGCAAGGCATAATCCCACGTTGCTCTCCATGTAATCACGGGACGCTGCCCATGACCCATTGACTTGTATTGGAAGAGCGCCGCCAATCCCTCTTGCCCGTTCCAAATCTCCATCACGCGGAGATTTGGCATTCTCATGGCCACCTGTGCTGCTGTTCGGAGCATATCACCGATTTTAGTGGTGCTCTCATCGGGCGCGAGTAGTCGTGAGGTCAGCGTCCATGAAGTAAGATTGGGCCACTCCCATAAACACTCGCAGCCACACAAGAAATGGCTAGCATCCACCATGAACGATACTGAGAGGATCTCGAGCTGTAGACTAGCCTTAGCGAGTGCCTTAGCCATACACGGAACCGGTGTTCGAATAGGGTCGTATTCCAAGTCAAGATCAGAAAGTTCTGGGTATTTTTGAGTGAAGTTCTCAAAAATAACAAGTTTGCGCAGTTTTGTGGAAGCAAAACTTTCGAAGAGAAGTTGGTAATCTATATCACATATTTAAATCAGTAGATTAATACTATTGAGAGATATGGCACTCAAAGAGAAATACAGCAAAAGAGCAAAGACAAGGAGGGTGCTTACCGCTATTTACCATTTTCTCACAGGCACAATCCCATTCCATCCAAGGCTCGTAGTGGATCTGCTGGAGTCTAGGAAGAAGGGAAAACATGTCTCCTAAAGTCACTGGACTCCATCGCCGGCGATTCTGTTGACGTAGAATCACGCCAGTTACGGCGGGGACCAGAGGTAGTCGCAAGCGGCTAGAGCGATGAAATGCTCCGGGTAAACCGTTCCGCAGAATACCATCGAACGAAGCATCGATGATACCCGAATTTAAGGGGGAAACCCTACTGCCGGCCATCCAGCCGTGCTGGCTATCATGAAATTTAGCTAGAATCGGCTTTGGCATGTATTTCTTCCAATCGCAGTCTTTAACAGAGATATCAGGTGCAAACGTCAAATACTTGAACCAGTGTTCTGCATCACTAGGAGAGTGAACGCTAATATCCAACAGCAGGCTGCCGTTTGGCTCCCATCCGCTGAGCGTCATAATGAGATCGCGCAGGGCTGTGGTGACCAGGGCATCGTCCAGTTCGCTCATGAGCCGCATCCTCTTAGTACCCGCCGCACACTGATTGCAATCGTATTCTTGGAGCTCCAGGCAAACCCAGATGTAGCGTACGAGACCCTGGTTGCGATGAGTCATTGAACTGAACTTCGGGAGGCGTGAACGTGTCACTGTAATGCGGGCGAAATTCTTCGGTTCGATGAACTTCTGCCACTCTCGGGACACTGTAGCGAAATTAGCCAGGCTACAGCCGTCCTGTAGTAAGTATTGCAGGATCTCAAGTCTGATCTCGGCGGGCAAGCGGTACCAGGATGCCCTGGTTGATGGCGACGACATGGACGCCATATTTGGTGGTGTGTTGTCCAGCTTGCGACTACGGGTGTTGTGTGGTAGATGAAAGGATGAATCAATCGCAAGCCAGCCGGTTCGAAGTGGTTCACCGTCAATTTGCAAGTTTCCCATTGAGAGACCTTGATAGGTCAGATGTGGAGAAGGGAAACACGAGGCTTTGTTGGCTATTGCGACTCATGACTTATCTGGTTTGAGGGTAAAGTATATGAAATCTGAGCACAAAAGGTGGAACGAACACTTCTAAGGTCTTGAACTAGTTGTGCTTCTTGCCTGCCTGTCTCCAATACCTATCGGACTATGTACGTACCTCCCGAGGCTCCCTTTCTCTTGTTTGGCTCAGGTTAGAACTCTAGGCTGAAGCCAGCAAGTGACATCCGGCTGCAATCGAAAGTTTAAGCGCCTCATTCGTAGGGTTGTGGAAAGGAGTGCTGATAGGTGGCCACGCGCTCAGCCGGGACTCACGGGGCTTGGCTTTGAGAAGCGAAAAACAGACGGCTTTCAATTGATGTTATAAAGATCCGAAGAAAAACAAAACGGAAAAAAAAAAAAAAAAAAAAAAAAAAAGACGTTGGAAATCGCCCGTCCGAATGGATGGAAGTTGTAGGCAGGGGGCCCTGCTGACCAGGGAGCTGCATCCTTGTTTACCTTTTGGGGAGACCCACCCGAATTGGAAGGCGGTGAGGTCGCATTGGAGGTACATCGGATGTACACAGACGCGCTCCATCCATAACACTCGGTCGAATGCATCGTGCAGCTTCCAACATCCACTACTCCCAGAACGAAACGCCCTCGAGGGCCCAGTTTCGACGACGACATGATACACTGAGTCCTGTGACGCGTACAAACTATGGAAGAGTCCGCCCCGAAACGGCGAAGAACATCGCCGCGTCTGAGCAGAGAGCGCGACGAAGCCAATAACGAGTCGACGACACCACCCGATCCTCCCCCACCACGAAGCTTGATCCGGAGGCCGAGACGCCCATCTTTCGCGTCGCCCACCAGGTCAAGCCTCTCGCGTACAAATCCAGACATCCTAAGACGACGAAGCCTCAGCCCATCAAAGCCCGCCGCCGAAAATGCGACCCAATCTACGCAAGATGCTCGCGAGGGGTCCGCTGCCCAGAGCCAGGAGTCTGGGCCGTCTTTGACGAGCAAGCCGGCGCGTCCCAGAACAAGCTTGTTCGAACCCGAGCCTACACCGACCGAGTCCCCTCTTGGGTCTCCCGCACGACGATTGCCGAGCTCTTCGCGAGCAGGACTCAGCGGAGCGTTGGCGTCTAGACCGCGCCGCTCCTCGGGCAAGCCTGTACCCAGACCGCTGCCCGAGCCAGAGGTGGAGGAAGAGGAGATCAATCCTTTCGCTCGACGTGGACTTCGCCGCTCACCACCGACTGGCGTCATTCCCCAGAGATCACAGCCTGAACCCGAGCCTGAGCCTGAGCCTGAGCTGCCGCCCACACCGACGCAGAGAGGCCAGGCTGACCCGGTGGTCACGACGCCGCCCGCCGGCATCCACGATACACCCTCAAAACGAAAGCGACGGCCCGCGTCGCCGTCCAAGAGTTCGCCCTTGAAGCAACCGCCCCTCCGCCCGCCTGAGTTCTCTCAGAAGACAAAGGACCCCTCGAAGAAGGCCCCGCCTACCGTGACGCGAGAGAAAAGCCCAAGTAAGCCGGCGAAGAAGACACGGACGAGAAAAGGACCTGCAGGAACACACGAGGCGCGGCAGATACCAGCACCCAACCCGAATGCTGAGCTCGAGGCGGAACGAGACGCGCTCGAAGCGGAGATTGCCAAGTTGGAGGCAGACCTGGACTTTGCTACCGAGGAAAACGAGCGGATTCGGAGAGTGCAGTCGCTTAGGTCTGCGACTGGATCTTTCGTGCCCGCTTCAAAGCGAGAGCAGCTCTTCGATCTGTTGCAAAGGCACCTCGTACCCCCTCAGAAGGACAAGAAGCCCGACGCGGCGGATGAGTGGTTTGACTTGGCGATGAATCCGACGTCTTGGTTATCCATGGCGTTTCTTGGACAGACGCAGCCCTTCACGTCAAAGCCGCAAGAAGAGGAACTTCCGGCACCAGTATCGCATCACCCGATCCAAATGACTGCGGTGGAGGAGCTTCCGTACCTGCAGGCGTTCACACCCTTCGAGTTCTCGGGCACTACGAATATCCTGCCCCGCGAGAACGAAGACGAGCCTCTGCTGCGGAAGCACAATATCGTTCTCAGATCCGCACATCCCGCAGGGTTATTCATGGCAAAGGTCGAAATGACAGTCGACACCGAAAAGTTACAAATAAAGCACCTCAGCGTGCCCCGACTAGACCCAGCCGCGGTCCCTGAGCTCGGCCCCTTCATCGAAAAGGTCGCCGGCGGTGGTTCCAACACGCATATGAAACGAAACGTCAGCATCGTCACCTGGGCGATGGCCGAGTGGTACCGCCTCGCCGTCGAGCGAGCCAATGTGTGGCATGTCCTGGAGAACGAGCTGGGGGATAAGGAGAAGTTAGTCCAGAGCGTCGCCAAGATAAGGACTCGGCGTAAGAAGCGCAGGAGAAAGGACGACGACGACCCAAGCCAGGATGCAGACAGCAACCTTGGCGACAAAGACAGGGCGCCAAACCTCACTCGCGGAGCGTTGCTTCCCCACCTCGGACGAACAGCTTACGAGATCCCCATCCCGGATGCGGTGGACGAGGAGACGTCGTGCTTGAGGATACAATGGAGGATAGACTTTGACTGGACTGGAGAGGCGCAGAGTAAAGTTGGATTGATGATCGGCATGCCGGGTAGATGTTTGTACCCCCTTCTCCCTCCCTCTCACGCAAAGCTAACACACCGCAGGGCGTCTAGGAGATGAGCGCGGCTCATTAGCAGCAGCATCCAAAGTCTTCGAGAGGCTCGTGCAAGGAAACGAAGGCCCCATGACGGCTGTGCGGACGGTGGTTGCGCTACTGGCCGGGGACGCCTCTTCTTGAAAAGATACCATGTTGGAGTCGACTTTTGTTTTATGAGTATGAACTGTATATCACTATATCGCCGGCCTCTAGTGGATAAGCCGGCAGCACAAATACAGAGGCACCTCCAGGTGCATGTTTATGACGGGTATCTCCCTCTCCCACAACCATTTCCTAAACCCAGGGTCCTCCATAGTTGCCCCCGTTCATATCTCCATTCATCCCACCCTGGGGACTTTGTCAGTTCTGCCCATTCTGGTATTCTCTTGGAGGACGCATGTGGAAGCCCCCACCGCTCTCATGCAACAGTCTCATGCCGTACATTGCCCTCAAGCTATCCGCCCTCCCCATCGGCCCGGGCATGCTTCCCGGGGTTCCAGGCCAATGGCTGCGGTAGGCCACGTTATCGTAGATGCCCCGTCCGAGGCGTTCGCCGGCATGAGGCCAGCCGCCGCCGCCGCCTCCACCTCCCATACCAGCGCCGTTCTCGCGGGCGAGGTCGTTGTAAGTCGGGCCCGCTCCGCCGTACCGCGCATTGCCACCGGGCGTGTACATCCTGTTACTCATATCCGCGCCATTCATCGCCCGGGCGCGCATGCTCATGTAGTCCAGCGCGCGTGGGGCAGACCACTGCGTGCCAACATCGGGCTGATTGGGGATCGTGGGACCACGCCACATGCGGCTTGGGTCGTTGTCGGGCATGAAGCGTACGGGGATGCGACCGGCGTTGTTGTTTGATCTCGGCCCGTTGGGCGTGTTTCTGTTCTCGGCCGGGCCGGTTGGGTAGCCGAAGGAGTTGTTGTCGTCCGACATGGCGGCTGTTGAGGATGTAGTTGCTTGGAGTCTTTGGCGTGAGACCTGGGGTGCTGGAGGAGGTCGCGTAGGAGGGACTTTATATGACATGGCTGGATGGTGTTTGCGGTGAATCGCGGGTTTTGAAGAGGAGTGTGTTTGGTGATTCAGGCGGAGGTTGGACGAGGATGCGTTTGGGAATTGCTGCGGAACTTGAGTTAGGTTGTGTTAGACAAGCTTCAGTACCAGCGTCGCGGCAACGTACATGTACGGCTGATGGGCAAGCTCGCCGGCTGCGAGTTGCCGGTTTTTCAATGCTGTCGGAGCTTTCGTGGCAGCAAGTTTGTTGCAGAAACTATCGAGTGGTTGTGTTGATCTTGGCTTCTCCATCCGGGACTTTTGGACAAATGTTGTTTCCCAGCTCCATGTCCGCGGGGAAACGGCCTATGCTCTTGCTTTTCAGTAGAGATACGGCAACGGACAGGTACGTTTCACACGAGAAAGACAGCAGCATAACAATCGGATCCAGCCACTACTCGAAACACCTGCCTAGATCATCCCAAGGCATCATCGAGGGCTCTTACCCGAGCTTTAAGGGGAATCCGTTGTCCAACGACCAAGACAGCTACCTGTTTGGACTGTTACTTTCATAGCACGCAATGAATCCATTCAGAGTTTTCTCTCAAGGAGGACTATGACTTTTACAAAAAGACGTAAATGTCTACACAGTAGAATCAAATCGTCCATATGATGCATCTATATATGAAAGCCAGTGATGATTTGTTCCCCCTACAAAGAGATGATAGACCGTCATCATATCGTTCAGCAGACAGACAAGCACCATCATGAGAGTGTCTTTGTTACTAGGACGGGCCCAAGAACAGGAGCGCTTGGCTTCTGTAAGAGCCACAGACCAAGGGCATCATCGACGCACCAAGCCCGCGCCCCTGAGAGACACCCCCTCACTGACTCGATGGAAGACTTCACGATAGAGCCCTCCTCAACGACTAAGCAAGGCACTGGAAAAGATTTTACCAAAAACTTCAACTGGTGTTGTTTTGAAACTTCTTTCCTCCTCGCAACACCATCGCAAAGCAGCTAGACGCCCGCCATGGCTGACCTCGACCACCCCCAGACCGGCCAGGAGGGCCATCCCAACACCTGCTTCGTCGAAGACAACGAGGACTCTGACACTGAAAGCATCTCCTCGCCCCTCGATCGCCTCTCCCTCGACGAGAGCAACATCGGTCCTATCGCCGCCGCCATCCCTTCCGCGCACATCCTCGACATCGCCAACGTCTCGGGCATCAACCTGGCCGCTGCCTCCTCTCCCGTCCCCAACACAACCACTGTCCCCGTTCCCCGCGAGCTCACCCTCGAGCCCCTCGTCTTCCTCGGCATGGCCCGCCCCATCCCCAGCGAAGCCGCCTCCATCCGCCAGAAGTACGGCCCCATCGCCTACGCCGACGACATCGTCAAGGCCTTCGGCCTCCCCACCGCCCGCGCCCTCGCCAAAGAGATGGCATTCCACGTCGCCCGTCTGCACTACCACTCCGTCCGCGACTCCCACCGCGTGGTCTTCCGGCTCGCCCTCCCGCGCACCTACAACACCACCACCCGCGGCGGCGGCGGCGCCCCGTACCTGAAGATGATCGACTACTACTCGCGCCGCCTCTACATCGACAGCAACGACCACTTCTTCCTGAAGGGACCGGGAGACCTCTAGGAGAGACACACCAACCCCGCCGAGGACCTCTGGCGCAAGCACCAGTTCCCCGTCTTCCCGCTGCCTCACCCCGTCCACCTCCTCGGGGGCGCTTCTTCGGAGGATGAGCTGCTAGAGGCGTTCTCGGTCGACTACCACCGCAGCGCGGCTGAGATCATGGACGAGGTGCGCGAGATGAGCAGCTTTCCGCGCGTGACGTACGGCTATTACTTCGCCCTGTCGGACGATATGGTGCGCGAAATCGACGCGTTCAGATCTGAGGATGCTTCTGATGACGATGACGATGACGATGACAACTGAGTGGAGGAAGGAAGGAAGCAGACGTCCAATGAGGATAGCTTGAATAGGCAAGAACGGCAACGGGTTGGTTCCTGCCTCGACGGATCAAATACCTTGGTATCACAATGAAAATAGGGGTTCCCTCAATGCTTCCGTCTTATGAACCACGCAGTTTCACAACGGGACATTAAAAGTTCATTCAGCCTCAAAACGGCTCCGTAGCTCGATTCGCTACCTAGGATTCGTAGGTGTATCTATGACCCCGCGTCATCCCTTTCATCAAATCATAAAAAACCATGCTCATGCAGCGGCACAACAACATGCTTTCCCCCACCTGCCCCGTGACATCGTCATCGTCGTCATCCGTTTAGTCTGAATCATTCCAGCGTCAGAAATTGTCCCATTCATCATATTTGTCCCTGCCGGGCGGGGAAGGCAGTACTCACTGAAGACGAAGTTGCCGTTGTCGTTGCCGATGCGCTCAGACAGGTTGCAGTCGGCGTCGATGGCCTCGCCGCCGAGGTTGAAGAGGCGGGCGCGGAGGATGGGGACGTTGTCGCCGCCCTCGATGGAGAAGTGGATCTCCTCAGCGGAGTTGGAGTAGCCTGTGGTGGGATGTCTTGTTAGTGATGATTGTTCTGAGGGCAGATGTGCTGGACAAAGAGGAAGCCATGGAGGGAAGGGTCCATCCGGCGAAGGAGAACGACGGGGAGGAGGGAAGGAGGCGTACCGTTGCCGTTCCACTCAAAGTGGCCGTCGTTGTTGCCGAGGCAGTTGTTGAGGTCGATCTCGGTCTCGTTGAGGTCGCCGTTCTCGTTGCGGAGGGCGGCGCGGAGGATGTGGCCGTCGTCGACGCGGATGTTCTCGGCAGAAACGTGGAAAGACATTTTGTATGTGGTTTGTTTGTGGTGGTGGAAGGGGGTATCAAAGGTTTGTTTGTGGTTTGTAGCTTGTGGTGAGGTTGAAGTGGGAGAGGAAGACAGAAGTGGATGTTGGGAGGAGGAATTGGGTTTATATATACGTCAGGGACCCGTAAGTGAGAGGACAGGTGAGCTACCTAGCTACCACGGGGTCTATGGATCACGGATGAGGGGCACAGGCTTGGCCGAGAAGACAAAGGGGCGTTCAGGGTAAGAGGGGCGAGAGGCCTCCATTCAAGGCAGAGAGGATCAAACACGTGGAGGCAGGTGGAAGGGGAGAGCTACCTCGATGGTAGGAAAGAGCGGTCTTGGAAGCTGTCTTTTGCGGGATGACATGGGATGAGAAGGGGGAAGGGGAAGAGGGTTCCCGCTTGGCGATCGCGTCACGGAGGTCACGTAGCTTGAGCTTGCATCTTGGGGCGGGTTGCCTCGTCTTGGTCTTGCCCATTGACTTTCCACGTCTTTGCTGGCACAACCTTGGCCCTGCCCTGTAAGGAGAGGCAGGCAAGCTGTGCCGGGACAGTTGTGAGGCATTCCCTCGCGGTGATTCGGTTTGTTTCTGCCGCATGTCACTCTCTCATGCGACGGGACGTCCGTTCCCACCTCAGCTCCAGGAAAGCTGGCTACGTGGAAGCTTGGAGCCAAGAGCCGCAGCTTGGAAAAAAAGGGCAGCTCCCCGCCATGGACAGGGGTGAGAGCTTCCTTTTGGTTGGGTAGGCTCGGGCCGGGGGGTGTTAGCTTTTAAGTGGGATGGAGGGGCAAAAGGTACGGGGCGGGGCGAGCGCAGGCAAGCTTGTTGTTTCGTTCTGGTGTTGTTGTCGTTGTCGTCCGTCGTCGAGACCTGTCGTGAGGTTGCCATGGCGTGGGTGAGACCCCCGCCGGCAAGATGATGCCGAGAGCTCACGATGCGCGGTGCTTGGCGTGCGTGCTGCTCCTGCAGGGCTCTCGCGAATGGGAAGAGGCGTTTGGAAGGTTATTACGCGTCCTTTTTTCTTGTGCCTCTGCATCTAATCGTGTTCTGTACGAATTACGAAGGGGGCCAACTACAATTGAGAGGTGCAACAATCCGGAAGGTTATTCACGGCGTGGCTTGTTCGTTTAGGTAGGTCCGAAGTTTGGGCCTTACTGAGGAATGATGAGATGATTCATGACGTCCAGGCTGCCGCGCGCTTGTTTAGTTAGTACGGCGGTCGAGACCACAATCCGAACTGATAGACGGACGACGGCGTCTGGACATTCTCTTTGCATGATTTAGTGAGAAGCAGCCCCCGTCGCCCTCCCCTCGCGGCCGCAGATGTGAGACCTGAGCCAGGCAAGGCGAGACGAAAATGTCCCGAAAATAAACATAAGGTGTGAGGCGATGGACGAGACGGCATGATCACGCATTCCATGGGGGCCAAACGCGAAAAGCCCACCCAGTGGTTCCCCTCTCTTGTCTGTCTCCTTTGAGCTGCAGAATGAGGGGTCCTCAGAGCCGAAGCTGAGGTGGTGTTTTGCCCACGGATCGTCTCGGATTGCCCCATGACTTGGACCACCTGCGGTTCCATTCAATGGACCCCATTAGAGTGGGAATAATTACGGATAGGCTCGTTTTTCCTTTTCCTTGTTTGGACTGGAGACCTGGCAACGTGAAAGAGCGAGAATCAGAGGACGGCGGGGAGTTCAAGGATCTGTGGATGTGCAGTGGCATGTCGTCGATTTAGATGCGGTGTATCCGTACCTTACCTTACTTCGCAGTAGCTGGAGGCTGGCCCCGTCCTTTTTCTGCTTTATTTTATTTTTCTGCCCCTCCCCTGGTAAGGAGGGACGGGAGCTCCGGCCTATTGGGATGGTAGAAATGGCCTAAAAGGGCGGGGACGGGGGCCACGGGTTGCGGCTTGGGCCGGGTTGCCGTTTAGGAGCGTGTTTTGTTCTGTTGGGCGGCGCGGGGCGTCGGAGGGAGCCTGCTAATAGGCGATAGCTGAGCCACGAGTGTGTGAATGGTCTGAGGCGATGTCGTTTGCGTCTGGCAAAGGGGGGACGGCGCGTGTCGGCATTGGTTTGTGAAGGACGGCCAGCGTGGGAGTGGTGAGGTGTGTTTTGAGTTGAGGTGGTGATCTGTCGTTGCACAGGCCTTACAGGGTCGGGATGGAAGGGTTGGAGGGAGCCAAGGCGGGGCGGGGCGGGGTTGTGCTTCATCATAGGAGCGGTGAGAGGAAGCTGGTGTTTGGGGTCGTGGTTGATGAGGGTGATCGTTTTGAGCACCTTGAGGGTTTTTGATGGTGTATATAAATGGATGATGATGGCCGGGATATCACGAATAGCTTCAAGACCATCATCGTCTTCTGGGTGTCGCAGTTGGTTGTTGCAACGACTGGTGTTGAATAGCACGGCCTGGCCTGGGTTCCATTGCATCAACAACAATCAAACCATGCCCACGATCGCTTTACACCTTTTACATGGCACGAGAAGACAATTTCGGCGTCTCAAAAGTCAATTGCCAAATGAGTGACTAAACTAGCCAACAGGTCCTTCCGTCAGAAAGAGAACACAATCCGCCGATGGCTCATCCCCCAGAACCATAGCCCCATTTCCCGCAAAACAAAACTCATATCATCGTAGTCGAAGTCGAGAAAGACGGCTGGACGTTTCCGCTGCAGACCGCCGTCAAACGGAAACATGTGTCATGGCTCGTGGGTTGTCTGCTGAACGCACAGAGGCGAACAGCTTATTTACAGCCGGAGCAAGAGCAGCTGGAGCCGCAGTTGCCTGAGACATGGGGGTTAGCGCACGGTAAGGCATAGGGGGAGAGACAAGCGCGCTGGCGCCGATGTCGTAATCGACGATGCAGCAGCAGCAGCGCAGCCACATGGGGGTGAAGACGTACAGGTAGAAGCGCCGGAGCAGCCACAGTCACCCTTCATTTTGATGGATTTGGTTGGTTGGAAGAGGTTTGAAAAGGTTGTTGACGATGATGTGATGGAGTTGATTGATCGCGTTGTGGAGTAGATAAGACTTAGAAGAGAAGGGTAAGAAACCGCGCACTTATATATCCGAAGAGGCACTCGGCCGTCGCAGGAGGCAGAGAGGGGAGCGGACGCTGGAGGAGGGGTCAGATGTCAGATGAGGGTGGCCAGATGGAGCCGGATCGGGCGGCCGTCATTGGTGGTGCGGCGCCGTTTGTGCTGTGACGGTGGATGGGTGGGGTTTGCGGCCTTTGTGCGTTGACGGCAGCCAGTCGCCCTCTCGCGAGAGGACGGGCGGGTGGTGGTCTGGCTGACTTGGCCTGGTCCGCCGCCGGGCAATGCATGTCCCATGGCGGGTGGAGGGGCGTATCGCCTCATCTCCTTTCGGCTGCTGGTGCTGCGCTGACCCCTCACATTGTCGTGTTGTTTCTGTGTACGGCGGTAGGTTGTCTCTTATCGCTGGCCTGGCTGATAAGGTTCAGCAGGTGGGTTTGCGTCTTTTGTGCTTGCACGCGCCAGGATTCCACGAATTGGTTCTTCATGCAGCGTTTGCAGATGACCCTAGCCTGGCCTGGCCTGGGTGGCTGGCAGAAGATGAGATGAGGGCGTCCGTGACACTCGCCAAAAGCAGCGATGGTATCTTCTAGCACCTGCGAGGCTCTCCTCGACGGCGCACCAGACAACAGATAGCGGCACACTCGTTCAGGCAGGACCCTGAATCTATCCAAGGCGGCTGACGTCGGGGCACCTGGGGGCGAGGAGGGGTATCCCAAGCAGGCACCAACTCTACCCCAAGCCTCCGAGCTTGCTGGGGAGGGGTGGTGTGGCCCGCGGCTGTGACGTCTATCGGCAGCTGTGGCCGTCTCAGTTGCGGGTTTTGTGCGTGAATCTTCACCAGTCGTCGCCCTCTGGCCTCGGGCCTCTTGATCTAGCTGAGACTGGGCGACTCGTCAATCTCTTCGAGGCATTTCTGCGGCATACGGCGACACGGCGCAAATGGCACATGCCTGACGCAAAAAAAGACTCCAATGCCCTGGCGGCGTGACGGCGTGTCCGGTGAGTCTTCATGCGACTTCCAAGCGAGATGCTCGCGAAAAGGCGTCGGATGTCCCGCCTGGAAGGGGAAATTCTTCATCACCGCTTCTTCAGCAGCCACCTCAGCCAGAACCCCACTGCCGGTCTCCACGGCCAACGTTAACGTTGCGTTCCAATGGGGGTCGCATTGACCTCCGGCGGGTTGCGGCTTGCTCTTCGCCCGTCGCCCGTTGGCCGTCCCAACCACTCTGGGATCGGTTGAGTTTGCCGTCCGCGTCGGAGTGTACTGCGGTATGTATCTCCCAGGCGGCGGCGTTGCTAGCCTGTGGCCGGCGCTGTCTTGACCGACATGTTGCCGGCGTAAGCCCAGGAGATAGGCTGACGGACCCTCGCGCGGGTGATGTCGGTGGGCAGGCAATTGTCGGGAACGTTTGCCTTTCAGCAGCCGACTAGCGATAGACACGTGTGATGGACCCCTTTGCCGCGACGTATTTCCGCACCGCGTTGGTGACTTTGCATCATGTTCGACATGCAATCGCATTCAACTGGCTGCGGGGGTCGTTTTGGACCCCGTAGGCAGGCCTGGATTGCATCTCGCTTCGCTTCGCTTCGTGTGCGGATGAGCCAGGTAGAGAAACTTGCTCAAACAAGGCCGTCTCCATTGGCTGATCCAGTCACTGCAAACTGCGAATGTATCGAGAATATTGGAACCAAGTCGGGAGGAAGCGACAGCTGCCATCGTCATGCGTATCGTCTCTTGCTGAACAGAGTGTCACTGTGTAACTATTTCCAGGGCAGGCGCCGGTCGGCAGACTTTTCGGGCAATGATCGGCTGATGACATCGCCCCACGTGCATACTCCTTGCCTTACGTCAGCAATGTCTGCAAGTCACGTGCGGGCTGCTGTCAGCTCTCTCCGATGATCATCGACAAGATCGACGCCCATGACATTGTTTGTGACGTTGATTCGGAAGGCAACGCTGCGCCAGACGCCATCAGGAGATAAGGCTTCCAGAATAATCTCTGAGTTCATCGATCAGCAGTGATACAAGGCAGCCTCCAGCTTATTGGCACAACGATGGCTCTACGAGAGCGAACGATCAAATCCGCTAACTGGATCGTTTTCGGAGCGATGTCGCAGTGATGTACAATCAACACATCCAGATCTTGCCTTGTGCCAGCCTGTCGACAATCAAATGAACACGCAAGATTGTCATCTCGATTACAGCTCAAGTTTCCACAAAGCCACGGCATCAAGCAGCACGGAGACCAACAGCCACGCACCTCACTCCCTCCCACTCAGCCTCACCTTCATCTTCATCCCACTCCGAACCGCCGCCCCCATCTTCATCTCCTGGAACGCCATGTCTCCCACCAGTGCGTCAAGCTCGAAAAACGTCGTCCGCGCCTCCCTCTTACCAACCGGAACGGTCTCGAAATCAAACCACCGCGCCGTGAGTAACAACAACACCCGCAGCTCGTCCATCGCCAGGTCCTGCCCCATACACGCCCGCGGGCCCCTCTCAAACGGCCTCCACGCAAACCGGTGCAGCGCCGCCCCCTCCGCCCCCAGGAACCGCTCCGGCCGGAACACCTTGGGGTCCGCGAAGTAGGCCGGGTCGAAGTGCGACGCAAACTGGCACAGCGCGAGCATGAAGCCCTCGATAGGCAGCCGTCTCCCGTCGCAGTCGAGGTGTTTGAGCTCCGGCGGCGCGATCCGCGTGCTGAATCCGACGGGGTAGAAGCGCATCGTCTCCTTGATCACGGCCGTCGTGTACTCCAGCTCGTTCGTCTTGGCTGGGTTCGTCCGCAGCATCTCCGCGCTCTCCTGCAGCCCGGCTGGGAACACCGCATCGTGCTCCTCCCGCATCCTCCGCATGGCCTCGGGGTGCAGGCCCAGCAACATCACCGTGTACGTGAATGCATCCGTCGTCGTGCCGTGGCCCCCGAGGAGCAGCGTCTTCAAACTGGCCCACCATTAGCAAACGCCGTCTTCTCCCACGCATCACCAACCAACTCACTTCACAACCAACAAGTGCAAAACCTCCCCCTTCGGCGGTCCCACCTCTCCACTCTGGATCCAGTCCGCAATGACCCGGTCCATGATGCTCTTCGCCAGCCGCCGACTTGGCACCTCCCCCTCGTCTCTCATCACCTCCCACCGCTCCAGCACCGCCTTGCGAAGAACCTCATCACTCCGCCTCTTCACCCCGCGGATCCGCCACCACTCAACAACCTTCCTCACCGGGTTCCAGCTCGTAATCACAAAGCTCAAATACTGAATCAACGCCCTCAGGTCCTCCAGCAACACCGACCCCTTCCCCTGCGCATCCAACGACATCCCAAACACAATACTCCCAATCACGTCAAAAATAGCCTTGGCCGCCTCCCCCTCCAGCTCAAACTCCTCCTCGCCCCTCTCCTCCGCCCTCTTCCTTAACTTCTCATGAAAAACAAGCACATCCTCCGAAAACATGCTCAACATCGGCTTCACGTACCCCTGACTGAACCCGCTCCCCATCATCCGCTTCCCCGCCTTCCACATCTCCCCGTTCACGCTCACGATGTTGTCCTCCCCCAGCACGGGGCCCATGAACTTGCCCACCTGCGGGTGCTTCAGCGTCGGCGTCCCCGTGAGCAGCCGCTGCGCCGCGTCCGGGTCCGTCACCACCAGCACCGGGTCCGCCAGGGGCCAGAAGTCGAGGTACCACGCCCCAGGCATATCATAACGCTGCGCGATCGCCGCCATATACACCTGCGGGTGGCAGTCGGGCGGCATCGTCGCCGCGACCTCGCCCAGCAGGCGCAGGTGGCCCCATAGGAACGAGTGGCCCGGAGGGCACGGCTGTCTTCAGTTAGGTTTCCGCGTTCCTGTCCTCATCATGATGTTGCAACGTGCCTTGTCCTTGTAGAACCTGCGCTCCTGAACGAGACGGATGATGAAATATCCCACCGACGCGATCCCGAGTGAAAAGGCAATGAGCCAGTTCGATACCCCAAACATGATGCTAGGAATGTGACTGACCAAATCGACGCCTCGAATCGGAAAAAGCGAGTTTATGTTCTTCACAACAAATCAAGATCTCCAACATTAAAAAGGGCTGCGATCTCAGGGATATACATCGGCCCACCAACCAACGCCTCCCCAATCCTTCGTATTTCGTGCGTCGTACCTTGCGGCACAGTCTCGGTTACGCTTCCGTGCAGAACCCCGCATCCTGTCATTTCCACCTTCTTGAAAAGGGTGTCGAAGCGGGCTTGGCTTGGAAGGGATGGATCGCTTAACTTTGAGTCAAAAATTCGGGCGTTGGTGGCTTGAATGCATGGCGATTAGTCACCCCGTTGACGAAGTCTGGTCATGATTGTGGCTTTGGGGTCAGGTACTTCACTGTCTCTGATGCCTGTGATGATTTCATCTATCGTCCCTGTGGCCTCTCTGGTCTACGTTATTCTTCTCACATCTCTTTTATCTCGATTGTTCCTATCGGTCCTTTTGTTTCTATCGTTTCTGTCACTTCTGTCGTCCGTCATCGTCCTCGTCCGTTCCCTATCGTCTTCGTCCCCCGTCGTCGTCCCCCGTCTTCGTCCCCCGTCTTCGTCCCCCGTTATCGTCCCCCGTTATCGTCCCCCGTTATCGTCCCTGTCGTCGTCGTCGTCGTCGTCGTCGTCGCCGTCCTTCAGCATTAGATCTAGGCTTCACAGGGCACGAGGGTAGTGCTTAAGAACTGAGTGGTAGCAATGAATTCGTCTAGAGCAACGACCTGAAGTTCTCGTGGCGACTAAGCAACATACATATCATATCCTCCCCTCCACTTTCCCTTCTTCATTCTCCCCCTCAAACCTCCAGCATCTGTTTCCAAGTTTGATGCCAAAGTTGCCCTGTATGATTGCCAGTCACCAGCTTGAGTTTAACATTTGTTCCAGCCAGCAGCTTGCGCGCATCCTTTGTCCACTGCCTTGGCTTTCCGTATTTGGCACCCAGGGCGATGACCTTGAGACAAGGTAGCTGGCTCTTCGACGCAGTGCACAGAGCGGTAATCATCTTCTCGATTCCTTTCTTGTAGGCCATGACTTGCGGATGGCTAGCTGTGATCCGGCCGTTGACCCCGAGCAAGGACCACGTGGCGTCGATGAAAATCTTCTCCAGTCGAGGAGCCAACAAGTCGGGGAAGCTCGATCCCAAAAGTTCAATGGTGGCTGGAGTGTCAAAGAAACAGTCGAGAGTGATACGGAGCTCTTTGAGGTTGTTCATCTGAGGCAGGCAAGTGATGTGCTTAGTTGAGCCTGGGGTTATGACCCACGTGTTTCCAAAGAAGCGGTTGTATCCTTGGGTGTTCAGGGACAGTTCCTTCAGCTGAGGGCATGATTGTGGAAGGACTGTGTTGATGTTTGATCTTCCATTCCGGCGAGGGCTCTTGATGGAGGCTTTCAGTCTTCTGAGATTCGGGCAGCGCTTAAGCAGGTGGCAGAGGCCGGTTCCGTCAGCACTGCTTGAGTCGAGTGTCAATGTCTTCAGGGGAAGCTGGACGTTGGCAATGTCGGGGTCTGCGAGCGCATCCCATATAGGGGTATCGCCTATAAGACGCAAGTCGGTAAGATTGGTAGCGGACAGGAGAGGGGTGAGGACGCTGATCGGCTGGCCAAAGACGTTTTCCGCATGGTTCGGGAGGCTAAAGCCAGTGAGCGAGAAGCTTTTCAGAGATGGAAACAGAGCTCTGCGAGGGACGACGGCCAAGGACGACGGCGACGACGGCGACAACAAGGGCAAGGACGACGACGACGGCAAGGACGGGGATAGCATATCCAGGTATGCGATAACGACGCGAGTTGACGGGCGACAATAGGAGTTGACCTCAAGCCTAACCTCTTCAGCCCGGTCAAGAAAGATGAGAAGCAGGGCAAGAACGCTGCGCGAGTTTTCCTTCGGGGATCCGATGCCGCAAAGGGTTTTGCAAAGAATGACGAGGCTGCGGTCGGTGTCGCACAGGTTGGTCATGTTGAGCTCTTCATTGGTCCAGGATGAAACGTTCAGAGCCCAACGATCGAAACGGCCGCCGGCGACAGAGATGTGCGCCTCCCTCACGCAGTTGCGCAGGTCCGGATTCTCGATGAAGCTTCGGGTAAGGAGGTCGTAGGCCTTCATGCTGTGGATCTCGACCTTGCGGTACAACTCGAGCTGAGCGAAAGGGTACATTTGCCAATTGAGAAGGCACAGGTTGAGAAGATCCCTCTTGCTCTGGAAGGCATTCTGGCTTGCGCATTTGACGATGCAGCAGATGAGCTCGTTGGGCAGTCGGGATAGGGAGCTGTTCTTCATGGTGGCGGCGGTCGCATAGGGTCTGACGTAGGAGATTCGTGGTCAGCAGGTAGGTAGAAGAAAACAGCGTGGCAGGCCATAGTACCTTGAAGTGGAAGAAGCAGACTCGGGATGTCGACTATTGTGCAGACGGAAAAAAGCGCGTTGGTAGGAGAAGAGAAGCCGAGTCGGGATATCTCGTCGACGAGGAGGAAGACTGTGTAGAGATCGCGATGAATACGCGCAAGGCGAGAGAGAGGATGACGGGCAAAGACAGAGGCGGCGGTGGGAAGTGGTGACGAGGGGTAGAGGTGATGGAAAGAGGCAGCGATGGGGAAAGGCAGAGACAGAAAAGATGACAGAGATAGAGGAAGGCACCGACGAAAATTCAGAAGGGGAAGGAGGAAGGTCGCGGTCGCGACTGGAGGTCTTTCCTTGCTGGGTTCTTGTCACTTTAGGAAACCACTTGCCTGGGGAGGTCTCGCTGGCAACTTCCCTTTTCCATCTTACAAGCTTTTTGCCCATCAAAGATCCTTCGCAAAATCAAATATGTGTGAGCAAATCCAGGAACCATTTTTGTACTTGGGGGATGGTCCAAAATACACGATAAGGGGTAATCCAGCTGCGCACCATGAGAGACGAACTTTGCCAACACTACGACCGCAAAAGACATGCAAGTCAATGGATATCGAGGCCTACGGAAAGCAGAGAGAATCCAAGTACCATCCGGTATATGAATCAACCCTTCCTGACAGAAACCAGGTCTCTCTGCCATGGATCCATAAGGTACCCTGCGGTCTCGATCGAAGTCAACAAAGCAGCCGCACACGCACGTGGTTTTTGAGCCGCAGAGACAAGGTCTTTTCCATTCCACAGGTAGCCAATACATTGACCAAGTCTAGACATGGCTCGAAGAAAAAAGAACAAGAAAGCCCCAGAGTCTCGCGACACAATGGGTTGGATTTTGGTACAAGAGTGGCCATTCAATGCAAGCCACATCATCCGCGAAGCTTCACCCGCATCTTCTTTTCCCCCCTCTGCGCCCGCCAAAAGTTCGACGACCGAATCATCTCCTCGCACCCCTCCAACACCCAACGCCACTTGTTGACAAACAGCTCCGTCACCTCCCAGTTCATCGGGTCCCAAGGGTCTCCCCACAGAATCATCTCCCCCTTCCCGGACGGCGCGTCTCCGTCGCCAATCATGTCGAGGCACAGCTCCTCGTCGTCATAGCTCCCGTCCGCCTTGATAAGGTTATCCCGCATGCGCGGAAGCGGCAAAAAGTCCAGCCAGGGATGGTGCACCACCGTCAGCTGCGTCTCCGTCGGCCGCAGATACACCGGCACGCTCCACACCGTCCGCACGTTATACCGCGGGTCCGTCCCGAACGGCGACGCACAGTCCTCGTCGCAGACCATCGGCATCGTGATCCCCAGCGTCTTCATGTTCTCCATCAGCCCCCGGAAGAGGTTGAACTGCACCAGCGGGATCAGCGAGTCCGACATTGGGTCCGTCCCCGAGTGCATCGCCTTCATCAGGAACAGGTCGTACAGCTCGTCCATGTCCTCATCCTGCAGGTCCAGCAGCTGCCGCCTGCGTCCGATATACGTCAGCGCCATCAACGTCGCGTGCTTGGCATATAATCGTTCCCCATTGGCCCTCGAGCGCCTCGCGCTGGGGCGTGAGAGCTCCATGGCCGTGGTGTACATGTACGTCTCCGCATCGTCGCTGGAAGGAGAGGTATCTTCAGAGGCGGTGGAAGACGACGAGGTCTTGCGCGGGACAAGGGCCGTGGACTCGGTCGGCGAGATGCTTGCACCAGCGCCGCGGGCCGCTCCCTGGCCTTGGCGCAGTCTTTCCACCTTCCGTCGCTGTCCTAATACGTTTCGATGTCCGCGTTAGTGAACCGTTTCAACTCCCATTCCATCTCGAGGCCGTGATAAGCAGAGGGCATGCGGTGGCGGGGCACCACGAAGGGAGGCACCGTAAGCAGGTTGCATGTGGTGGGTGCCACTTACTCCACGTCCGCTGATTGAGCCTGTTCTGGATCTTCCTCCTCTCGGCCGGGCTTGTCTTGCCCTTCCAGTTGTCCTCGCTCGAGACCACGGCGCTCACGGCCGGTTGCACCATGCTCGACAGAGCCGGGTACGAGCTGGTGATTGCAGACATCGCGATCGATTGATGCTGCTCAAGATGTGTATTCTAGCACTTTTCGATGAGACGATGCGGAAATTCTGATGGGAAAGCACAGGGAGAAAAGTCCCAGATCTTCCTGGGGCTGAGGACGAATCCGCGGGGATTCGGACTTGGCTCCCGAGCAAGGGATTTGCACTTTTGGGTTAGACAGTCGAAAATCTGGCATGTTTCCAGTTAGCCTGGATCTATTTGACTTGGGGCTAGACCGCGCTACTGCCGTCAGATAGATATTGTCCCCTGGTGGTGAGCCTTACACAGTATTCGATTTGGCTGCTCAGACTTTGCATTTAATGCATGCTGCAGTCGACTCTGCAATCATCGTGGCTACAGCATGTCGACAGACGCTCAAACGACCTGCTGGACTTGGAGATAGTCCATCATCAGTCTGCCCACGCATTTCCTCGACATCTTTCCTCTTCGACCAGATTAGTGATCTTGTCAAAGCCAGACAGCGCTAGACAGCTCTCCCACGTGGGAGACCAAATCATTTCTGTCAATGACCCCTCGCTATCTCGTGTCCGGTGCATTTTGTCCTTTCGACCACAGGGCCTAGAGCTGAAAGGGGCCTGACGCGGCTGTCGACGCCTTTCCCCATTTTACTTGCTTTTTCTGCCCCATTGCCCGTTGGGGTGCAAACACCTCCCTGGGGCCCAATCACGAGCCTTACCAAGTGCGCCTAGCGGTGCGTCGTGCGACGCGAGATGGGATCTTCACCAGTGCTGGGGGTGGGCAGCACATCACATTGCGCTAGCGGACAGCTGAAGCCAGGGGTCTGATTTGACATACAGTGTGGAAGCACTGGGCTGGGCTCGTTGCACAAAAGTGGTGGTTTTTCTCTGCGTATTCCGGAGTGGTCTCCGGTGATATGGTTTTGGGGATCAGGTCGATGTGGCTTTTGCAGCTTGCCTAGATGTTTGTTTCGACACACCTGAATTGGAACCTTGCGACAGGGAGTGAGCCGTGTATCTCAGCACTTCCAAGTGAATGATGGGATCTGCTGCGCGGCCGTGTCCTCTTGAATCGGGTCCTAGAGAGGCCGGCCATCCAGGATTTTTCGTGAGAAAATCATGGTAGGCTCACCGCAACTTCGTTCACGGCTTGACAACGTTGGACAGATTCGGCTAGAAATGTATGGATCAAGGCATACCGAAGGATTTGTCTAGTAAGCCTGACATTCGATGCTGTTGGCGACTGTTCCACGTGCTGATGCGCAAGGCTAGAGAGTTGTTGATTTGAGTTCCACGAGCGATGTTGTCATCCGCAAGGGGCATGTTGTCATCGGTTGCCCCCGGCAAACAGCAGACATCCACAGACCAAAGAGAACCCTTACTGGCTTTTACATAGCCACAAGTAGACATAGAAGAGGTAGGAATAACACATGTTCTGCCCCGTTAGCCAGAGATATCGCCCGGATGGAGAACTCTTCCTCCAAGACCCAGAGCCTGGTTCAACCAGCCACAACATCTGTCCCACTACGACGTGCCACGCCTTCACTTCAGTAGGCTATTCAACTCGGGATGCGGACAGCTAGAGAAGACCCAAAGACTCGGCGTTCGAGGAGGAACTTGTGCATCACCTTACGGTAGAGAGGAGATTGAAAAGCTGCGTACTGAACAAGATTTAAGATTCATATATAAGGGCTTAGATGGCCTTTTTGCTACAGGGTGAATGAAGCCACCAGCAGAATACGCCTTCAGTACAAGCCAGTCTCAACCAATATCGACCATAACTCTGTCTCTTTCCCAAAGGCAAGCCATCTCTAACCGAAGAGCAACCCCGAGCATCCATAACCCCAAAATGAAGCTCACCACCACCGCCCTCCTCACCCTCGCCGCTCACCTCTCCCTCACCTCCGCCGGCCCCGCCCCAACCGCCGCCGAAGAGTGCGGCCCCCTCGGCGTCATGTCCTCCACCGACGCCGCCACCAAAGCCGGCATCAGCCCCGCCGACATCCGCAAGTGCAAGGAACACCCGCTGTCGCTCGTCAGCCCCCGCGACACCGCCGCGGATGCCACGGACGCCACGGTCTTCGCGCGCGACTGCTGGTGGGGCGATAACTACGGCTGCACCGACGGGTACTGCTGGGAGAAGTGCAACCCCGAGAAGGGCCACTGGTGCTGGACCGCGTGGGGCGACGGCTTCGGCGACTGGCGGAAGTGCAAGGGCAAGGGGGAGTGTGAGCCTGTGAAGAACGCGGCTTGCGGGCAGGGGAATTGTGAGAAGTGCGGGTGTAGCTGCTGAAGCTGTCATCGCATCATGTGTTGAATGCTGGGTTGCGCGGAGCTTCGTGGTGGATTTTGGGGCTTTCAATTCTCTGCGTTGGGCTTAACTTGAACCATCAAGAAGCGGTTCTATTTTCACTCGCTAAACAAATCAAGGAATGACACAATGTTGGGTTTTACGGTATTTCATTTCATGCTATGATGCCGCTGATGCAAAAACCCTCCCATATGTACGCTTAATGCTGAAGATCTCACAACTCCACCAACCCCGGACCAATGGCTTGAATCTAAGCGGTATCGCAGGTAAGAGAGCCGGCGCCCAAGTCGTTGCAGATGCCCTTGGTAGTGACGCCCTTTATCACAGTCAGTCTGGTTGATTCCCACCGTCGGGCGGAACATCAAGCTTACGTTGCAAGTCCTGGTGCACGCCTGGAGGCGCTCGCTGCACGCCGACTCGGAGAAAGTGCAGCAGTTGAAGTCGGGGTTGCACTTGCCCTGGGGCTCAGGGATGGCAACCGCCAGAGCGGCGGTGATGAGGGTAGCGAGGGCGAAGAAGTAGCGCATCTTGACTGTCTATTGGAACGATTGACTTGTAGTGATCAACTGTGGCAAGCAACCGAAATGAACACAAAAAGAAAAGACTTGCTTTATAGATATTCCAAGCGAGTTGTACAACTCGGCGGCGATTTAATCGCCTGCTATCATGCTATGTGCCACTGACTCAAGACAAACTCTTTTAAATTGTGGACATTGAGATCGCCGACCAATTGTACTCGCTCCGCGACGGTGTTCATCTGTACTCGCGTTGACGGAGTACTCCAGAGCACTTAAACGCGGACCTTAATTCTGCCCATTCTCGCTTTCCCGCCCATTATATTTAGTTGTTCCCAGGTCTTGGCTAATTAATTGCTGACCAGCCACAGCCGGCCGAAACAGGCGTTGCAAAGCCCAGCCGGCGGCGCCGGCACGTTTCGGTCATGTAGACCCACAAGGAGGACCGTCGCGCGTAGATTATCCCGTCGGCGACAAGAATAGACGGCCATCTAGGTGCGAGAGATAGGGTCGCGCAGGGTCGGTCATGGCCTACTTGGCTGGTCGTCCCCTGAGCTGTAGAAGTGAGTTGGGGACCATTGTCTCAAGCCTTGATATCAACAGTTCTGGGCCATATATGGTCTCTTTCCTCACCTTTGTTATCCGCATTGGAAGCCAAAAAGGTTTGCCAATAGGCGGCAAAAGAATTGAAGGCCGGCGGGTCCGTTGGTGTGGAACGAGACTACACAGGTTCCTGAGCTGAACGTTACTGACGATTGACAACGATCACATGGATACTGGATTTGGATATGAGAAGATTCCTTCATTTCCTGTAGACTATCTAAACAACTAGCGTGCTGTTGCGGTTGCGAACACGGCTGACGTTCAATTCCATACCCCAATTTTCGTCTCGAAGCTCTCAAGTATCATGTGACTGTCATGGTGCAAGTCCCTGTCACACCCCTGGACCCCAGGCTTTATCATGACTGAATACAATCCTGCGAGTTGTCACTGTTGGAGGTGCGCTGGCGCTTGGCTTCTCGAGCATGTTCAGCGACTCCTCCTTCCTCGAGCTCGCTAGCTTCGCGCTTGATCGGGACATCTGAGCCCTGCTTGTCGAGCTTGTCAATCTGTTCCAAGGCAGCTTTTCTCACCGAGTTTATCTCGGCTTCCATCGTTACTAGCGTAAGGTCTTCGACGTCTCGAAGAGTAGCGAATCCGAGATGAGAGTTTGATGGACGGCCGAGCACCTCAACAGTGCGCTTTCTCATGTTGCCCATAACGGTCTTCGACATGGCCTCAATCTCGTCACGGAGGTAAGCATGGAGAGTTGGGCGAGAACTCTTGAAAAGTTTGGCCGACATTCTCTCGATGTTATTGTTGTGTAGATCATCATTCGCACGAAGGTGCTCTTCCTTCGGTGTGACTGTTGTTTGAACTTTCGCGCTGGCTGGAGACTGTGTCTTACTCTCCTTCTCGGCCGCCGGCCGCGACTGGCTGTTATGAGATTGGAGATTCCGTTTCACATTCTGCGGAGTCAAGTCGTTTGCCAGAGGAACACCGCGGGGATGTCTTCCAAACGAGTCTCCTTCCAGCTCATCGCATGATGTGGCAGGATCTTGGACAGCATTGGACGGATTATCTGCAGGCGGTGGGTTCGTGATGACACGGGCGCCAACACTACCTTTGCTGCCACCGACGGGAATCCCGCTGCTGACAACAGGCTTGGAAGACGAAGGTACTCCTCGAGGCGGAGTGTTGTGTTTTCCGACCATTGGGTTGCCGGTTTCGTGTCCCGGAGAGGCATGACGCTTCGTTTTATTCTCGGTGGAACTTCCACCAGCATTCTTTCTTCCAGAGACTCTACCCTCGGAGACAGACGTGTTGAAGGCTCTTGGTTTGTTTAGGCTCGGGGTTTCGGGCTGCCCGAAGAGATAACCCTGTCCACCAAGGTCCTTCTCTCCGCCGAACGTGCTTCCAGACGGCTTCTAGCCGGTTGCAGGAGTTGTCGTCGACTTGGTCGAGTTGGATTGTGTGGCTTGGGAAGAAGCCGGCATCGATCCAAACGTGGGTGTCCACGCGTGAGCCTTTTGGGCTGTCTGGGCAGGCTTCTGAGATCGAGTGGATCCGACACCAGCGTTCCGGTTCACTGGCACAGCAGGAGAAGGTGTGGTTCGAGCAGTGCCTTCCTCTTTGACAATCGGTCTTGTCCGGGGCGTGAAAGGGGCAGAAAGTGTTCGCTTTGGCAACACTGGCGTAGAAGGAGTAGTCTCCGTAGGCCGAGACGGTCTTGGTGACAGGCCGACACGTCCAGAAACGAAGCCAGCCCGTCCACTGGTACCTGGACCTCTTCCACCGCGACCTGATGGGGAACCGCCACGAATGGGTGAAGGGGATGCGCGTCCGGGGGAATCAATGCTTTGAACCGGCGATGAGGTGCCTCGAACAGATGAGGAAGTCCCACGTCCAGGTGCCCAAGCACCTCGGGAGGGCGAAGACATGGCACGTATCAAGCGATCACGTAATTCGCCGGTTGTCGCTCCACTGGTGGGAACCCCAGTTCCTGTTGTCTTTGAGGGAGGAGCTGTCTTCGAGGCAGGAGCTGTCGTGGAGGAAGGAGTTGTCTTGGAGGAAGAAGCCGCCGCAGACGAACGAGCACCAGTCGAAGCAGGAGTCACCGCCGCCGAGGAAGAAGGTTTCGCCGGGGAAGGAGCGTTGAGTCTCTTCTGCTCGACTTTGAGAGACGGGTCGCAGCACTTGTAGGGATCCCAGCCGTGCTTCCTCAGGTTCAGCTCGATGTACTCGTGAACGTAGCCTTTGTTCAAAAGACGCACAACCTCGCAGTCGGCCACTGAGGGAATGGTTCCCTTGGGAGGCGGCTCTGAGGGACCCCAGGTTTGCTTGAGGCGACACCAGGCATCTGAGTCGCTGTTGGCGGGAGGAAGGTGAGTGCCTTTTGTCCACTCGAGATTTTCCAACTGGAAAACGACATAAGCGCGGTCTCCTGGGAAGCGCTCAAAGACTGGGCTGATGTTGTAAACAGCCCATTGCAGCCAGACTTCACGTCTTTTCTCGGCCGGGTAGCTGTGCAGGTAGGGCGGAGCGGTAGGCATCTTGAGGGAGAGGGCGACGATGACACTACCACGCGGAGAAGGAGGAGGACGCTAAGGGGATGGAGGAAATAAAACAACGTGGCCACCCGTCCGGGTAGAAAGTAGGGAAGGCGAGAGGAAGAAGGAGGGATGAGTGAGGTACCTCACAAGGACTCGATCGAGAGACGAAACACAAGGTGCTCGCGTCGGGAGTTGGAAGGTGTAAGAAAGGACAGAATAGAAGGAGCACCTTCGATTTCTATGGCAGGTGCCTTGGTTGTGCATCCCATTTACCTGTGTCCAGAGCAATAGTGGTCATTGATGGTGCTGTGAGGCAAGAGGGCACCTGCCGGGAAGGTCAGGCAACTAATCAAGGTCGAGGGGCCTTACTCAATGCACTTTGATGCCCACAAGCTGCCATAACAAGCACCAGTCGACATGCCACAGCAAATACAACCATGGCAGACCTAAAGCAAGAATCGATGATGTTCCATATGTTACAAAGAGTACATTATCTGTACAAGGGTCTATGCCAGACATATTCCTCTCCGCTGTGTTTCCCTTATTTTTCGTATCGTCATCCCAGGATACCACATCCAACCGCCCTCTACGCCTGGCCCAGGATCCATTTCCTCTGGACCGGCTTGGGGAGATGCTCGTGGCCGGTGACCGGCAGCGATCTCTTCTCGAGCTCCTTCGTGATGACCTTCCACCGACCAACCGCCGTCTCCTTGTCGATCGGCGTGACGCGGCGCTCGTGCAGCGCGACGTTGGCCAGCGCCGGCAGGCTGCCCTCTTGCTGGACCGCCTCGGCGACCTTGACGTTAACGGGCTTGGGAGGCTTGGCGATGTCCTCGAGGAAGTTGCCGACGGTCTTCAGCTGCACCAGCTTGCCGTCGTGGGTGGAGTGGCCCGTCAGTTGATTGAAGCGCTTGTTGAACTAGACACGGTCAGGCATTTCTGTGACGAGCTGTTGAGAATGAGGCAGAACTTACTGCAAAATTGACGACGGCGTCCCGAAGAGAGACCTTCTTCCATTCACTGTCCCAGGACTTTACCATCTTCTTGGCCTCTTCGGGAGAAACGTTCACCTTCGGCTCGGCTACTTCTTGCGGTTTATGCAGCTTCATCGGCACAGACTGTTGGTTTCTCTCTCCTCCGAGGATAACTCCAGTGCCGTCCTCGGATACTTTGATGCCAAACGCAAACGCCCGCCTCATGTCCTTGGCCGTCAACGGGTTCCACTTGCCCGCCGCCGACGCCGGGTCCACGCGCGCCACGATGAGCGCCTCGGTGATGGCCACCCTGGCAAACACCTCGCAGATGTCCTTGTTCTTGATGACCTTCTTCCGCGCCAAGGGAGGCAGCTGGCTCTCCTTGCCCCAGCGGCCGTTCCTCTCCCACCACCCTTCCATGCCTCCAACCGTCTCCAGGCCGCCGCCCTCCATAGCGGGTTCGTATTCCTTCATGTCCTCAAGGTCCCTCTCTGTCGGTGCCGTCGATAGTTTAAAACTCGTCCGGAGCTTGCTGTTTGGGCGACGCTTCAGGAACTTGCGCGGCCGAGGAGTCCGGATGACTCTGTTCTTGGGCTGGGCCTTGGACTGGGCCTCGAACTCGGCCAACTGAGCATTGGCCTCGGCGATGTCGGCCTCGATCTGCTCCTGTTTCGACAGCTGGGATTCCTCAACGGCGTAGGGATCCTCGGGGCCAGGGGCGTCGCCGCCCTTCCACAGGGCCTTGCGAACGCGGTCGCGGACGGCGTTCGCCTGGAGCGTGGACGTCGTCGAGAGCGCTCGGCGGGCAGCGATGGGGAGTGTAGCGGGGGCGCATGTACATTGCGGTGCTGATGCAGCCGTCAGCAGAGGCTGACCGAAGCGCGTTGCCCTGCGCATCGTGGCGAGTTGTGCTATGGGTGCGGCGTTGGGCAATTGGAGGTCTCCCGAGTGGCAGCACGACGATCGAGATAGAGGGAGCTCGCAATTGAACTTTTTTGCTGGGTCGGACTGGCGAATCAGAGTGCTAGAGCTCCAGCCACAGCTGGGTGTGCCACGGGGGGTTGTTGGCGGGCGGTGTGTGGCTTGTGCACCAGTCAGCGACCAGCATCAGCCTCAGCCCTCGACGGCGACAACCTCAATCCTCGACTGCTTTGCGACGCAGGCGGCATCACGACCAGAACCCCGCCAAAATGAACCGATTATCACTCATACTTATGCTCCTCTGCGGGCTTGTCGCTCTCGTCAGCGCCAACTGTGCGTTCTCCCGCGTTCCGCCTCTGCGCAATGCCTACTAACACCCCCAAAGCAGCACCAACGTTCTGCAAATGCACCTGCTTCAAGAACAGCACAATCGTCGCCCTAGGCCCCCAGCACAGCGATGACAACACAGCCGCCAATCCTCCGCGAGACCTTCCCCCATCAGACCTCCACCGTGACTCCAAACGCGCCGCCTCCTCGTCCTGCTCGCAGTGCACCAAGGCCTTTTGCCTCTCGCGGGGCATCGACTTCTGCCGCGACGCGACGGAGGAGAACGTGCAGACGATGTGCTTCCAGCGCGACAGCAACAAGGACAAGGTGATTGTCTGGGGATTCCTCCTCGGTACTACGGGGCTGCTGGGCTGGGCGGCGTTCAAGCGCGCGCAGGAGCTGCGGGAGGGCAAGAGGCAGGCCGAAGCGGCGCAGGCGGGGGGGGGCCGAGGCGACTACAGCCCTTTGCAACCGGCGACGAATTGATTTTACATGGGATCGGATATGGCGTTATGGATGGGAACGGTAGCGCGGCTAAGGTATCGGGGTGTGGTCATGGGCATCAGGCATTTTCGGTCACGGTATCGTACGTCACGCAAAGTCGAGTAAATGGAGAAAATGCAAGCCATGTTGAGCAAAGCTATCTTCTCCTACGTCCCGGACACCACCGGGGATGCAAGCATCATTTTACCCATGCACCAAAACCCATAAAACTCGAAAAGATGACTTTTGAAACTATTCCCTCCTGAAGCCTCGAAATGCAAATGCCATGCACACATTGGTATGTTCTTTTTTCTGTCTCCCGCACATTTCCTCCCTGTCTGCCTCACAAGGTCTTTTTCACATACTTTACTCCTCCTCGAGGTGGGTGACCTTATGGCTCTCCTCGTTGCCGTTGGCAGTGCCGGCGTTGACCTCGCGGCGGGCGCGGACGGCGGAGGCGAGGTCCTCGAGGACGGTGATGGTGGAGTCCCAGTCGATGCAGGCATCGGTGATGGAGACGCCCTTCTTGAGCGCGGCGGGGCCCTCGGCGGGGACCTTCTGGTTGCCCTCGTTGATGTTGGACTCGATCATGACGCCGATGATGGACTTTTCGCCTTCCCTGAGCTGCTCGCCGATGACGGCGGCGACCTTGGGCTGGTTGCGGTGGTCCTTGTTGGAGTTGCCTGTCGCAGTCAGTATCCCAGTCTTTAATCCGTACAACGATAAGGGAGGACATACCGTGGGAGCAGTCAATCATGATGGCTTGCTTCTGGCCCTTCTTCGTCAACGTCTCCTTTGCCTTTTGCACGTTCTCCTTGTCAAAGTTGGGGCCGTGGGAGCCGCCTCTCAGAATGACGAAGCCGTGCTCGTTGCCCTTGGTGCGCGTGATGGCGGCCAGACCCTGCTTCGTGACACCCATGAAGTGGTGCTTCGCCGCCGCGGCACCAATAGCGTCAATGGCCACACCAAGATTGCCATCGGTGCCGTTCTTGAAGCCGACGGGGAAGGACAGGCCGCTGGCGAGCTCGCGGTGCAGCTGGCTCTCTGTGGTGCGGGCGCCGATGGCGCCGACGCTGATGAAGTCGGCGAGGAACTGCGGGGAGATGGTGTCGAGCATCTCGCTGGCGATGGGCATGCCGGCGGAGGTGAGGTCGCGGAAGAGGGTGCGGCTGACGCGCAAGCCCTTGTTGATCTTGAAGGTGGAGTCGATGTCCGGGTCGTTGATGAGGCCCTTCCAGCCGACGGTGGTGCGGGGCTTCTCGAGGTAGGCGCGCATGACGACGCAGAGGTCGCCGGCGAGGCGGGCGGAGACGTCCTTGAGGCGGGCGCAGTACTCGAGGGCGGTGGCGGGGTCGTGGATGGAGCAAGGGCCGATGACGACGAGGAGGCGGTCGTCCTTACCCATGATGATGTCGGCGGCCTCGTTGCGGCCGCGGACGACGGTCTGGAGGGCCGTGTCGGTCATGGGGATCTCGGAGGAGAGGAGGGCGGGCGGGATGAGGGGGTCCTGGCCCAGGACTGTCGTGGTGGTTGTGCGTTAGCCATTGCGGATGTTGATGTGGATGGTGAGGTTTGGAGATCAGGCTGGCGGAGTTGAGTCCGGTGTGGTGTTTGTGTTGTCGCGAGGACGATTGAGTGTCTTGACGAGGAGAGTGATTGGTGTGGGGCAGAGAGACAGGCAAGGATGAAGGGAGTGACGTTGCAAAGTGGGTTCGTTCAGATTTCGAGAGCGACGATAGAAAAAAAAAAGGTGACTCACTTCTCACGTCGTCGGCCGCGAGGGGCTCATGCTGAAGGTCGAGACCAGGCATTTTGATGTGATTTTTGTGATGAAAAAGGGGTATCTAAAAACTGCAGCAAGTCAATTAGCCGTCAATTCGTTCAATGGTAAGATGCTGATATCGCTGTCCGCTCGCACGTCGGTTTTTTCGTCCCATCGCGGGGTATCGTGAGAGTGGCACATCGTCCCGCGCATCCCCGGGCACGCCAGACAGCGGCAACAGACGAGAATCCGGGGTAAAGCAGAGCAAAGCCAACAGCTTTCTGGCAGAAGCCAATCGGAAAGGTCAGAATTCAGGTAACGGCTTACATTGGACTTGCGAAAACAATTAACCAGGCCGTTCGTTCGTGCGGAACCGGTTCGCCGTGGGTGCGGAAATGCGTGTGCGGTGGGATCTGCTGCTTGAGCCGTCGGTGACCGAGGAGGGAGGATGAATGTTCGTCCACAGGGGAAGGGGGCTGCCTTTTTGGAGGGGGAGAAGCAGCTGGGAGTGTGACTCAGAGGGTAAGGTAGGCAGAGAAAAGTGGATTGCAATAATTGGGAGGTTTTGAGCTGTTGTGTGTGTGAGGATGTAATTTCAAAGATGCCTCTTTTTTTCCCTTCCTTCCGCTCTTTGTGTGATGTATGGAGTTTTGGGGGGGAACTGCTCAATTTTTTTTTCCTCTCCCTCAGTCCTCCCGGGGCACGTTCGGAGGCAAGCCCGCCGGCAGTTGGCTGCGTGGCCAAGTATCTTTTGAGCAAGACTTCCGCGGAAAGGTACCCCTCCTCCTCCAATGTTTGCTCCAATATGCGGTGTAATGCACACTGTATCTGAAAGGGCGTCTCCGGTGTCTCTGCGGTTCCACGTGTGTCCCGGTCATATCACTATTGCTGTCGAGATTCAGCCCTTGCGGTGGGCACAATGTCAAATGCCTCTCGTCTGTATGGTGGCATGATTTGGCTCAATTGAGGCAATTGTGCGCGCCCTGGGTCCCCTCGACGTCAGAGATGCGCCGTTGGCGAAGATTTTGGGACATTCCGCCTCCTGCGGTGACGCACAACGGGCGAGGGCGAGAGTCAGGACGCCTGGCCGATGGCGGGGCAGATGGAGGGGCAATGGGCGTATCTCGGCCGCTAGGAGGGCATGAGAAAAGCATATTTCTGCCGTTGGGTTTTGTACTCGAAAGCGCTGCCAATGGTTCCGGCCGTTGAGAATCACTCATACAGACTGGTCGATTTCAGCGTTGGGCAATATCTTGAATACTCGAATGAAGCCTGTCTTGCTGAACATGACAGACCTCCGATGTCTGCAGGAGTCCATATTTTGAATCCAGGATCCAAGACTGGGCCGTTTGGACGGAAGCGAGACCGCTTGTGAATGAGACGCACCTGATTGGCCAATTGAGGTTTCTTCACCGAGACTCAGCGAAACAGACCGCAATAAATGGGGCCAATCCCAGTGTTTTCGAGGTGAGCAGTTTTGGTGTCTCCGCTCTGTGCCGCCATCAGCATGTGCGGCAATATTCCGCCCTCGGAAAGATGTGGACTCGCTCTGCAGGATCTCATTCGCGAAATCTAAACGGCACTTGATCCAGTCCTTGGTTCGACGTGGACTAGGACCGTCGAACACCTTAAATCAACGAGTGCTCTTCACATGAGCCTATCACAGAGAAGTAGTGACAATATGTGAGAGAAATGGTGAGAATACATGCTGGAGAAACATCGTCCAAGGCACCCGATAAGGACTCGTTCCAAATCGCAACTGCTGTTCCGCTCATATGATCCGCATTCAGCCGTCGTCAAAGATGATGATCCGCCCTCCTCCCTTTCCCACCTAGACTGAACCACCACATGACAGCCATCGCCAAAGCCAGATACTCCGTAGAATCAACATTATCCAGCGCAATCAAGTTCGGAAAGGAGTCGTCCGTACAAAGCCCCCACAAGTTAGGGAACAACTGATTCCTCGCCCGGGACGCAAGCTCCAGAATCGACGGCCCGAACCCGGCGGCTTCCGCGCCCGTCACCTGCGTCAGAGTCCAGCTCGTCTCCACAACGGGATCCTCCCTCCGCGTCTTGTACCGCTCCAGCTTCCGCCGCTGGTCGTACATCATGAACCGCACGTCGTCCGTGTTCGAATACGCCACGGACGGGCGAACCGGGAAGTAGGTGTGCTTCATGTAGAACCCCCTGCCGTCGTATTTCTTGGGAATGCGGATGTGCCGGTCCGCTTGGATGAGGCACACCACCGCTGCCTTGCCGGCGCCGATGAACTGGTTGATCGACAACTTTGTCAGATCCCTCGTCCCAACAGGCGCCGTGAACAGGTTCTTCAGACCCGTCACAGGGTCCGCGAGCATGTCGAATAACACGTCCCACTGCCGCTGCGTGAAGTTCTGGTACCTATCGTCCGTATCGATCGCGTGGGAAATGTCCAGAATCACGAGCTCCGCACACGCGGCCGTGAAGGCGTTAACCTGGGCCACAATCTCTGCCACCGATACCCCGTTCGCGCCCTGCCACCGCAGCGGCGACTTCGTATTGCTGTAGTGCCCCGTGAAGTACGCCCCGCCAGACACCACCGGCCGCACATCAAAGAACCGCACGCCGCTCGCGAGCTGCGCGCCCACATCCAGCGTCTGCGTCTGCACATTCGCGGGCGTGACGAACGGCGACGTCTTGGTCGCCAGCCGGTGCAGACTCATCCCCGCGTCGTGGGACCCGAGGAGGCACGTCGTCCGCAGGGACTGGTGGCCGATGACGGGAAGGGTGTCCCGCATCCAGGTCCGCCCCGGCGGGTTTGAGGAGACGAAGGCCCCCTCGGTGCCGCCGAGGAAGAGGAACGCGCTGCCGTTGTGGACGAACGGCGTGGTGATTTTGGTGCCTTTTGGGTTGCCGAGGGTTGAGATGGAGATGAGGTGGAGATAGTAGGTGCCCTTGCCGAAGTCGCGGCCGTTGATGCCTATTTCGATGGCGGGATAGGAGGCTGTTCCGACGGAGTACTGCGTGAGGCCCCAGTCGTTTGTTGTTGCCGTTCTGAATTCGGCGTAGACCTTGACCAGTTCCCCTACCCGCATGTTAGGTAAAACTCCTCCCATTTGAGCAGGAGTGACTTGCCTGGGTCAATTACCGATGGCAGATGCCAGGCGCTCATGTCGCCGGCGCCTGGCGCGGGTTGATAAACGCGCGTCCATGTGTAGGGCGTTGCGTTGACGACGTAGAGGTTGCCGCCCCAGCCCATATTTGCGGCTTACGCTGCAGATTAGCACTTGCAGGATGCTTGAGGTGGATGCCGGAGGCTGTTCAGATGAGCTGAGAGGTTGTCGGCGCTCTTGGAGTGGTGCGGGGTTCAGACTCTGCTTTGATACGGAACTCTATGATCTCATTAAGCTTCCGGGGTATTGCTTCGGACAGAGAGCTTGCGGAAAAGGTGTTCAATCAATTATCTTTCCAACATGTTTAAGAATTGGCTTGTCTGCTGATATTCTTTGAAGGTGGAGAATTGTATCCAGCATCGGCATAGTGTCTGTTGTCATTGTGAGGTACAAGCACGAAACCAAACAAAAGAGGCCAACGTGAACCCCGAAGCTGAGCGTATTTTCAAGGCAGTCCTAGCAATAGACATATCTTGATGGAGCAAAAACTGATGGGATTGTGTCTAGTTGCCTTGAATGTTTTTATTTTCTTGGTTGCTTCGAGGCCCGACGGACACGCAGCCAACGTAAATGAACGGGTTGGGAAAACACACAAGCCGCACATATACACAAACTCAAAGTGAAGTATGTTTCACTATAGATGATATGTAATGGATTATCGAAATAATAACTCAGTAGTGGTGTTTTGCCTCTGTGGCTATCAGTTCAGAGTAGATAGTCAGAACACAAATTCGAAAGTAACCAGAACGAATTTAACGTCAAAGGCGGAACGACGTTCTTGAAATTTCTACCTTGTAATTGTGTGAATAGAGTGAATGAAGAAAGGTATTCGAGGTGCTGGTATCATCTACTCAAGGATTTCTTTTTTTACTCATCTTTAATTATTTAAAGTAAATAACAAAACAAAAGTCATTATGCCGAGTCTACTAAATCTACAGAAACTTTGCGCTAAAGCTCAGCCAGAGTTTAACGAAGGTAAAGATTTTTAATTAGTCATCTCAATGATAAAAGTAGTTTCTTGAGTATCCCCAAGGTGCATAGCACGCCTCCAAGACCCTCATGCTCGTAGCGAAGAAATGCGTCCCTCAAGAACACTTCATGGTCATTAGAGATCACTTCCATGAATTCAAAAGTTCAGAATACAATCGAGAAACATGACTACCGATCAGGGGATGATCACTCGAGGTAGTTCGTTGGTCAGAAGAAACGTGGCTGTAGTTGACGTCTGTCGTATTTTCCTACAGTTAGGCGGCTTATTGCCGAGCCGGCGTCACTTTGTCCAGTAAAGTTTAACCTGAGATATGGCTTATTGACCCCCAGTACGGAAAGTGCGTCTACAACTTCCTAACTACTATGGCATGGCACCACAAGAGACTGAGGACGTGGTCACTCTCACCGAAGCCTCACCGAGGAAGAGCCCCATACCCACACTCATCGTAGCCTCACCGAGAACACCGAGACATGAATTCCGTCCGGACCAAGCTGAACCCCGACCAACACTCTCCCCCAAAATTCAAGGCCTCCAAGAAGATCAGTGCGGGCACAGGCGGCCCACCGAGCGTCAGCAAGTCGGATCATGTCACGACAAGCCAAGCATGCCAGTCACCGCCTGTCTACCTCCCTGATCGCCCTGCCCCCCAGAATACTCCGAGTATCCCCCCGCCGTAGAACCACCCCAGCGACCCTGAAGCCTCTCTCTGACTGCAGGTCACATCCAAGGACGAAGGGCGATAAAAAAGTACGTGAAACGGTCTTGGCCCCCGACTTTGAATGAACCCGCGGCCACAGGCCACGCAGATCGACAGACTTCATTCGGTTTCGCGGATCAGCAGTCTTGGCTTTGTGTGGACGGAATTAGCAGCAGTTTCTTTACATCATCAACAATCTTGTTCGTCAC